CCCACTGCGTGGCCTGCAGACCTGGACTGGCCCCAGCAGAGCAGGCAGGGGCTCGGTGGCCGGTGGGCAGCACCCAGGTGTAGCAGGCGTACGCCGGTCCTGTAGTTCTCGCCCTGAGCCTGCAAGGACACGTTGTCTCCTGCTCCCGGGCACACAGAGGGGCTGCTGCCCTGAGTGGAGGGCGTGGGCAAAGCCTGGCCCCAGGGCCGACCCCTTCTGGGGGTGCGTCAGGAGGCTGCCCTGGGACCCCAGGAGAGACCCTTTGGCCTGCAGGCGTTTCGTGGGACCAGACACCATCCTGGACACCAGGAAGCCCCGGGCGGTGATGGAAGAAGGGACACTGCCACTGCCCAGACGGGGTGAGGTGGCTGCCTCAGAGCCCAGGGTCAGAGCCCAGTCCCCCGTGGCCTCGGCAAATGTGAGGCAGTGGCGCAGCCATCACAGTGACAGGGACTCGGTGCTTTGGGGGCAGGCCTGAAGGTGCTGCAGCACCGGGTACTGCTAGGCAGCCGAGTTACCCCCTCCCTAGGTGACGTTCAGTGCAGCGTCGCTGGGCACGGCCCCCAGTGCGGTGCCTGGGGGTCCACGACAGCCGTCGCCTGGCTTACTTCCAGCCTCCCTGAGAATCACTGGTTCCGGGGGTGGCTCCCCCGAAGCAGTGAAGCAGTGACTTTCTCAGAGATGTGCACAACCAGCGGGGGTGGGGGACCCTTAGGGCCATGCCCCCCCCACTCTTCCCGGCCCCACCCCCCGCCTTGGTAGCTGGTGGTGTCATGGGGCTCGTTTGTGCAGCTGGGAGCATTGGACACGGTCACCACATCACCGGAACGCTGCCATCTGAACACGCACATGTCACTGGCTCTGAGCGGCTCTCCTTCCTGCAGGTGTTGCATTGGGGTTTCGAGGTGCGGCGGGCGCGCGACGGGACTGCTGTGGCGGAGCAGGGTGGGGGGGCGTGGTCGGGGACCCCTGAGTAGGAGCCTGGGTCTGTGCCCTGGGGGACAGTGTGAGTAGCTTGGCGTGGGGGGCAGTGTTTGGGGAGGGGTCCCTGTGGACTCACGGGCCTCATGGGTCTTGGATGTTGTCCTGAGTTCAGTGGAGACCCGAAGTTTGGGCTCACTACGGGATCGGGGTCGGGTCCCAGAAAGGCCAGCCTGCTGCTGGGGGACTGGAGGGGCAGTGGCTATGCCCTCTGAGGCTGTCCCAGGTGACCAGGTGGGAAGCCGGTGACCAGGGTCAGGCAACAGGCGACTGAGAGAGGGAGAGGGACATGGGAGGTGTCGGCCGTGAAAGTGGGGGTGAGGATGCAAAGGGCCGGAGGAGGGCGGAGCCTCTGAGAGGAGCAGAGCGTACCTGCACCTGTGGAGCGCCTGGGGCCGCCTACTGATGGGGCCGAGGGCTCACACCTCCCGCGTGAGCGTTCAACAGGCTGATGTCTGTCCTTGGGGGCAACGGTTTGGTTTGGGGAACACTGCTGGTCCCCACTGTGAACCAGCCCTGTCCACCCCGCCCCCAGCCTGCAGTCCCTGTGAATGGCAGGAGAGTCACTGCTGAGTAGCCGGGGTGGGGCTGCCCCTGGTGAATCCCCGGTGACTCAAAGCTGGTGGTGCAGCGAGAGGGTGTTCCCAGGAGGAAGCTCCTGAAATAGCGGGAGTCCCCGTGGGGGCGGAGCTGCCCGGCCTGCCTGGCGTGTGCGGCTGAGTTGCAGGGAGCAGAGGGAAGACAAGGTGCGTGTCACGCATTTGGTGTAATGTGTGTGGGTCTGTAGCTCTCAGTGAGCTTAGGTCGAATGACCAGCTTCCCTCCGTCTAGAACATGGCGGCAGCCGTGGCCTCCTCATGGGCCTGGGTGCCCACCCTTCTCATCTGCTGGGGTGGAGGCCTCGAGCTGCCCCTGAGCTGCCCCTGAGCTGCCCCTGAGCTGCCCCTGAGCTGCCCCTGACTTCTGTTGGCCAGTTCTGCTCTGCTCTTGCTTGGGCTGCAACCTGGAGGGTCTCCAGCCAGCCTCTGAGGGGGACCCAGGCCTGGTCCGCCCCCCCCAGCCTGCCCAGCCCTCCTGCCCACCCACGCCTCCACTCTGGCACCACGGCAGATGGTGCTTGCAGGGCCCCTCAGATCCCAGGACCTTTGCACAGGCTGTTCCCCCCCTTCAGCGCTGAATGGTCCCTACTTCTTTAGATCTCGACTCAAGCGTCCCCTGCCAGGGGCAGCCAGCCTGGCTCTCACAGTGTGGCTGGTTCGCCCTCCTTCCGCCGGTCATCAGGGCAGCGGCGCATGGGGGACCGTGTGATAACAGTGCCTGTGCCCCGCAACCTGCACTCCCTGACTTCTCTCTGTCGTGTCCCCATGTGAGGGATGTCATTAGTGCTCGCTCAACTTCCAAGGAAGGGCAGGGTGAACCCAGAGTGGGAGTCCGCAGCTCTGCGAAGCAAGGTCCTGGGTCTGGACCGTCTTCCTGGGATGTGCAGAAATCGGGACGGGGCTTGGGATTTGGGTGCTTCCCTGAAAGCCAGCCCCTGCCACTTCCCTGGTGACATGGGACCTTTGTCCTGAAAGGAGACGTTCTGCGGAGGGCACTGCTGGACCCTGGGACTGAAGGTCCTTTCCTCCAGCTAGCCTTGGGCTCCTGAGCCCCTTCTGGGTGCCAAGCAGGTTGGTGAGAGCCCAGCGGGACCCCAGTCGGCTCCGTTCCCCACTGTGAACAACGGCGGGGCTGCACCCCGCAGACAACTGCCCCTTTGTGCTTTCAGCCTGGGGGGCGGGGCAGAAGCCCACCGAACCTGTGCTGAGAGGTGGGACCCGGCCCGCCCTCACTCCCCTCCGACCAGCCAACAGGGTGGATTTGGGTGGTGAGCTGGGTGCCCTTTCCTGAGATGTGTGACCCGGATGAGGCGCCTTCCTGGAAACACACTCCACAGCCAGCTGGTGACGTACAGCTTGAGTTTTCTTGAGACGTTAATTTTTTTGTCTTTTTTTAATCTTCACTTGCATATTTTTTCATTGCTTTTAGAGAGAGAGGAAGAGAGGGGGGGAGAGAGAGGGAAACATCTACGTACCAGAAACATCGGTTGGTTGCGGTAATAGGCTCCCTGACCGGTTATCAAACCCGCAGCCTTGTGGTGTTCTGGGACGATGCTCCAGCCATGGGAGCCACCTGGCCAGGCCTTCTGGAGATGGTTCTCACTGAGTCACTGTGTCACGAGTGCAGCAGACACGCTGTGCGCTCGCGGTCACCCTCACTTTCGGGGAAGAGCCGTCATGCCGCCTCGTTCATGGAAGAGCAGGAACAAGAGTCTTTGGGGTCACTGTCAGGAGGTCAGGGTACTTCTGGGGTTTGAGGAAGCTCATGGTCTCCCTCCTCCCGTGTCCCCGCCGGCACCCCTGCTGGCCATCTGGTGGTCAGTGGGTGCTAGGCGGTGTCCTTTACGGGTTCTCTACAACCGGGTTGATGTCTCCTCTTCCACCAAGCCTGCCTCGATCAGTTCTCCCCCCACCCCCCACACCCTGACTCCTGACTCTGCCCGCAAGCCAGGCCTGTGTGCAGTTGGGAGACACTGTGGAGAGGTGTGACTGTCCCCTAGCTGGCTACTCCCTTCGTGGCCCTCACCTGCGTCTCTGCCCCTTCTCTTGTCCCTGCCCCCCATTTTATTTCCTCTGTGGCATTGGCCTCTCTCTGGATCAGTCTTGTTCATGCGTTGTCTGTCTGTCTGCCTCCTGACACTGTGAACTTTCTTTCCGAAGGCAGGGCAGGCCTCTCTGTGTCCCCACTGTGCCCTGGGATGTGGGACGGAGCCTGACACCAAACACACACTCATAGTCGCAGTGACCAGTGGGTGGCATTGGGGGTTGGGCCAGGCTGAGGGAGCCCCAGCGTGTGAGCCAGTTTTGTGCTCATGGCCTGGGTCATCTGGGTGGGGGTGCTGGTCCCTGGGTCCCAGCCAGCAGTCTGGGGCAGGTTCATGTCCTCCCAGACATTGCAGTCACCCACAGAGCCCCGAGGGGACAAATGCGAGCAGTCCCATCTGAGTGTGGAGGGAGCAGCCGCCATGCCGTGGGAAGGCCCTGGGCTTCCCGCTGGGACAGGGGCTGTGAAGCGCAGACAAAGGTTCTGGAGGCAGAGTCCTCTTTGGGGCACAGCGGCACGTCCCCAGCCCCGGGCGTGCGGCTGCGCAGCCCTGTCCCCTCCCTGCAGTGGCCACCAGATCCGGAACTGGGAGGTGTCTGGCCGTGACCCAAGGACACTTTTATTGGAGTTACAAAAACAGTCGGAGCTTGGTGTTAATTTTGGCTAATTATGCCTCCTTCTCCTGACAAGCTTTGTGTTTATTTATGTATTTTTAAATGCATCCTCCAACACCCTCAGTGAGGAGCCATTGAGAGGAAATCATAGTTGTCTCCAGGTTGCAGGAACGCGGGGGTCTGAGCGGGGAGCTGCACGCGGCAGGAGGTCCTGGTTGTCGTGGGCGCCCTCCCTCCAGGGCTGGGGGCTCCGGGCAGGGAGGCGGGGCATGCTCAGTCACGCCGGCGCCAGAGACTGGTTCAGCGGCAGGAGCAGCCAGAGCCACCGGGAGCCTGGCGGGCGTCCCCGATCCCAGCGCGCCCCGCAGCTCCCGAGGAAGAAGCCCGAGCCGGGGCACCCCTCCTTCCGCCGGGCAGGCGGCCGTCCCCGAGCGGGTCTGCGCGCTGTGTAGACGCGCGGCCCCAGACCCCCGGACCACCGGACCACCGGGCTGGCCATGGACCTGGACATGAGGAGCCCTCTGTGGAGAGGGGTTGCCCGTGCTGCTGCCCCCGGTGCCTTGTGACCGCGGGGACCTCCCTCCCACAGGGGGGTCTGACTCGACCTGCCGGCAAGAGGCGGCCAGCAGAGGTCCCCTTCTTCCTGCGGCTGCTGGGGAGTGATCTAAAGGGGCGCGCCAGTTCCCTCCGACCCTGCAGACACCGGTGGAATTTGCAGGCAGCCACCATGGTGCAAAATGTGATTCTCGTGTTTTTCCGCAGACGGCTGAGCCAGAGGCCCGCCGTGGAGGAGCTGGAGAGGAGAAACATCCTGAAGCGTGAGTAGCTGACGACTGCGCGGTGTCCCCCTTGCACGCACGTGTGCTGAGCTGTGGCCGCTAGCCGGCACATGGCCCTGTACCCGGTGCGCCGCTCGGCCCGCCCCTCACAGCCCAGCTCCCTCTGAGTCCCCAGGGAGTCCCAGCAGCTGAGCTACCGGGAAAGCTAGCCCCGAAGGAAAGTTGGTGTCCCCAAAAACACCCCCTTTTAAAATACTGGGGGCTCTGCTGACACCATTGCCAACGTCCCTGTCGGCAGGCCATCTGTCTGTCCTGTAAGGTAGCCTACAGCAGCTGCGTCGCCGTCGTCCACGGGCGCCGGGTTCCAGGCAGGTTCTCCTGGCAGCTCCAGTGGGTCTCCTTCCCCAGGGCTGCAGACGGCACAGGCCGGGTGTGGTCGGGGCCAGGAGCCCGGCCGTGGCGGACACACCCCACCAGGGACACACGGACAGGACAGCTCAGAGGACAGTGAGGCCCCGGGGAAGCATTTAGGACCCCTCCCGGCCTCACACCCACCAGGCAATGTTATGGTTAGGTGCCCGCCGGCAGCCTCCACGGCTCGGAGAGCACACCCGTCCCGCACACCCGTCTCATCGAGGTCGCGGCAGTCCTGGGGAGGGGGCGGTGGAACCAGGAGCGTGTCTCAGCTCGCCCTCCCGTACCTGGTCAACAGGCTTTAGTTTTCAAACCATTTTCTGCAAAAACTGTCATCTTAAGCCTGGATTCTTAAAGTGTTTCCGCTTCCTTTCTCTTTACGAGGGAGCCCTGCAGACGCTCCCTGGGTTTGGCCTCCACCCGGGGACATGATCCCGCAGGGACCCGGGCCACCTGTGGGTCCCAGAGTGGATGGCAGAGCTGCCCGTTCAGGGCATGAGTCCCAGCGGGCTTCTCCCCTTCTGTTGCCTCAAGCGGTTCCCTCCTGTACAGGCCGTTTGAAATACTTGGAGAGTAAGAATCCTTTGTTTTTCCTCTTGAACTTGAGAGGGGATGGCCCTGTTCTCTGCTGTGTGCCTGGGCTGCGTGGGGGGTGTGAAGAAGACCATAGCGTTGGCAACATGCTCAGTCACCTGGGCAGGCGGACAAGTCAAGCTATGTTACCAAGTGTTTGAATTCTAAAAGATGGAAGTCACTAACCTATGAAGAATGAGTCACAGGTGTCCCGAAGGTCATGGTTCAAGGCGCGAGCGGGACAAGTTAAGGACCAGACTCAGGCAGTTACTCTCCGAGGGGTCTGCTGCCCACGGGGCCACTCCTCCGGGCTGTAGTGACCCGTCCCCGTGGGGGCGGCCGGCCTGGGGACCCCACGGGCCATCGCTTCTGAGTGTGCCGGTCTCGGCAGGTCATTGCAAAGCCTCACAAACAGGACGATCCTTGGGAACTGGGGGCGGTGGAGGGCACACAGACCGCACTACCCGTCAGTGGGCAGCCGGCAAGGAAGGCCTGGGGTCCCGCGTGTGGTTGCGGCAGGCCCTTCTGCAGACGTGTCCCGGCTCGGCAGCTCCTCCGAGCACTGTGGGGGCTGGAGCGCCCCCTGCTGGTTGTGGTGCGTGTGCACTGTGCTCCCCTTCCGGCCCGTGGACCCCACCCACACAGGCCTCAGACGCACCTGCTCTGCGGCTCAACCTGCTCAGAACCCTTCTGAGAACAGCCCCCACCCGGGCTCGCTCCCCGTGAGGCACCTTGGCCCCCTGCATGGGACGGTCCTGAACACGGTGCTTCTGTCCTTGGTGATGCCTCGGTCCCTTCCTCAGCTCTGCAGGGGAGTTGTGACATCTGTCCTGCTGTTCCCCCTGCCTCAGGAGGAAGCAAGGATGCAGCCAGGGTCACAGGACTTCTTAATGTGACTCCTGGCAAGGGGACAGAGCTCAAGTTCACGCCCAGGTCACCCCGATTCAGTGTCCCTGCCCTGGCCAGTGCGTTGCAAGGAATAACACGCCCCTGACCATTGGCAGAAGTTGTGTGTGGGACGTCCAGACCCCGGGTACAGGGTTTTTTGGGCCAGGGATCAGAGACCCGCCAACCCACTGCTCAGCGCAGCTCAGGGAGTGAACCTGCGGCTCCGCTCCAGGGAGGGGGCAGCTCGCAGTTGGTGCACAGCAGAGCGCCGGGCCCAGAGCGGGCGCTTCCGAAGCTCGGCTCTCTGGCGCCCCCACCGGGCTCACGCGGCCTTGGCGCCAAGGCTGCCCGAGGTTGTGGCGGGAGAAGGAAGGCCCGGTTCCACCCCAGGGTCCTCACCTGGAGGCTGTGGCTGGGACTCGTCAGGTCCCCGTTGTGTCACCACCGGAGTCCTGCAGGGTCGGCCTGGTGCCTGGTACTTCCCCGTTTTTGTCCTAATTCTGCTACCAGCTCTCCGGTTAGGGCTTGTCGTTGGTTTCCTCTGGTCTGTTACTTGGCTTCCCTTCATAAGACGCAGCGTGGGACGGCCCCTCCTTTCTGAAGTAAGTCACAGGCCGCCCAAGGGCCAGTGCGTTCAGCACCCAGGCAGCCGGTCCCCTGATGCGCGCACGTTTGGAATCACTTACATGTCTTTTAAATTTCTATTTCATTTTATTTTACTTTTTAGAGTAAGGGGAAGCTGGGGAGAGAGAGACACTGTCTTTTTCTTCCACTTATTGATGAGTTCCTTGCTTGCTTCTTGAATGGGCCCTGACCTTGACCCACCACACGATGCTCTAATCTAACCCACAGAGCTGCCGGGCCGGGGCCTGAGTTGTTCTAGAACACAGGTGGCGAGCACAAGGCCCGTGGGCCGAATCCGGCCCTCCACCTCGTGCTGTCCTGCGGCAGCGCGGGGCTCACGCCGAACTGTTACGGAGCAGTTGCATGTGCAGAGTCCTGAGACTACATTCGGCCCCTCGAAGGTCACCTCGAGGCTGACGTGGCCCCCGCGAAAAAGGAGCCCCACACCCCTGTTTTATATAAAAGCAGATACAGTGTGAGGTTACGTTAGCTGCAAGCAGCAGGGCTTCCCTCCCGTAACTGGGGTGCTGGGGCGTTCCCAGGGGCGCGGGTGCTGACGGAGGCGGCGGCCGAGGCCCCTTTCTGCGGAAAGAGTGCGCCGGGGTCAGGGAGCGAGGCTTTCTTCAGCAGCGCAGCGCCAGAAATAGGGCATCCATCATCTCGGTCCCGGCGCGCAGCCTAGGTTTTCCACTCCGTCTCAGCGTTCGCTCTATTTTTAGCTCCTAAGAGGAGGTGTGAGCGCTGCTTGAATGCTAATCGTCACAGCACACAAGCCAAGCCAGTTTTGGTGAGAGACTGGGGCTCCGAGAAAAGGCGTGTCGTGGTGCCGGGTGAGGGTTCTGGCTCCTGCCGCAGAGAGTCGGCTGGGTTCACGGGTGTGTTTGCCTTGGAAATACACCCTGAAGATTATAAATTCCAGGCAGACATATGTTGCCCACAGTCTAGAGAGGGTGTTCCTCAGCTTACGCCGGCTGGCTAAAAATAAAAGTGGTCTACTTAGTCAATGGGAAAGGAAAACAAGCAGTCACAACTCTGCTAATACTCATTCATACGTACATGTGAGTGCATCGTACACACGGCTCCCACCACGGCTTCTGTCCGCCGTCTGTGTCCCCCCCCTACCCCACCCCCCGCAAACCGACACACAAATGAGGGACTCGGTTACAGGGGGCGGGCGAGCTGGCCACACTTCCCTTCTGCAGGTGCTTCTGGGGTTCAGGGAGACCACAGTGTCCTGAGCAGGCACCTACAAAATGGGGGAAAGAAATGGATGGACACGGAAAGGTGTCGTCCCCAGGGCGGCCCCGTGAGCCCCTCCAGTGACCCGAGACCCTGAGTGCACACCCGGCAGGGAGGACGACTGCTGACCTGCTCTTCCCCCTCTTCCCCCTCTCCCCCCTCTCCCCCCTCTCTCCCGTGCTCAGAGAGAAACGACCAGACGGAGCAGGAGGAGCGGCGAGAGATCAAGCAAAGGCTGACGAGAAAGGTGCGGTCCTGCAGGTCAAGGGCACACGGGGGGAGAGAGAGAAGTGGGCCTGGAGTGGGTGTGATGGGGGACGCAGGACGTCACTCTGTGCCTCCCTGGGTGCCCTCGCCCGCCAGGCCCTCCCAGACCCGCCACTGGTGGGCCACTAGTACTAGGCTGCGGCTGAGGGCCTCACCCAACCCAGGACCAGCCTGGCACAGCAGGGCCACCCGGGGGCCTTGCCCTTTGTTTTAGGAAGCCAGGTGTCGATGGGGCATCTCTGTCCTTTACTTCGGGTCTGTGCACAGGGCCTACAGAAGCACGTCCGGACGTCAGGGCTTGGACTCCCTCTCAGCCTGTCTGGGAGCCTCGCCTTGTCCAGAAGCTGCTGGTGGCAGAGCCTCATCAGCCCCAGGGGCTGTGTGTGCGGCCCGGACAGTTAGTCTTCGGCCAGTACAGGCCGCACCCGGCCACCTCGGGCCCCTCTTAAAGCCCGACTGTCTCCAAATGAGGTGTTTCCCTTTCTGGTGCTTCCACCGGGCTTACATCCTCATCGCCTCCGTCATCGCAGTGCTAATATGTAAGATCCTGTCCCATTCGAAGGGAGTCAGCGTCTTTCCTGAGCTGGAGTCGACGGAGCGGTCTATCCGAGTCAGCCTTTGAACTTGGTCACGAGCTTTCCTAGAACCCCTCCCTAATTCGAGTTGAAAAGCAGCAGCTTCTGCCCGAAAATGTGTCTCAGTAAATGTGTCAGCCTGTCCCTGAGCCTGTGCTCCGGGCACTGGGCCACGTGAGGCGGGGGGGCTGACCCCTATGATGTGTGTGAAGGGGCAGGATTGGCTTTCAGGTGCGAAATTCGAGCCCTTCTCATGTTCAAGGTAGTTTGCATTACGCTTATACAGGGTCCGGCCCAAATAACGCCCCTTGTTTATCAGAAAATCATAAGCGTCGAACCCTGTAATGTAACAACGTCACACTCCAGCACACCACCCGACACTGCACGTGGAATGTTCAAGTTGAAACTGTGCGTCACCTGTATTACCACCCTACCAGCCACACCCCCCGGGCGCCACCTCTGCAGGACGCGTGTTGTGCGTTTCCGGATCTCTCCGTTTGTTCGCGGAGAGCCGCCGTGCGTTCCGAGAAAGGCGGCTTGGCACGTGGCACTTACCTGGTGGTGGGGCCTTTTCTTTCAGCTCAATCAGAGGCCCACGGTGGACGAGCTGCGGGACAGGAAGATCCTGATCCGGTTCAGTGACTACGTGGAGGTGGCGAAGGCCCAGGACTACGACCGGAGGGCGGACAAGCCCTGGACCAGACTGTCGGCCGCGGACAAGGTACCGCCACGCCGGGGGGGGGGGGGGGGGGTGGGGTGCAGGCCCCGCCTCACCAGGCGTTGGGCTCACAAGGATAATCCGGGTCAGGGTCCTGTTTTCAGCTGGGGACGATTCGACTCCAGGGACACGTGGCCATGCCTAGAGACGTTGCTGCTGTCACCTGTGGGGGGCTGCTACTGGTCTAGTGGGTCTAGTACCTCACACTGTGCGGGACATCCCGCCACAGACAACCCTCCCGTTGGAAGGGCCCAGGCTGGGGAAGCTGGCAAAGTTGGTCTTGGGGACGAGTGCCAGGTAGGCTGGCCGGCCAAAAAGAGGCCAGACCCCACGGGCTTCCAGATATGGGGCTTCGGTGGGGGCAGGGCAGGGACGGGAGAGGCCCGGGGGCATCCTGGAGAGCCTCTGCGGTGGGGGTGGAGGTGGCCCCGGTGCGTGCTGGTCCGTCTGGGGAGTCGTCCCGGGCCCTGCTGAGCCGTCTGTGCTGCAGGGCCAGAGAGGCAGGTGAGAGCGGGGAGACAGCAGGGCCCCGGGGCTGAGGGGACAGCGACTGCACCGCGCCCTTCTCTGCCTCTCAGCTGCTACTTCGTGCGACCTTCAAAATAACCCCCTGGAGAGAGGTGTCACTGTGTCCCCTGGACAGGTGACGTGGGCAGGGCGTGGCAGCAGGGTCTGGTCTTTCCGCCCCACTCCAGCCCTGGGGGGGGGTCTCCCTGAACCCCAAAAGCCTTCAGGAAGAGGTGGGTTATCGTGCGCGGCCGGTGAGTGTGCTGGGGCCACGAGGCGCTCCTCACTCTTCCCGTGCCACGTGGGAGGCTGTCAGTGAACGCACGTGGATTCTGCGCAGTGCGGAGAAGTGTCCGTGTGTGCCTGGGCTGCCAGTCACCCACGGGCGACGCGCTCCTAGGGATGCTAAGGCCGAAGGACAAGTGCACGCAGCAGAGCTGGGGGGAGTGTGGGAGCCGCACCCGCCGAAATCCTTGACTCAGATCCCTCCCTCACCCCCGAGGCCAGGCCCTGCCTGCTGCTCTCGGGTCGCCTGGCCCAGAGGGCTCATCCGAGAGAGGCGTTCAGTGCGTGTGGGCTGGATGAGATGTGTGTGGCCCCACATGCAAAGACCGTGTTATTTTTCAAAAGATGCAAGACGTAAACACATACTGAACTTAGAGTGGCGTCTTTAAGTTCAAACGCTGCGTTTGCGCCCTGGTCTAGCTGTCTTTACTGAGCGTGGGCCCTGAGCGTGCACAAATTCACGGAGCCCTTCCACACTGCCGGCCACACACTAGCTGGGCAGGACTCCGCAGACGCGTGGAGTCTCAGTGCCGAGTGGAAGCTGTTTCTGCCTTTCTCTTTTAAGGTGTGTGACAGAACACCGGAAGGCCACGAGCGCTCAGGATGGTGGTCTGTCCACGACCCTGACACTCGTTTCCCATGTTCACTTTCCCACGTCCTGTAACTGACGTGCGCTTCCTGTTTCAGGCTGCGATTCGGAAGGAGCTCAACGAGTACAAGAGCAACGAGATGGAGGTGCACGCGTCCAGCAAGCATTTGACAAGGTCAGGTTTCTGTTTGTGTGGTTGGCGTGGCCCTTGGCACGTGCTGTTTGCTCACACAGGGAAAGCGCCATGCAGGGCGATGCGTCCCGGTGAACAGACTGGGCATTTCTGTCCGCAGAGACCCCGATCCAACAGTCGGAGTGTGCCCCCCAGCTTGCCCCGGCCCAGTGACGGGTGGCTGTGGAGAACAGTCTTGTGCGGGTCATTGGTTCAGCCACATGGTTAATGTGTGTTCAAGAAAGTTAGTCCCAAGGCAGCAGCAGTCATTTGCCTTTCTAGACAATCCTCTCCTCCAGTATTCACACCCTCCGCGTTTACAGAATTTGTTCATGTTCACTCTCTGCTTTGCAAACTTTTCCCATCATGTTTGGGTTTCTGTTCACGTCTCCACTAGAAGCTCCCGCTGCCCCAAGGCCTGAAGGGCATCCGTCTCCTCTGCAAACACCGGAGCCCCACTCCACGCCTGCTCGCTCTAGGGCTGAGGCAGAGGTGCCCCCAGCTCTCCAGAGCTTGTGGTGAGGGTGGGGGGACCTCACGGCTCCCCTTGGCTCCCCTTGGGCAGTGCAGCTTCCCTGCCCCGTGCGCTTTCTTGCTGGTGGAGAGGGAGGCCCCTCCCTGAGCTCTCTGGGCGCACACCCTTCAGCACCGCCCCCTCCATGGCTGTGCCAAGTACTCAGTCATCCTTTGGCGTTCTCGTGCGCCTTTCACCCCAAAGGTGGTCCGGGACGCAGCGAGCGTTCCATGTCAAAGCAGGCGCTTTGTTCCTGGGTCTCAAGATGCTGGAGCCCTGGCTGCAAACAAAGGAAACCCGCCTTCACCTGGTGGGGCGGGTGCCTTTCCTTTCCATCGGCCGCGGTCCTTCAGGGATTAGCTTGTGCTGTCGGCGTGTTGTGGAACCGAGACCACGTGCCACGGATGGCACCCCACAGGGCCGTTGGACGGAGGCGAGATCCAGGGAGGAAGAGGGGGCCGCGGGGGTGGGGAAGGTGGCCCAAGTCAGTAGGTCATCAGGCATTTCTGCAGTTTGCTCATGGCCGCTGTACATTTAGGAAGGGACAGGTCATCGTGTGTCTAATCATTCAGAACACCCAAAACAGTAGCAAATAAATATTCTCCAGTAAAACGGCAAAGCGACGTTTAACGTTCACTCTGTGTTAAGGAAACTGGATATTGTGTGTACATGTTCCGCGGATGGACAGACATCAGTGTGTACATCCTCGAAAGCGGGGTTTACAGGGTGTATGTGTCCCTCGCCTGAGTCCGGGGGGCAGGACGGCAAAATGAGCCCCGCACTAGACCATTAGAAACAATGGTAAGATTTTTATACTACCACATTTTAGGATTTACTGTCAGTTTTTAAAAGTCAAAACTATTTTTAGTCACACGAGATTTTCCTAAGTGTGTGAGACGTTACCACAAACTCGTCCCTGCAGCAGCAGGCACACCGTAGCCTCTGCGTGGTCCCTGCAGCCAGCCTCCCACCCGCAGCCCCAGGTCCCGCTCTGCGCTGCGCTGGAGCGTCCACCCGGCGCTTCCTTCCTGGGGCCTCCGGGGGGCTGAGAGCTGGGGAACCTCTGAGGCGCTACTTACACTTTAACTGAAGCAGGTTTTCCGAGTTGGGCTTCTGAGAAGCTTTGCGACAGATTTCTTTTGTGAAAGGTCTTGGCGATTTTAACTTAAAAATAATTTACACTTTACATTTTTTTCAAACAATTTCTAGATTCCACAGGCCATAGAGATTTTCTTCTGAGAAGAATCTGTGTTTAATTTTTGATACCAACACCGAACACTCATCAGGGAACTTTCCCGAAGCTCCACCGGACTGCCTGCCGTGCTGGAGAGGCGCGCACAGCCGGCACGGGCCGGCGGGGCGGCTGTGTGGCTGTGTGGTCGGGGCCACGCCGGGACACACGCCCCCCCTTTGGTGTCTGAGCAGCGAACTGCCCGGTCGGCTGAGACCTGAGAAACTCTGCCGGAAGGAAACCGTTTGCCTTTGAGCCCTGTTTTCCGCTCTGGGGGGCGACGGGGGACGGGCAGGCTCCGCCACCCAGGCCTGGACGCCAGGGACGAGTGATGTGGCTCACACAGTATCGCGTTGAAAAGACGTTTTCTTCTGATCGTGATTGAGTTGAGAACTCTTTAAGTTCGTGTTACTCAAAATGATTTACTGTATGATACTTTTCCTTTTTTATATAATGTCTAACAAAAATACAGCTGCGACATTTTGATTCCTGTTAATTTTGTTCTTTAATTAAATGACTACTTATTGCAGGAAATTAACCTGGGCTTTATGTTTTTGGGGGGTTGGGATGAGAGTTTTGTTTGAACAGTATTCTATGAAACAAGCCAAATTTTATTATTTTTGGGCCATCAGAATCCAAATACATAAAAGAAAACTCTTCGTGGGGGTTTTTCGTTAATTGATTTTTGGAGGGAGGGAGGGAAAGAGAAAAAAGAGATATCAATTTTTGTTCCACTTATTTATGCATTTGTTGGTTTATTTTTGCATCTCCCCTGACTGGGGATTGAACCCACAACCTTGGCATATGGGGACAATGCTCTAACCAACTAGCTAGGGCCTATGTCTTTTGTTTTATAAATTGTTAATGTGTATGGTTGTGTCTTGGAAAATCAAGTTCTCTCTTTCAAGTTAATTTAAATTTAGAAGTGAGTAATGAAACTAGAAATAAGTGCTAACTTGCTGAAAAATTCTGCCAAGATGAAAATGCCTCTCTATTTAAGGGTGTTTTAAGTTCACACTTAAAAAGTGTTAAAAACTGTTAGGAGAGACAACAGGTTGGATAGAGTGGAGATCACAGGGAGGAAGTGCATGCGGCACAAGGGTCAAAGGGGACCTTGGCACAAAGGGGGACACACAACAAAACCTGCGATCCCTGGAGGGGATTTCCGTGTGGATTCTGAATGTGCCCCACAGAACACCCCGACCCAGGACGACGGGGGTGGGGAGCGCCGCGCTCACGCCCGGGTCCGCCCCTTCACTGGGCAGTTGTATGCTCCGTGGGCGCACGCCTGTCCGTCTGCCAGCGTGGCTCCGATGTCGCGCCTTTCCGACCACAGCACATACAGCACTGGTGTCAGATGCACCACATGGTGGCTGGGGAAACCGCACTCCACGCGGAGGTCCCCTGCCGCCCCAGGCACCCGCTGGCCCCAAACCCCATTACCTGACATTACAGACTGTTCCCCACGCCGCCAACCGTACCTCCGAGGCTGTTCTGCAGCTACTAGTTCATACTGCTCTGCCCTTCACCTTGTGTGCCCGGCCCCCCCCACATCCGGCCCTGGACAGACATCAGTCTGTTCCCTGCGTCCATGCCTCTGTTTTGTTTTGTTTTGTTTAGTGTCTTTTGTCCGTTCTAGTCCACATGTAAATGAGATGTAAATGAGATCAGGTGGTACTTGTCTTTCTCGGACTGGCTTATTTCACCTGCATGATAATTTCCAGGTCCATCCATGTCAGAAAACATGACATGATCTCCTCCTTTATGGCCGACTAGTATTCCACTGTGTAAAGGTACCGCAGCTTTTTAGCCACTCATTTGCCAGTGGGCGCTTGGGCTGTTTCCAGGTCTTGGCAATTGTAGACAGCTGTGCAAGGGACGAAGGGTGCTTACGTTCCTGCCAACCAGTGTTTCGGGTTGCCGTGGCTACATTCCCAGCAGCGGAGTCCCTGGGTCACAGGGTAGTTCCACTTTTAATGTTTTTGAGGCCCACCGCGACTGCCCCAGTCTGCTGCATTCCCCCCGACAGTGCACGAGGGTTCCCTTTCCTCCGCACCCCCGCCAGCGCGTGCTGGTTTATTGACAACGGCTGTTCTGACAGGTGCGAGGTGGTCGCTCGCTCGCTGTGGGTTAAATTTGCATCTCTGATGGTCAGTGGTGCTGAGCAACTTTTCTAAAGGTGACAAAGGAGGTGGATTGTGGGTTGCATAGCACCCAGCACATCCCAAGGGTCTGATAAATGGGAGCTGCTGGAGTGCTCACTTATCGTGTGAACTTCACTGGATGGCTTGTCTTCTCTGAGTCTGCTTTTTGTCTATGAAATGAGATATTCAGCCCTTTCTAACTAGAAGGCAGGTCCTTGACTTCCTAAACATCTGTGTGTATGTACATACCGGATATTTAATGTATATCTGTGTATGTACTCTGTTTTGTTCATAACCAGCTGTGGCCAGTCAACCTCCAAAACACTTAAGTTTCTCTTTTCTTTTAAGCTATATTGCAGCAGCTCTCTACTTTATATTTGATTCCATTTAAAATGTTAACTAGACCAAGGATGCGAGATGACGAGGTCAATCTCCCTCGCACGGAGATGTTCGCGTGCTGACTACAGAACGAAGGAAGCAGGTGCCTCTGTGCTAGAAACCGGCCTGGCCCCGGGAGCGAGCGGGGTCAGCCAGGCCCAGGAAAGCGTGAGGCTGCGCCCACGGTCAGAGATGAGCTGGTGGGAGGACGCATTCAGGCTTTCTGCCCAGGTCGAGTCCCACAACTACCAGGCAAGCAAAATAAAAAGTGAAGATACGGCACAGGTTTGGTCTGGTCCAGACTCCCAAGTTTTAGGATACTACAGAACCACATCAGTGGAAAATCTTAGCGATCGTGTGTAACTTCTACCATTGCATTTTTATTCATAGATGAGTATTGTAAGTCGTATTTCCATATTTCACGTCCTTCCCAGGTGTTATGGAGGATGAGAGACAAACTAAAACTCACAACCCAGTACACGCCTTCTGCACCCAGGAAGTCCGCCCGACCTTGAACTGAGTATTTGGCCGGCGTCTCAAAACTCCCTCGCCCTAGTCAGCCGGGGGAACCCGATTAGAAAGCAGTAAGTAAATCCCACTGCTGTGCAGGCAGTTGCAGGCGTATTACGTACCTGTGTTGCATACGTTTGAAGAGAGAGTTTTTATACTTAGAGTCGGAAGACTGCGAAGAACAACTGCCTTCTACTTAGGAACGCGTACGGCGTCTGCATGAGGACTGTTTGCTACAACTGGTGGTCACTGACAAGAGGCTTTTAGGCATCAAGTTCACAACTCCTTTGTTCGCTTCCATGAAGTAAAATACAAATGTTCATGTAACAACATTAAGTCATCAAAGAAATTCTGTCTTTAAGCATTTTTAAAAGTTTAAGAAAATACGGGCAGTTTTGTGAAAGACAAATGACTCCCAGGAGCAGCTGTTAGTTGAAGCCAATGTGACGGGGAAACAGGAGATCACAGCTTTTTGTAAAGTGCATTTGAAAATTTTAAAGGTACTTTGAAATTACATAATTTTTGGACACGTGAAATGGATAAGGAAAAGCATCTAACAGCAAGAGGTCCATCTTGTGGACGCGTGTGATAATTACACATTTAAAGTTATTCAGGTCTATATTGGAGGTGGAGTTTTAGCTACATACCTGGTTCTTCAACAAATTCAAGTCCAGAAATGTGGAATTCTCATTGCAGTGTTAAAATGAGTAGTCCCGCATGTTCCCAATATCTGTGTGCACTGTTTTTGGATTTTCTCATGTGGAAGAGGCATTTCAGGAGGTGCTCGCAAGCAACCGAACGTCTTTAAAGTCAAACTAACGTAGAAAAGTACACTAACCCAAACCGCGTGTTTTCCTCCGAGTGCGGTGGCGCTGGTGGGGACGTGCTGCCCCTTCAGGTTCAGAAAACGTTCTCTAGAGTGAGTGCTGGCAAAGCCGCCAGCTCTCCGTCCCACAGTTGCTGTGCGAGCAACGGCGTTTTGTGTCCAGAGCAATAAAAAGTCATTTGTTTCTCATTTTTTGTCCTCACCTGAGGACATTTTTTTACTGCTTTTAGAGAGAGGGGAAGGGGGAAAGAGAAACATCAGTGTGAGAGAGACGTTGACCAGCTACCTTCCGTGTGCACCCAGATGGGAGACCAAACCCACAGCCCGGGTGCGTCGCTTCAGCCAACTGCTGGGCCCCCCGCCCCCACTTCCCCGGCCAGGGCAGGAATTTGTCTTTAGTAGCAACCATACATCTTTTGCATGGACAGGGAGATTCTGAAAAATCTCAGTTTCTTGACGGTAAGCAGTGGTAGAGAATTCCGGATATGACATACATGCTAATAATTAGCAAAGGCGAAAACATAATTTATACATCATTATTTTCTAAATGCAATTTATTGGCCCTTTTCAAAGATGTGTCTACTAAATGTTCCTCCTGCAGTCCAGGCGTGTGCCCTAAGAGATGAGTGCACACCACCCCATGCATTCCCCAACCCCCCACTGCCCCCCCCACCGCAACCCCCCCCCCCACTGCCCCAGGGAACTTCGTGGTTGCAGTGGCGGCGACGACTCCTGTGGCGTGAGGCCTCTCTCAGGAACCACGTGACATTTTGCTCCATTTTTTACATTTCTAGGTACGTTAGTTTATTGCTCTTATTTCCCAGTATGTTGTTTCACTCAAAATTCTACTTCAGTTGCTTATTCGTAGCATTTATGATTCCTTCCATACTTTGTCTCTGAATTCGATAGGTTAAGGAACTTGGAAGTGAGTATGGATTCGTGAACAGTGACCATGGCTGGGTCACCCGTCAGAGATGGAGGTGACAGGGTGGCTGAAGAGTGGCTGCCGGCAACCGGGGAGCTGCGTCTGCTCCAGGCCCTGAGCTGAGAGTCAGTGGAATTCGTGGACATGGACTGCCAGCTTAACCTGGGGTTACATGTGTGGTGGGAACCGGGGTCTTCACCCAACAGAGGCTCTGCTGGGCACCCACAGGGTCGGGGGTGTGGCACTTGGGTGTCTTCACAGTCGGTACGTGCGTCCTGGCCTGGCTGCACTAACGCTGCACAATTTTCTCTCTCCCAGGTCTTTCCCCCACGTGTTCGTCGAGCACGATGCTGTCAGTGGGGCACAGCAAACTGCACCAGCCTCGAGGAAGCCGTGTCCAGGTAAGAGAAGGAGTCGTGGCTGCAGTGGTCATTCATTTTTAAATGTTTGAAAAGAGAAGATCCAGAAGTTTTACTCATTAACAGTCTTCAGCCTCTGCTAATGCAAAGCCAATTTAAACTGCAGTTTCGGTTAAATAGTAAGATAAATTGAGGAACAAATTTTATAATAAAGACCAGAGATCTGATTTTTCAAATGTTTTCTTCTAAACTTAGGGTCTTGCAAACGATAGCTCACAAACCAAATCTGGTCCACTTGTTTGTTTTGTTTTGATTTGAATGGATTGCAAGGTAAGAAGGGTTCTCACATTTTTAAATTGTTACATTTGCCGTGTTTATACAAACAACTACATGACAGCCTCAAATTGACCTTTTGGCCTAGAAGATTTAAACATTTACTGTATGGCCCCTAAGACAGTGTGCCAGCTCCGCTAAGATGTGTAAGAGCAGAAAATGTTAAAAGTGAATTATGCAGAACTGAAACAACTAAATTTTGTTTATAAATAAGCTTTAACAATTTTAACATCAAAATCTGCTTCAAATTCCAACATTCATATGCGCTTTGCTGAGTCACTTGGTAATCCTGTGTTCAGTTCTGAGGGCGTGGCAGTTTTCTGCAGCGGCTGCATGATTTACGTCCCCGAGAAGTGCACGAGGGTTTCCGTTCCCGCAGGTCCAAAACTAGGTTTCTCTTCTTTGATTCTAGCCGTCCTGGTGGGTGCGGAGGGTCGGTTTGCATTTTGCTGGTGAGGAGCCATGTCCAGGATGCTGTGTGCTTGCCGCCCCCCTGTATGTCTTTGATTCCCGCAAGTCCTTTGCCCATTTTTAAACTGGGTTGTTTGTTATTTTGTTGTTGAGTTGTATGAATTCTTTATCTATTTTGGACACTAGACCCTAATCAGAATCAAGATTTGCAGTGCTTTTCTCACATTCTTGTTTTTTCACTTTTATGAATTTATTTTTTGACGTATGCATTTTTAGAATTTTTGACCCAGTCTGATTCACCATTTTTCCTCTGTTGGTAGTTTCATTGTTACATTTATGGCTCCATGGCCAAATCCAAGGTCGTAAAGATTTACTTCTATGTGTTTTCCTAAGAGTTTTATAATTTAGCTCTTATTTCTAAGTTCTGATCCTTTAGGAGTTCATTTTTATATACGGTGTAAGGTAAGGGCGCAAACCTATTATTTTGCATGTGGCTTTCCAGCTGTCCCCAAACCATTTGTTGGAGAAACTATTGGTTCCCCACCAAATGGCCTTGGCACCTTTGATGAGACTCAATAGCCGAAGGTGAATGGACTTTTCTGGACTCTCAGTTCTGCCCCATTGGCCAGTGTCTGTGCTGTAGATTCCACACTGTTCTCATTTAGCTTTGCGGTATTAAATTGGAAAGTGTAAATCCTCCAACTTTTTCTTTTTTCAAGATTGTTTTGTTATGAAGAGTCCCTTCCACTTCCATGTGACTTTTAGGAATGGCCTTTTCATTTTGCAAAAAAGGCCAGCGAGGGCTTTGATTGGGACTGCATTCAATCTGTGGCTTGCTTCATGGAATACTGCTGTTTTAACAATAGTAAGTCTGTGATTATGACCATGGCATATCTTTCCACTTACTTAGGCTTGCCTTCATTTCTTTCCATCATGTTTTATTGTTTTAAGTGTGTAGTAAATCCCCAAGGTCATTGATAAGGTTTTGTGACTTCCAGTGGAATGACTTGGAGCAATGAGACCAATTTTACCGCGGGCTAATTGATGTAACCAGAGCGAAGTTCCGAAGGCACCTCATCAGTAAAATGAACCACTTAACACAATGTTACTCAAGGTCCTGCTGTGCAAACCTCACACCTCCTTCATTAAACTTTTACTGTGCTGCTGAAGTCAGTATGCTAGAGTTTTTTGAGGATTTTTACATCTATATTCATAAGGGAGTAATACTGGTCTATTATTTTTTCTTGTGATGTTGTATCTGGCTGAGGGACCAATGTAAGACCAAGGTATTTCTGGCTTCATAAAATCAGTTAAAAGCATTCCTTCCTCTGTTCATCTGGAAGCATTTCTTAGTCGGTCTGACGGTTTATCAATTTTCTTTATCTTCTCAAAGAATCACCTTTTGGTTTCATTGATTTTCTCTGTTTTCGTTTTGTTTTTCCTAATCAACAGTCAAATATTTATTATTCCCCTCTTCCTGATATCTTAGTTGCGGCTCATGAGTAGTATTTAATATTATAGTTTCATCTTTTAAAGTATAAAGTTAGGTTACTGATTGGAGAGAGCTTTCTTCACTTTGAGTGTCATTTAAATTTCCCTGCGAACGGTGCTTTGGCTCCATCACCTGAGTTCCTGCATGTTCGTTGCATTTCCGTCTGTTCTGCAGCATTTTCTAATCTCCCCTGTGATGTCTCCTTTGTCCCCTGGTTACCAGAGCGGATCCTCCCCAGGCAGCTGAAGGAAGCAGTGCTGTGTGCTAGCGAGCGCGCTGGCGGCCGGTGGGTGAGGGGCGACGTAGGGAGAGGTAGCCATGAAGGCCGGGCCTGCTGCGTTTGTCCGTATGGGAACGACATTGGCACTGTTGAAGGCAGTGACAGTGGAAGTGGCAGAAAGAGTGCATGGGGCATATTTTGGTAGTAAAGTCTGCAGGACTTGTTGATCAACTAACTGGCCAAAGGAAGAAGAGAAATCAGGAACGGATTCTAGGTTTTCATCATGAGTCACTGGTGAATAGAAGCGACATTTACTGAAATGGAAGGGCAAGGTTTACTTTTCCTTGGTGATGGGAAGGGAATGGAGGCAGAGAAATCTGAGTTGTTCAGAGAACAGAGGTGCTTGGCAGCACTGTCAGAAAGCAGTGCATTTGACACGGTGATGTCCAAAGTAAACATCAGAACTTGTACACAGCTGAGAGTCATCGGTACGCAAGACTGATTGTCCTGTGGGACCAGATGGAATGACGAGGAGAAAGGGAAAGACTGGGACAGAGCTCCAGAGTAAGAGGTGAAACAGCAGCTAGGAAACAGATACGGGGTGGCAAGTGCCTGCCAGCCCAGGGGGACGTGGCACCTCGAAGCTGTGTGAAAGGCAGGCGGTTTAGGAAGACCACTGGAGATGTTGATCAGAGCAGCTGCAGTGCAGAAGCGGGGGCACAAGCAGGACGGGGAGGTGAGGAGCAAACAGGAAGTTAGAAGGTTTGTAAGCTGAGGCAGCAACTGGAGGGAATTCCACGTGTCCAGACGGTGTGCAGAGAATTATTACACAGGGAGGGCAGCAGTCAGAGGGCTTGTAAAAATGAGGCATCCACACCACTAGGGAGAGGGCAGAGACCACACCTCGGTGCGCACATGGTAGGGCTCTAACCCAAGACAGGCCTGGGCGGGGCGAGAGAAATCCCACAGTGCTGGCGTTGGTGCAGCACTGTGCTACTACCCTGGCCGACTTCAGGGAGAAGAGGCCGGCAGCCCAGCCGAGGGGCAGCACTGAGAGGGGGCGTTGGCATGCACTCACACTCTGGAAATGCAGTCAGCCAGCGGTGCTGGGCACTGCCGAGAAGCCGTCTGAAACACGTGGTGTAAACGCAGAGCTTGACCGTGAGTCTTCCCAGGGGTGTTCAGGTGGTGGAAGGAGGGTGTGAGTTCCTGGGGAAGGCTGGCGGGAGGAGAGAGGGTGAGAGGAGCTTCCCGTGGAGGAGTCTGGGATGGGAAAGAGGAAGGAACGGGGAGGGCGCGGCACTGCGCTGCCCGGGGCCTGCTCCTCAGAGCAGGTTGGAAAGCGGGGAACTTGGGCTGGCCTACACACGTGGCCCGGAAAGGGGTAGGCGTGACATCTGAGTTAGGGGCCATGTAAGTCTGGCCAAGGACGAGGTAAACATGCCCAGAGAGGGCTCCAAAAGTCTCGCCCAGGAACACGGAGGCACAACTCCTGAGTAGTGTCGCGTGCTACGGCATCGAGTCGTGGGCCCCTTGAAGCCGACCCTGCCACCCCATAGGTCCGTCTCAGTGGATGGCAGTGATGGAGTGTAGCTGACTGAGAAGCGACCACTCTGGCGCCGAGTCCCGGTGCCAGGGAGCAGGCACATGGGGTTAAAACCACTTGATGCTGTGCTTTGGTTATCTGATTGGTGAAGGGTATTTTGTTTGACCTGATGTTCATAAAGTAGGAAAATAACAATTTAGGAAATAATATTATTTATCCAAATGATAGAGCACGTATTTCAACTTTCCTATGCAATTAAAGCAAACCGTGTATTCATTTTTATAAAGTAATCTCGCAAATTACTACAATGAATAGGAGCTTAATAAGTACTTGCCAGAACAGCCTGCTCTGGGTTAAGGTGCCTCCTCAGAATGGAAACGTAGAACAGTCACTGTCTCAGGCTGCTGAGTACCTGGAGGCCGCACCCAAATCAACCAACTCCCCCTCAGGGTGCCGTTCATACTTACATATTTCAAATCAAAGACTTCCGAGTGTGACTTAATTTTTTATTACTTATAGATATTCTGAACTAGTGAGCAAGTTTTAATAATACTTCATAGTTCAGTCAAAACTGTATTCATGTAAAATACTTTTTATATGATAAATTTTAGTTTATTAAACAACTAGTTTTATAAGTATAGTTAAATATAGTTAACTCGGTAATGTCTACTTCAAATACTACTACTAACACAAGGCAATTCCATTTCTGTGGTTTGCACAGACGCGTTTCAGGGACTTGGAGCCAATGCTTTTTCTCGTCCATGAGACGTTTCCTTGAACTCAGAGGTCAAAGGCACTCTTGCCTGGGTGATGGGTACTTTTTCTTTGTAGGGCTGTTCAGTAGTTCCTCACTTACATACGAAGAAGAACCCAAAGAGGAACCGGGTAAACCTGGGTAACAGCTAGATCTCCATATTCACGTTTGTTTCACGAGCCATGAATAATGACAACAGTCCTCTGCGTACATTAAGAAGCTCCTCTTCTTGCTGTGGGCAAGAAAAAGAAAGTTAACTTACATTTTAAATGATCGGTGTCCAACCAAGTAAAATAGGGGGAAAAATCAAGCCATGATCAGGGATCGATTTGAAAGCACCCCCTCTACAAAGCTGTTGTGTGGTAGTGCTCCATCTGTCTACCCCGCAGGATCCGGTCCTGGGTGCGGACAGGGCTCTGACCCTCACTGACCTTCCAGGTGACCGGCTGAGAGGAGACCTTCAGTCTTCTCAATGTCAAGTCTGTGAAACGTGGATTTAATATGTAAAGGAAAACACTAAACTAAGTGTCATCTCGGAAACAGTTTCAACAAGGACCAATCTAGTTAGTCTGCTTCAAGCTAAACGTCCTGATCTTCACCTATCTCATCGCGTGGAGCGTCTTTTAAATCAAGTACATTGACTATCCTGTACACAGAGGTTAGTGCCCACATACATGTGGGAACGCCCACCCCTCTGGGAACCACCGGAGACACACTCCCACTGCCTCGGGCGGTGCACCCCACACAGCTGCACTTTTCCTCCCAGAACCGACCACTGGTCTGCTCGACCTTCGGAAGACTGAGTAATTTCATCCCCAGATCCATGTAAACAGAGTCTTGCTGTCTGAGCATACTATAATTCTCCTTGAAAAGGCAGTGCTTAGCCATGGTACAGAGAAATCATTCTTCTAGAGAACTGTTCAACTGGCAAATTGATAGTTTATTTCTTTAGGAGGGACTATTTAAATCACCCCTATTATTTTACCATAAACATGCTTCCATTGCTCTAATTTAAATAACAAATTACTGAGCTAAAATTTCCTCCTGTCAATCCACAAAGAAAGAAAACCTGGGAAAGAATTTCCCATTGAAAGAAATAAAGCAGCCCTGACTGGTATAGTTCAGTGGATTGAGCACAGGCCTGCGAACCAAAGGACGCGGTTCGATCCCCAGTCCGGGCACATGCCTGGGTTGCAGGCCAGTTCCCAGCAGAGGACACATGAGAGGCAACCATACATTGACAGTTCTCTCCCTCTCTCTTTCCCCTCTAAAGATAAATAAATAAAATCTAAAAAAAGAAATAAAGCATGACAGGTGATTCCATCTGAAAAACCCAAACTGGACGATCAGTTTACCATTTCCTTAAGAAGCCGGTCTTGTAGGATTTTCATGTTTTCTTTCATGGAACACATCTGTAAAATAAATACATATATTGCCCCATGAAATCCAGTATAGAGCGTTCACAGCGAAACACAGACGCCCCGACGCCGAGAGCAGTGCCGCGAGAGCAGGACGCGCACCTCGGCCGCGCACACCCTCTCCTCCTGGTCGGTGGTGGAGAAGACGTCGGCGTCCAGCAAGGCCTTCAGAAGGTGGAGCCTGGGGGTGAAGCGATGAGATGTTACCTTTGTATTTACTAGGAATTCAGAGTAAATTGCTCTAGTTCATGTAAGTGAAAAATATTAAATACTACAAAGTTGTTAACTTGCAGTCTATAAATTCCAGTCATGAAAGATGTCATACTAACCTCTCCTGTTCATTTTGTTGATAGGCAATGAGCTTCTGAACTGTCTTTTCCCAAAAGTCCTAAGTTTTAGTACAAAACTAGTTATACTTTGACATGATTAAAATTGCAAACTTAACAGTAGAGTTCACTCTATTCCTCTCATTTCTAGTTTAACAAGGTGGCTACATGCTAAGACTACTCCGGGCGTCACACACACACTTGTCCAGATAAAAACCACGGACAGCGAAGTGTCCTGTGCGCTCTCCCACTGCCACAGGCACCTGCCTGTGCCCGAGCCTGTCACTGGAGCGTGGGCACCAAACTGTCTCAAATCTTTATGGAGGCTCTAAAAGCAGAAGGTCTGTAGAGGTTTTCCTGTGTATAGCTCTTTAAAAAGGGTTTAAAATGGTTTTTAAATTTTCAAAAGCACAAACCACAAATTCCTTCTCCAAATCTTTTAAAGTCTGTGAATCTTTTTCAAAATTCTTCAACTCTTCTATGATGCTGAGCTGGAATTTATCAAGCTTTTGGATCCTATTAAACAAAACGAGTTTACTTTTAAAAACACAGCACTTGGCACACCCAGTGTTCAGAAGAGATTTGATCACACACCTGTACTCCTGAATGCGGTGGTTCATCGTTTTCAGATGCTGCCGAGCTGTTTTCCAAGACTGCTTAGTGAAATAATCCATCAGTTTTTGGTGGATCTGAAAAATACTCATTTTTACAAACAGCGTTCTAAACAAGATTATATTTAGAACAAAGCCTTTTCCATGAAATGTACAGGACTACAAACTTAGAAAAGTGAAAAATCAAGAACTCAGTGATTGAAACCGAAGTGTTAGCGAGCTCAGAGCAGCGTCTGCTTCTGGCAGAAGGGCTTTGCCTGAGGGCCCCATTGGTAACTCTTTTCATCAGGACACCACCCCCTACAGTACTTTTTTTTTTAAATTTTTTTAATTGATTATGCTGTTACAGTTGTTCTATTCCCCCCTTCATTCCCCTCCACCCTACCCCCCCGTCCTCACCATTACCCCCCCTTTAGTTATGTCCATGTGTCTCAAGTTCTTTAGATTCTATATTTCCCATGCTATTCTTGCCCCCCCCATCTATTTTCTATCTACTGTCTATGCTACTTATTTTCTGTACCTTCTCCCCCCTTCTCCTCCTCCCACTCCCCTGTTGCTAACCCTCCTTGAGATCTTCATTTTTATGTTTCCACTTCTGATCTAGCTGTCCTCTTAGTTTGCTTTTGTTTTAGGTGTGGTTGTTAATAACTGTGAGTTTGCTGTCCTTTCACTGTGCCAAAATTAAAATGAAGGAGAGAATCCTAGAAGCAGTAAGAGCTAAGGGGACAGTCACCTACAAAGGAGTCCCCATCAGACTGTCAGCAGATTTCTCAAAAGAGACCTTACAGGCAAGAAGGGGCTGGAAAGAGGTATTCCAAGTCATGAAATCCAAAGACCTACAACCTACAGTACTTTTTAAAATGCTGGTGATTACAGTTCCCTTCAGGAGCAAACCTCAAAGTCAAGTCAGAATGATTATCGTTTGTCACAGAAACATAATTCATTCACATCTAGCAGATACATCACAATACAGGATGCAGCAACAGTGGGTTCACAGTTGTTCACATGGAAAATAACACAAGAATGAACTGTTTCTCTCCCACACAACTCGAACCCATTTTTGCCCCACCCTGTATAGGAATCGGGCTTCTCTGCTCAGACTAGGCCAACTGTGGCCAGGCCAAACCAAACGACCACACTGGAGCCTCAGGAACTAAGGACACCTGAGTGCAGGGCTGGTCAGACTCAGGGAGACAGGGCTTCTCTGGCTTGGGCCACTTGCCTTTTAGTTCCCACACTAGTGATATCCTTGGTGAGATCAAAAAGAGAAAAAAATCACAGAAGAGTCAAAATATTAAACTAACTAAACAGGAAAATAGGACAAAGAGAAAGGACCTGTAGGAAAAGAAAGGAGAGTGATAATGCACAGACTGTGGAAGAGAAACTCACTTGTGAAAGGAATTCAAGAGAGCTGAATTCACGAATGGGTGTTTTGTTGCCAAAAGATCAAACAAATGGATATTCTAGTAGAAAGTATGGTATATTACCACATTATGTGTTATAGTCTAAATAACTCACATTACATGTCTTCTTAAATCCTGTATTAAACTGCTCACACGTCGTGCCTATGTCTGAAGTTCCGGCTCCCCAGTCTTTCCCAGGAAAAGAAGAGTCGTTTGTTGACACTGAAGATGTGCTTTTAGACACTAAAAAATGGAGACAGCCATCCAGAATTAAAATTCTCATTTTAATGAACTTACCTTTACTTGTCATGAGGCCGAGAACAAAATCTTATTTCCTGTTCTATGTGTGATGTAAGGGTTATGCAATCAAAGGCACAGACGTAACTTTTTAATTTAAAAATAGCTGATTTATAAAAAACCTTTTGGGTATTAAAGCAGTAATGGTGACATTAAAATGGGACATTTTAAGATTATTTTTAACTGTTTGTAGCTACTTTCATGTTATTAACCCAAGTGTTTAATTACACCATAACCTGCACGAGGTCACCAGTGACAGGAAGATGAGGGGTATTTATGAGTGAAAAGAGCCCAACTGCATCATTCACACCCGATCAACTTTGTGACAAGGCATCACCGTCTCTGGGTCTAACCCAAGTGTCTCCACAAAGGGGTTTGTCTGGTGGATGGAGCTATTCGAGATCTGAGAAACTGCCTTCCCAAATAATTGCACTTTGACACATGCATTTGTTATACCTACTTTTGTGATCTGAATCTTCAGTTTTAGTCAGTTTTGGGGGAAGCGAGTGTGCTCTCCCTTCCTGATCCTCTTCCAACCTTATTTCCTCAGGATTACTCAGATTGTCTTCTATGTACATTCGTTTTCGACAGTGATGGTGTGTTGGGCCTTAGGAACAGTTAGATAGTAATGCTGTAGTCTTGATTAAAATACCTCATATGTTCTTGCTTTTACTAAAACATTTATTTCAGTTCATTATTTCTATCATTTTAGACAACTATGCATTAAATTCTGTCTAGTTCCTCATTTTCATTTTGACATTAACTAACTTGAACAATTTAGTGTGACTTAAAACACATAATTCCTTTAGATGAAATGCCAGTACATTCCAGGGATTAACTGAAAAACAAAGCAAAGCTGTGGGCACAAACCTGATCCATGAGCAGAGCCGCTGGGCCGCTCACCCCATATCTTCTCTCCTCCTTCACTGGACATGGATAATGGAGATGCTGAGTGAGTTTCCTAAAATACATATCAAAAAAATTTTAAAAATACTGTAAGTACTCTGGGACTCACCTTTGACCATCTTTCTCAAGCCCTAAAGTCAGTATGTTGCAAACGCTGTCAACTGTTTTTTCAGATTGTTTTGTTCCTTTTTCTTTTCACCTTTGACACTACTGTGTAGTAACCTAACTTCTTAGGTAAATCTCAGTCTTAAATCTCAGTAATACTTTTCCACTGGCTTTTGTGTGACTGCCCTGCTTTTCAGTTCTTCCTTGTTAGGGTTCTGATTTCTTTGAGTCAGAAAATGGGGAACTGTAGACAATTAAAGTCTAAACTCTTCTTTCAAGCTGTATCTTTGAGAAGACATCTTTTTTTCCATCTAACCTTATGTTTTACTATTTCAACATACAGGTTTCTTCCTTCCAGTCGAATTGGCTCTTTTCCTGTTTTGTAAAACTCTGCGTCCGCTCCAGTCCCCTCCCTCAGACTGCGGCTCTTTGCCCACTTAGTCTGCTGGTGGCCCTGATTACAGAAAATGATTTGCCCATCTCAAATACATCTGATAAAGGAAAAATACAGTCTTACCGAAGAGAGGGATTGTGGGATGGGTGAGCAACTTTCTCTTGCACACAGTAAATTTTTTTCACTGTTTCTCAGTAACTTGATTGGCTCTCCAACACCATATCTGCTGTTTAAGGACTCAGGTGGTAGGGATTTTGCTGCGCAGCCTGGATCCTCAGTGAAATCCTGGTCCTTCACTTCCTCTACACCTGTATTCCTCACAAAACACAAACGACACAGAGACGCTGGTGTTACTGACGGCTGCTTCAGAAACGGTGTGCTCTACCAAATCCTTAGGTCTGACTGTATTTAAAAAGGATAAGCTTTTACTACTAAACAAGACAAAATGATGCTTAAAATATTGTACAAGACTTTAAAAATATTAAACGACTGCATTTAAAATGTAATATAGTCAACAACATCATCTGCCATGTGAGCTACGCGGTGTCGAGCAGCCCGAGGACTCCTGTCACAGCCAGTGCCATCACAGAGCAGAGTCACACAGCCGAGGGCTGGAAGGGCTCAGGAAGGCACTTGCTCTAATCGTGTCACATACAGATGAGGAAATTCATGACTGTGATAAATCTTAATGTAAATGAATTCTCAGTTTTCATACCAAATCAAGGCATATGCACCTGTCTTTGAGTGTGTACGGGCTTATCTGAGATGACCATGGTACCAAGCACAATGAAAATATTCTAGAAAAGAATAGCCACTTTAGAGGAAGTATGTGCATTAACTCATGTAAGTCTTGAATATTAACTGAAATTATGGATACTTAGAAATGCTCTAAAACAGCGGTGTCAGACTCATTTTCCCCGGGGGCCACCTCAGCCTCATAGGTGCCTTCAATGGGCCGAATGTAACTTAGGACTGTGTACATGTAACTCCTCCTTAACAGTGAAGCGAGGGCTCGGTGCTGCGACCAGGTAGAAACAAGGTGCCCGGCTGGATAAAACCAGGTGGAGGGCCAGGTTTGGCCCTCAGGCCTGGCGTTTGCCGCCTGTGCCCTAGAACATCCTCGAGAGGAACCGACAGAACGAGTGCAAAGTTCAGTGTCATAGCAGCACTGTTCCCAAGTCTACTTAGCAAAGACCAAGTTCCGAGCATTCATTTAAAAATAAAATTTTGACTACCTACAATCTTAATTCACCCTCCAAATTAGTCTTCAAATTATATTTTCATAGAGTTATAATACAAATTATTAAATATTCAACTGAAGAAAAAAAGGTACTGACATCTCATCACTTCTATAGACGGAGAACTCCCAGATGAAGATACAGGAGGCGAGTCCAGGCTGTCACCTCCGCCCGTGCCTTCTGGCAGAGCCGTGTCCGCCCTTCCTTTAGCCGCGTCCTTCTGCATCTCGGCAGAGACAGCGTCCTGCTCTTTCTTTGGCAGTGTCATGGTTTCCCTTCTGGAAGAGGTATTCTCCTCCTAAATGTATTGATAACTTTCAGATTATACTAGAATAGCAGTGGTTTACACTTGGGCACCTAAGACAATTTAAATTACACTGAAGTATTTACTAAGTGTCTTCTGTTACTACATCTGAGCATAGCAGGCACCATGAGTCACGATAGACTAATACACTGGAAACTCACAAGAAATGTAATCCATACACTACAATGAATGTCATACAAGATACAAAGCAACGCTGCTGGTTCAGAGGAGGTGACACTCTGTTTAGGGGAAGCAGAGGGAGGGCCTGGCGTCTGGGGCTCAGCGTCCGGAAAGGAAAAGCGGCGAGAGACGCACACCGAGAGGACGGAGGACAGCTGGCAGAGCAGCGCAGCGCAGGGCTCGTGTGGAAGTCACATGTTATTCCAATGCCCCAGCTCTGGGGGTGTGCTGGGGAGGGAGACTGAGCTTGCAAGGGTAGGAGATATTCAGGGTTTTTCTTTGAAGAGACAAGGGTGGTCTGGGAAGACCTCCCTGACTACATGTATAGTAAATTAAAGTAAGAAGTGATAGAAAATATGGAGACAAGCTACAATGTCCTTAGTGTCTTCCAGGTAAGAGATAAGAAGGTTCCAATTTGGGGTATGGAGGGTTAATGACTCAAAGTCAGAACGACATAGTATCCAGAGACCTATCTTTAGTGCCAGACTCTCTGGGTTCAAACCTTCGTTCTACTATTTCCTACCTGTGCTGACCTTGGCACGTTCCTTCATCTCCGAGCCTCAATTTTCTCACTGGTAAAATAAGTTATCAGTAACAGTACAGTCACCTGTAGTGCTTACGAGCTTTTCAAAAGTCAAACCTGTAAGGTACAGATGCCCCTCGATTACAGTAAAGTGGGTCCCAATAAGCCCAATGTATGTCAAAAATACGGTTCAGTCAGAAATGTGTTTACTGCACCTATCCTACTGAGCTTAACCAGTCTAGTCTACCTTAACTGTGCTCCAAACAAAAGATCCAAAAGATGCTGGCCACACAGCGCACTGCACTGTGGGTTGCCGGCCCTGGTGACCATGTGTGTGCCTGGGGGCTGAGGCTCATGAGAAAGGTCTCATACCACATTTTGCTAGCCTGGGAAAATACCAAAATTCAAAACTCGAAGAATGGCCTCTATTGAATGTGTATTGCATTCGCACCATCAAAAAGTCAAATTTTAATTTGAACCATTGTAAGTTGAGGAGTCTGCACTTAACATAGTACCTGGCACATTATTAACACTATTTTTTAAAACTTTGTTTAGAAAAGCTCTCAAGCATGGGTGGGTAGGGATGTCTGTGTCACCATGGGATTTAAGGACCATTCTGTCTCTGTGCTTAGAGCGTGTGTGTGAGAACTCAGCCCCGTACTTCCACTTGCAGTCAAGAGAGAGCGAGCCATGGTTTCCTAACTGTCTGCACTTCCTTGGAGCATAACTTTGGAAAGGTCCAGTACTTCTGTAATTCAAGGATATTATTTTTCAATTAAAGGTTTTATTTACTTTTAGTGGGGGAGGGAGGGTGGGAGAGAGGGAGGGAAACATTGATGTGTGAGAGATATATTGATCAGTTGCCCCTTGCACGCCCCAGTTGGGGACCTGGCCTGCAACCCAGGCATGTGCCCTGACTGGAAACCAACGACCTTTCGGTTTGCAGGCCAGCATTCAATCCACTGAACCATACCAGCCAGGGCAAAAAGGATATTTTCTTGAAGTTATAATTCTCCTAGAGTCAAACATCAGTTTTGTAACAGGAATGCCAACTTATTACAAATTTTAACATTATATTGCCCAAGGATCAATTTTTAGAATTATGTAAGTTTTCTTATAGAGGGTTATATCTTAAAAAGTGAACAGATAAATTTAACATTTTTATAAAAACATATTCTATATTCAATATTTTAAGAGGCATTTAGAAATTACTATGAATTGTTTCTATTCACCTTTACTAGCACTTTCTCTCTCAATGACTGTGAAACTTCTTGTTCACATTCCGATTCTGAATTAGAGAGATCTTTATAGTTTATTCTGGTGTTTGCCGCCCTTCGTGGACGTCTGCTTCTCCCATCTGGAATGATCTCATCTGCCTTTCCGGTGACATTTTTCTTGGGTTTCTTCGGGAAAAAAATTTCCTGAATGTTATATCAATATTTGAGTTACAAGTACAAGTTAATTTAATGTAAAACTGAAACTGTGATAATACCTACATGAACTCTTTCTAGAAATAAAAGAATTTGTGATTAATATTTTAAAAGTGACTGGAGAGACAGTTTTTAAAGAATGACTGGTATACACTAGAATATTACTTAGCCATAAAAAATTAAATCTTGCATTTGCAACATGGATAAACCTGGAGATTGTTAAGCGAAATAAGTTGGACAGAGAACAACAAATACCATAATTTCTATTATATGTGGAATCTCAAAAACAAAACAGAACAGCCAGCAACTCATACGGAGAACAAACTGATGGTTGCCAAAGGCGAGGGGATTTAGAAGCACAAACTTCCAGTTACACATTTTTTAAAAGGACTGGATTTTATATTTCCATTCCAAATACCTCTCTGCCACCTTTCATCCCTGCCATTATAAAAAGAGGAAAGAGAAGAAGAAACAGAGGCATCGAAAACACCTGTCAACATAGGATAACACAGACCTAGAACAGGCTACCATTCAGACAGGCAGAAGGTACCAGGAGGGGCACAAAGATGGAGATGGTCAAGGGGAACAAGTAACTGATAACAAGGATAAAACTATGAGATGACAAATTTTTTCATGACAAGGAGAAAAAATATTTAAGTGAATCTCACACAACCTTCCCAGTTTTACCATTTTAGATCTTGGTTGTTCCCTTTCCAAAAATGGACCTGCAATTTAAGAGAAAAAGGTTAATTTTTTTCAAGTAGATAAAAATTGGCATTAAAATGTATTAGAATGTTTCTGCATATGTTAAAATTATAAAAAAATAAGACATCTTTAAACTCATTCAAACTTTAAATTTCAAGATATTTGAGGCTAAATTGACATTGATAACTTTATAACATTTGATACAAATTACCAATTTTCCTTTCCCTTTATTTTATGTTGTAAAACTTTTCAAACACACAAGGGAATATATAATGTAAGTTATAAAGTTATTACCATTGATTCTACCATTTGATTTAAGAACTAGAATGTGACTAGTGTTGAATCTACTTATGTGTATTTTTTATGTGACCCTCTACACCTCCTCTGCTGAAAGGTAACCATTATCCAGAAATCTGTTTCTCATTCACTTGATCTCAAAGACAGTTTCAATTCACATATATGCATCCCTAAACAATACAATGAACTCTGTAAAACAGAATTACATCATAAGTAATACTCTGTAACTTGCTTTATTTTTCAGTCACTGTGTTTCTAAGATTTATCCACATGCTTGAGAGCAGCTCTAGTCCTTAATCCCTTTTTTGTCCTTCAAGCACAATCTCAACTTCCTAAACATTTCTGAAGCCTAAGAAGTGGGGTTACCCGAGCAGAGGAGGCAGCAAAGTTCCAGAAGGAAGAAGCCCAGTCCTGGTGGTGAGTCCTAGTGGTGAGTCTGCTCAGACTCCACTATCATCAGGCCATTAGCTCAGAGATTCAGCTTGAAAAGTATCCACTGACTGCAGCATTCTAACTTGTCATGTCACTCCAGGATCTCTAACTGCTTCTACTTTGTTAAAATGTCTGTATTTGCACATCCTCCCACTAGACTGTAAGTTCCCTGAGCATGTGGGCCTTCTGCCTCTCCAGTGCTTCATAGCCCGCTCACTGTGACTAGGTCTAGTTCAATGCATCATTGAACACTGCCCCACAAGTTCCACTCATGTTCTGGTTCCTGCAGCCCTGCGTTCCCTGAGCACACTCTGCTGTTTCGTATTTCAGCCTCTCTTACATGTGCTAATTCTGCTGTTTCTCTTCCTCATGCATATATATGGCTTGCCTCTCATCTGTTCTCAAGATGCAGCCTCATTTCTAAACACATGCCAAAGCTCATTTCCATGTTTCTATTTTAATTTCTTTTTAAGCCATCACTCCTCCCCCACTCCACAGGTCACTACTAGTTATTTTTATCCTGAAATAAAAGCTGATTCCCAGAAAAAATCCCCAGAAATGAAGATAGTGTAAGGAGCCCTCTGGGACAACTTCGAGTGTACCACATTCGCATCATGGGGTGCTGAAAGAAGAGGAGACCAAGAAATTGAAAACCTATTTGAAGAAATAATGACAGAAAACTTCCCTAATCTGGTGAAGTAAACCAACACGTTGAGGAAGCATAGAGAGTCCCCACACAAGATGAACACAAAGAGGCCCACTCTAAGACAAATGATGAGTACAATGCAAAAGGTTAAAGACGATCTTAAAAGCAGCAAGAGAAAAGCAGCAACCTATAAGAGCTCCCTTAAGACTGTTAGCTGATTTCTCAACAGAAACTTTGTAGGCCAGAAGGGAGTGGCAAGAAAGATTCAAAGTGACCACTCTACCCAGCAAAGCTATCATTTAGAATTGAAGGGCATATAAAGAACTTCCCAGACAAGCTAAAGGTTTCATCACTACCTGTATTACATGAAATGAGAATGGGTCATCTTCTAGGGGAAAAAAGATGAAAAATATGAATAAAATGGCAATAAATATATATCTAACAAGTGAATCTAAAAAAAAAAAACAAAACCAAAGAGGCAGAACAGAAACAAAATCACAGACCAAAAGAACATGTTGACAGTTGACAGGTGAGAGGGGCTGGAAGTAAGAAGGACAGAGTGGTTGTTACGGAACAGTCACGATGATGAAAGGTATAAGGCAGGGAATACAGGCGATGATATTCTAATAACTGTGTGGGGTCAGGCGGATACTAGATTTACAAGGATGATCACTAAGGTAATGTCCCATCACTGGAGTGTACTAATACAATATTGTGTGCCAACTATAACTGAAAAAGAGAACCTTAAATAAAAAGCTGATTCCCTTAAAATAAGTATAAATTTAACAGCTCGGTTGTATTGTCTTCCATTAAAGATGGAATATATAAAATCTTTATTAAACATTGAAATTAATGTTAAGCAATGAAAATGGTCATTATTTCTAGCCCAAAACCATACCTCAAACTCTAGTACTGCTACTTCAAGAGACTTGCTTAGAGAAAGAAGAATCCATTTGCTAGGGAAACATTTTGTGAAAGATTTAGGCAAAAATGTTTCTGCAACAAAATTATTTTCCTTTCAATATATTTTTATTGCATCTATATGAATTCCTAAAAAGTATGTGTTGGCTAGGCAGGGAATGGGGATATTGTCCAAACTTTGATAAGGTGTTGGGTTCATGAGTACTTAATATACCCGTTGCAGTAAAGCAGAACACTAGGCCAAACATGGACAAATGATGAGAGTATGCCCTGAACTGAAGATTATGATAAGTAGATTTTATGTCCCTGAGGCCCCATTGTAAAGAAGCGATATAAAGATAACCGTATTACCTAAAATAGTAAAAAGCACAACCAGGACAGTGTGTGTGTATCTGTCTTCACTCTTTTTTTCTCTTCATAAGGGTATGTAATTAAAAATACTGTCCACATACAAAAACAGCCTTATCAACCACCAAAGCATTTCCCATGGTTGAAATAGTAGAACTGTTGGCAACATTTCTCTGCAGTGTGATTTCTTACTTGGTCTCCCACTCTTCTGTCTCCTCTTCACGCTCCTACTTCTGCCGTACACCGCTAGCTGCGGCTTTGATTTGGGTTCCGCCAACCAGCTGATATCGGTCTTGGTATCATCACATCTGTACTCTGTGTCAGTATCACTAAAGAGGTTTTTCTTTTTGTGACTTGTTACAATCTATTTATAAAAAAAAAAAAAGATCCTTGTAAAAAATGAAGAAATGTGTCTTACATGTCATGCAAAGTAAAATCAGCCAAAAAAAAAAAAGTCCACTAAAAATCCAGAAAAACTAACAGTGCATGTTTTTAGCAGACTAATCCACCTGGCATTAAGGACCTATTCAAGAAAGTCACTTGGAAATCTAGATCAGAGAGCAAGGTTTGTATTCTGTTGTCAGTGTGGTTATAAATAAAGGTTAAATCAGAATAGCTTGCTCCTGCAGAAATGTAGCCTGTCGCCATCAAAGAAGGTGAAGTTGTGACAGGCATCACTGACCGGATGATCACAGCAGCTCCCAGGCCGTGAAGAATGGTTGTAATGAGAACATGTAATTTCTGAGGGAAACAAGTGGCCCAATTATTTCTGTTTTGAAGTTCTGTGATAAACTTTGGTATTGAAAATTACTGAAAGAAGTACTAGTTTTAATAGACATATCAGGATATTATAACTTACTCTTTTATCTCTTGTTTTGAGAGTTGGTTCAAGTTCTTCGTGATTCCTTAAACCAACCCTTAAACAAAAAATACATTCATTAATTTTTATTAACTTTAAGTACTTGTTTTCTTAAGGTAGCATGCACTAAGCAGTTAGACCTGGGTTTTCAGCCTTACTCTACTAATTCACTATATAATGCTGACCTCAGTTAATTATAAAGTTATAAGGTTAGATAAAAATACTACTGAATTCTTTTGGCTTTATCATATAAGATATATAACTAATATTAAAAGTGCACAGAGTCCACGTTATTAATTCTAGAAGTACAGTTCACTGTTGAACTACATAGGTTTGAACTGCACAGGTTCACTTATACACAGATGATTTTCAATAAATACTGCAAATGTATTTTATTGGAAGAATGTGATGTTTAACACATATGACATACAAATATGTGTTTATCAGCTGTCTATGTAATCAGGCTTCTGGGTCAACAGGCTGTTAGTAACTAAGTTCTGGGGGAGTCAAAAGTTCTACATAAATTTTTAACTGCACGGTGTTGGTACCCCTAATAACCATGCGGTTCAAGGGTCAGCTATAGATGCTGAAAGAATAGGGTCATAATGGGAGTAATCATGACAATGGCTGTTTAATTCACTCTTTCAATATATTAAAAACTCTCAGATAAACTGGGAGGAAGAATTTAAGAAAAAGAACAATTGAGATAAGTGTATTTTAATCTGATCCAGCTAATTATGATAAAGCACTTACAATTTTATTGAATTATCCACACGGGCTTCTCTAGTTGTAGCTTGAAATTCCTGGATCTATATTGTGAATAAGCATTAAATTTTTTCCTAGTGTCAAAATAAGGTAAACAAAAACTAAAAGAAATAAAGTCTAGTCACTATCACACCATATACCTATAAGATGTAACAATAAAATTAAGCTTACTAAAATGGTTTCATATTTAAGAAAGCCAGTACTATACAATATACTAAAAATGAGTAATTGTTTTAAAAACTTAAAACAATTGTAAAAAGTTTACATTATTATATCTAAGAAAAGTGATTTTCTTTTTTTTAAAATTTAATTTATTTATCTTTAGAGGGGAAGGGAGGGAGAGAAACATAAATGTGTGGTTGCCTCTCATGCATCCCCTGCCAGGAACTGGCCTGCAACCCAGACATGTGCCCTGACTGGGAAACGATCCACGATCCTTTGATTTGCAGGCCCGCGCTCAATCCACTGAGCTACACCAGCTAGGGCAAAAAGTGATTTTCTTGATGAAGTAGTCTGAGTTCCTCTATGTCCCAATTATTCATTTTCTCTACTTTAGTCCAGAGGACTTCAAAGGAAATGAAATACACCTATGTCAGCACCACAGAAGTGTAAAAGTACTTAAAACTGTATGGAAAGAGATTAGACCCAGGGGTGAGCACACAGCGGAGCACAGGAACATTGCATTACGCAGTTGTGCACCTGAAGTTCCTGTAGTATTATTAACCAATGTTTCTCCAATATACTTAATAAAAATAAACAATACGTATTTTTTAATATTTTAAAGCATACCTAAAGGATGGAAATAAAAGAGATATACTCTAGTAACTGCATAATAAATACAAAATAAATAATAAATAAAAATAACAGATTTTTAGCTTACTCCAAGTTTTATAATAGGCTCATCAGTTCCACTCAAATTAAAATTGTAAACATCATTCCTGTAAAAATGAGAAGAAACATTAACTACATTATATAATAACTTTATTTTCGTTAAATATGAAGAAAATTATAAATTTTATGAAAAATTACTTACAATGGGTATTCAGAAGTAACATTAACAAAAGTAGTCTTCAGTTGTCTATAACTTTTTTTCTGAACCTTTTCCTAAATACAAAAGTTGAAATAAAACCATTCAAACTTATACATTCCTACACTAAGCAAATAAATGACATATGCAATTAAATTTTCATATTATTTTCTAGTTGTTTTTCCACTAACATAAATTTTACACTTGTAACAGTTTCCTTAATGTAAATTAAAGTATTAAACATCCACAGTTAAAAATATTGAAGACTTGAGTATTAACTAAAAGGTAATGAAAGTATAAATGAAATAACTTCTTGTACATAGGTAAAATGATCTCACTGGCATTCTACATGCTGAATCTTGGTGATTGTAGAATCATACTCACAAAGCACTTGTTTCTTGTACTCATTTGCTTTAACTTCTTAAATAGAAAGAATTTTGGAGAGGCTAGAGTTTATGTAAAATCTCATGTAAAAGACTCAAAATTACATCAATCAATAAGGACTATTAGGGAAAAATAATGGGTACTCCTGTAGCCTGCTGTTCAAAATATATCTCATCAAAAAATAGGGTAGAGCAGTTGTTAAATAAAATGTTAATGAAATAATTGTTTTTAATTTTCACCAAAGACATGTTTTTATTGATTTTAGAGAATAACGGTGGGAGTGGAGAGAGAGGAGGGAAGAAGAGAAACATCAATCAGTTGCCTCCACACGTGCCCAGCCAAGGATGGAAACTGCAGCCTCGGTATGTGCCCTGACTGGGAGCCAAACCTGTAACCTTTTGGTGCCCAGGACTGCACTCCAACTAATCAAGCCACCCACCATATTCATCTTCAATTTTTAGTATTTCTTCTGGCTGTTTTATATAGATTTGCGTTATTCCAAAAAAATTCTCTCTCAATGTATTAATTCTCTGATCACTTTATCTGACTTACCTTTTTAGTATAATTTCTACCAGTGTTCAGATACACATGTTCATCTTCTGCATGGGAGTGTGTGCTGCTAGGTATTTCAGAAGATATAAAAATGAGCAAAGATACTAAAGATACAAGGATGAGCAAAGGTGTTATACAAGACACAAAGATGACTAAACAGTTACACTCTTGTAAAAGACTGAAGTGTTACAAAATAAAAAACTGCAATAGTGAGGAAAATATCAAAAAGGTAAAAGAAATTATTGTGCAGACTCGAAATCCTTGGTCATTTGGGTTCTGAATTAGAATACCTTGGAAAATTTTTGTAAAGAAGGTAGACTCAAGTAATTCTTGCAAGGAGGAATAAAGTTTTCACAGTCAGAAAGGAAGGTGAGAGCCTGCCCAGTCAGTTCCAAATTCTTTCCAAAGGTGGAAGAAAAAGAAAATGAACACTTCAAGGAATCTCAAGTTATATTTTAGCTACTCAAAACATGCCCAGGAAACTATTAGGAAACAAGACTGACTTTTAAAGGGACTAGGGAGCCAGACTAATTCTCCACACTCAATTCAATAAGCAACAGGGATCAAAGAAAGGTTTTGAACAAGAGAATGAATGACAAGCTTGAATCTGTGCGATTTAGAAATAAAACAGCTGGCATGAATGAACTGGCACAAAGAAATACTAGAGGCAATATGACTTACATAAAGGCTATTGGAGTAATCCAGGGATTAGAAATTTAGAACTCAAAATAGAAAAATAGGACACTAAAATAGGCAGGAGAGGGAAGATTCAAGAGGAACTTACAAAAGGTAAACATCAAAATTTAAAATTAAGTGGAGAAAGTAATTATGAGAAATAAATAAAAGATCATTGATATTTTAAGCCTGGATAAATAATGATTTTTAACAAAAATAGGGATGTAAGAAGTATCTAATTGTCAGGAGACAGAGAAGTAGCTAGAAAAAAATGGAGCTATACTGAATCATAAACAAAAATGTAAAAGTATCACACACATGCAATGGAGCTTTTGCTTTGAAAAGCAGGTTAGAGGACTTCTTCGAGTACTTGCCACTAAACACATCATTAATGTAGTCTGCTTTTCAGTGTGCCGAAAATGTTAATCTAATTCCATCCTACCACTGTTCCATTTTAATGTTTATAGTCAGCTGTCCTGAAGTTTAACTATGTGTACATTTGGCGTAAGTAAATGAAACCTACCTTACTGAGCTGTAGATCAGACTTGTTTGAAAAACCACTACAAAAAAAGTTTTGTCAAAATGATAAAAGCAATTAAATATCAGTAGAGTGTTTTTCATAAAAGGCATTTTATATAAGGTCATGAGTCTACATTCAAAATGCTATAAATAACTGAAATGGGACAGCACTGGTCTCGTATTTTTTCAACTTCACTCATGGTAAATAGCAACAATAATACTTAATTCACTCATGTAGCAGGAGATGCTAAGCAATTTAAATGGGATGGTTCTGCCATGAAAATAATTTTTTTCATGCCCTATAATAAGACTGGAATAAATTTAAATGTGAATTAACCAACAGGCATCCTATAAAAAGACATCTTGTAAAAAGAAAAGAACTAGCCTTCAGAAAGATTATAAACAAGGACTACATATTTACTATATGAAAGTTATTCATTTCAGCTCATTTAAATTTCATTTCATCAAACAATATATTTAAATATTCTTCATTTTACTAATCAGTAGGCTCAATAAAAATCCCTGTTTTAAGTCTGTATCTTAAAGATTTATTTCTGAAATGGTATGCTGTATAAATATGATGTTTTTGATACTTTATAAAATGTAATCAGATACTAAAATAATGTCAAATTTAGTTCTAATTTAAGCAGCTACTATTTATAAAAGTAAATATGTATTTTCTACTGGAAAGTTACATTATTTTAATATGTTGAAAACCTTAAAACAGTATAAAACTAGTTTGTATGTGTCAGAAAAATATTCATGTCTAAAATTTAGAACCTACCTGTTAATCAAAGACTCCTTTAATTTTCTTGTAGACTGTACAGCATCCTTCTGTTTGTATCGCTTATTAATTTGGCTTATCAAGGAATCTGCTGCAATAGTAAGTTCTTTCCCTTTTGATTTTTCTCTCTGAAACAATTTATAATTTACTTAAATACTCTACAAGTTAATGTTCAAATGAAAATAAGGACTGAAAAAATTATTTTAAAAATTCTGGTTCTCTGTATAATCACAAAGGGAAATAAAGGGGGTCAGAAATTATTTAATAAGTTTGGGCTTTGTTAGGCAATAAAATAAGTCAGAATAAGTCTTATTTAACCTATAGAAAGAACTGTGCACAGTGCTCTGTAGATATTTCTTTTTAAGTTTCTATCCATGAAAAACAAAAATCATATAAAAAAAACTAAAGGAAACTACAACTTGGTTCTTTGAAAAGATTTATAAAATTGACAGGGCACTAGTCGGGTTAACTAAGAAAAAAGAAAGCTATAAAATACAGAAATTACTAATATAAAAGTAAAAGAGGCTATCACTACCAATTACACTGACATTAAAAAGATAATAGAGAAATAACACGAACAACTCTATGCCCACAATTTGATAACCTAGATTAAATGAACCAATTCCTTGAAATTCTACAAAAACTCACAGAGAAATTGAAACAATAATGAATACCTTCCAATACCAAAAGCACCAGGCCCAGGTTAGTTTATGGGGGAGTCCCATCAAACATTTCAGAAGAATTATGCCAATTTTCTAGTCTTCCAGGGGACAGAAGCATAAAGAATACTTCCTAAATCATTCTATGAAACCACTATCACCTCATGAACATAGATGCAAAAATCCTCAACAAAATATCAGCAAATTGAACCCAACAATGTATAAAAAGAATTGCCTACTATAACCAAGTGGAATTTATTTCAGGTAAGCAAGATTCAACTTTAGAAAATGAATGAATGCAATCCATCATATTAATAGGATAAAGAAGGAAATCATGATTATGCCAATAGAAGAACAAAAAATTTGCCTAAACCCTATGTCTATTTATGATACAACTCTCAGAAAACTAGGAACACAGGACAACATCCTGTACAGACAGAAAACATACCTGACATCATACTTATGGAGAGAAACTAGATGCTTTCCCACGAAGATCAGCAACAGGGAAAAGTCTGCTCTCACCACCCCTATTCAATATCATCACACTGGAAGTTCTAGCTAATACAGTAAGACGGGCAAAGGATCAGTGGTACACAGATTGGGAAGGAAGAAACAAAACTGGCTTTGTTCACAAATGACATCACTGTCAATGTAGAAAATTTTAAAGAATTAACAAAAATATTCCTGGAACTAAAAAGCAATTATAGCATGGTGAAAGGATAAAAGCCAGTCACTTTCTTATATATCAGTAACAATCAATTAACATTTGAAATTATATTCCATTTACATTACCACCCCCCAGATGGGATGAGATATAAACATAAAAAAATACATAGGATCTGTATCAGGAACACCACATGATTCATGAAAAATTAAAAGAAAAAACTAAATAAATGGAGAAGCTCAATACTGTCAAGATGTGAGTTCTTTCCAATTTGATTTATAGATTCAAGGTAACCTCAGTCAAAATCCTAGAGAGTTATTTTTTGGTTACCAACAATGTGATTCTGAAGTTTACATGGAGCAGCAGAGACTCAGAACAGCTAGCCCAACATCGAAGGAGAAGAGCGAAGGTGGAGAACTGACACTTTGCAAGTCCACCCCACCTTTAGACTTCCGAAAAAGATGGCATCATCAGTGTGGTGTCCTACCGGCGAAAGAATGAACAACAGAATAGCGAACAAAATGGGGAGCCCAGATACAGGTCCACATAAATATAGTCAGCTGATCTGTGACGAAGGAACAAAGGCAATTCAGTGGAGAAAGGACAGTCTTTTTAAACAAACGGTGTTGAAACAACTGACATCCATGTGCTAAAACACAAAAATCCAGACACAGACCTTGTATCCTTCACAAAATTAACTAAAAAATGGTTCAGACCTAAATAAAATGCAAACTATAAAACTCCTAGAAGATTACATAGGGGAAAGTCTAGGTGACCTTGGGTTTGGCATCGATTTTTTTTTAGATACAACACTGAAGGCATGATCCATGAAAAACGAAACTGATAAGTAGTACTTTGTTAAAATTAAAAACTTCAGATCTGTGAAAGAGACTGTTTTAGAGAATGAAAGCACAAGCCACAAACTGGGAAAAAAATAACTGCAAAATACACGTGTAATAAATGACTTGTACCTAAATTATACAAAAAAATGTTAAAACTCAATGATAAGAAAAAGAACTTAATCTTAAAAACTGGCAAAGGATCTGAATGAGAAACCCAACCAAAGACAGAGTTGGGGAGCACAGGGAAAGACGCCCAACAGTGTGTGTCACTAGAGAGCTGCACATTAAAACAACCACGAGATGCCTAAGCACCTGTAACTAACAAAGCTAAAATCCAAAACACTGACAGTGCACAGCACTGGCTGTTATACTTTTTTATTTTAAAAGGATTTATACTTTTTATAAAGATTTTATTTATTTTTAGAGAGAGGGGAAGGAAGAGAGAAACATCAGCGTTCAAGAGAAACATCGATTAGTTGCCTCTCACACGCCCCCAACTGGGGACCTGGCCCACAACCCAGGCACGTGCCCTGACTAGGAATCAAACCAGTTGCCCTTCAGTTTGCAGGTTGGTGCTCAACCCACTGAACCACACCAGCCAGGGCAGTACTGGCAAAGATTTAGATGAATAGGAATTCTCACTCATCGCTACTGGAATACAAAATGGCACAGCTACTTTTTCCACTTTTGGAAAACAGTTTCTTATAAAACAAAACACTTTTATCATAAGATTCAGCAATCATGGTCCTTGGTATTCTCCCAAATGAGCTGAAGTTTATGCCACAAAAAACCTACACACAAATGCATATAGTAATTGTCAAAATGTGGAAGCACCTGTGATGTCCTTCAAAAGGTGAATGGATAAACAAATCTTGGCACATCCATGGAACATTCCCCAGCAACAAAAAGAGGAGCCACCAGGCCCAAAAAGGTGTGGAGGAACGTTCAATGCATACTGCTAAGTGAAAGAAGCCAGTCTGAAAAGCTCCATACTGTATGATCTCAGCTGTGCAGCACTCTGGGAAAGGCTGAACAGTGGAGCTAGTAAGAAGAGTGACTGTCAGGAGTTTGGGGCAAGGAAGAAAAGGAGGCAGGGATGGAAAAAGGAATTTTATAATAGTGAAACTATTGTGTATGATACTGTAAGGGTGTAGACATGTTGCTCTACATCTGTGAAAATACAGATCAAACAATACTGAGTGAACTCTAAACTTTCGTTTACATTAATATGGACTTTAGTTAACCATAATATGTCAATATTGGCTCATCATTTGTAACAAGTGTACCACATTAATGTAAGATGTTAATGATAGGAGAAACTGATCACCTGTATACCTAAAACTTCTCTAAGGAAACTGTATTAATATTTTAAAAACTGGAACAATTACAAATAATTATTATATGCATAATTTTAGAAAACTCTACTAATATTTCTTAAAGATGTAAATTCTCCTGATGCTATTTTCACTTTTCTGGCAATCAGGCATACTGGTTTTTAAAATTATAATAAAATACAGCATAAACATAAATATAGCAACATAAAATTTACTCTTTTAACCTTTTTAAGTTAATATATTTTTATATATAATGAAGTTTTACTTATTAGCCTTCTGAAGATTACCATAATGAAAACAAGGTTTGGCTTGATTAAAATGTAGTGAAAATGAACCTCTCCTAAAAGTGTATGATTTAAGAACTTCTGGTATAATTGGAGCCAATTTGGGAAATCCTTACCATTGAACTACAGAGGTTCTATTTCTCTGGGTTTATTCAATGAACAGAAAGACAGGATGGAGACAGACCTCAGAGGAGAGGAATCCATGCATGGGAGTGGCAGGAAGTCATGCCTGATACAAGAAGTAACACCATGAGAGACTAAAGAGACCTTCTAAAAACACAAAGTTGATTTAAAAAATTTTTTAATCCTCACCCAAAGATCTGTTTCTTGATTTTAGAGGAAAGAAGGGGGAGAGATAGGGAGAGGAGGAGAGAGGGATGTGAGAGAGCAGCATCGGTAGGTTGCCTCCCGAGGGCACTCTGACCAACTAGGGACTGAATCCTCAGTCCTTGGTGTGTGCGGTGATGCTCCAACCAATTGAGCCACCTGGCCAGGGCAGGAAGTTGATTTTTAAAAAGCAGAACACAGTTTAGTTTATTAAATTTTTGTGCTGCCAGGAAAAAGGAATGACTAGCTCAGGGAAATTCTGTGAAGTGATTCTAAATTTCAAAGAAAACAGTTTTAAAGTTAAAACTGAAAAAACCGATCAGTATTCAGACAAAAAATGTCAACCAACCAACCAAAAAACCTTACTTCCCTGGGGCTAAAGGAATTAAATAGCAGCTAAGACTAGAAAGAAGAAAGAATAGCATACCAAGAACCAAGAAAAAAGTAACCCAAGAGGATTTGGTTAAAGAAGAATGTAGCCACCCTGGCCGGTGTGGGTCAACTGGTTGGAGCGGTGTCCCACAAACCGACATGGTGGTGGGTTTGATTCCTGGTCAGAGCATATATTCAGGTTGTGTGGGTTTGGTCCCTAGTCAAGGCATGTACAAGAAGGCAACCAATATTTCTCTATCCCTCCCCCTTCCTCTTTCTCTAAGGGCAATTAAAAAAAATTATTCTCAGGTGAGGATAAAAAAAAAAAAGACAGCAGCCAAATTAGGCTTAAAAACTGAGTTGCAGAGTAAAAGCAAAATGAAGAATAGTCTGGTCAAGACAAATGAAGTAATATCTAATTATATACAGTAATTGTAAACTATTAAATATTTCATTTGTCAACTGAGATGTTAAATATGTGAACATTTTACACTCAGAAATTTAGAAATTAGAAATCTGGCTACCAGACACTAATACTCTGGAAGATCCATGAAAATGACAGCCTGTTTACCTGGGTCCTTAAAGAATAGCAAAAAAAAAAAAAAAAAATCACATTATTGGCAGTGTTTTAGAACTGTATCATCATTTAAAAGTTTGCTTAATCTGCACCTTGATAGAAATGACACCCCACCCCATCAAAAAAAAAAAAAAAAAAAGATAACCGCTACGGGTACAGAGGAGCAGCCTTTCAGACTAGGGTGTGGTCCGCAGCAGACGCAGCCCTACAGATGGCTGACTGAGCAGACAGAAGCGCAGGCTCCGACAGGGACGAGCGCAGTGATAGCGGGAGATGGTCTCCCTCCACCCCACTCACATTCTTTCTTGGAAAACCTTGTCCAACTTTCCTGTGATAATGCAAGGAGTACTTCCGGTGCGACTATGTGCAGAGCTGTGCTAGGCCATGCAGGAAAACAAATGTTGAGTGAAACAGTCTTGACACTAATAGTTTAAAATGGAAAAATCACACGGAAATGACCCTTTATTAAAAAGAAAGGTGAGCACCATGTGAAAGGCACAGGCACAGACAGTTCTATGTGCGTGTTTAAAAGAATCTGAGGGCCAGAGTGCGAGAGACCCAACGAGAAGAGACAAGGCAGAAACTAATATAACATGAAATGTCAGCTGTAACTGAAAATAGAAATATGTATTCCTAAAATTAATTTTGCCTGTAAACTTGAAAAATGTATAACAGAAAATGTAACCTAACTAGAGAATGAAAAGTGACCTCCAGGGCTCATTCACGCTGGGCCTTATGCTTGCGCCTCCTGCGCACCAGCGGCCGCGTGTTTTGTCAGAGCCAGGCCTGCAGTGCGGCGCCTGAGTGCAGGGGCACTGGCTCTGCGTCTGTGTTAAGGGCATCGCAAATGTTCAATCTGCAGCCATCAATCAAGCTTCTTTCACTTTCTTATGCTATAAACCGGGCATATTATGGGTATGCAGAAATAAAACATACTGAAAGCTCACCATTTTTCTTTGTTTCAAATCCCAGGCATTAAGTTCAGACATTAATCTTTTCCTTGATTTTCTATGACTCTTTGCATTTTTACTAGGAGAAGGGCTTTTATCACAAATAGCAGTATTCACATCTTCTGACAATATGTATTTCTTCCTGTAGATGAGAGATTCTTCAACTGTCTTATTTAGGAGAACTGACTTGAAAGTAGTTTCAGATTCAATATGCCAATCACTCTGCTCAGTATTTTCAGTATTTTTCTGCTCTGAATGTTGATTGAGTTGTTGATTGTTTCTTCTGCAAATGTCTTCTGCTGTATCTATTTTGTTATGCTGCACTCTTTCTTTCTTATATTTCATCTTTCCTGTCTCTTCAGAATTATCATCAGATAATGAAGAGGATGATTTTTGTTTTTTAACTTTTTTGTTGATAGCAATATCTAGTGGGAAAAAGAAACTAATCCTTAATAAGTTAATAAACTGATAATGTATAGAATTTGTTAAAACCAAAGAGATTGTCAAGCATTTCAAGAAATGAATATTTCCCTGAACTATTTTACATACAGAAAAATCTACAGTTGACCCCCCAAAATGACATGGGGTTAGGGATGCCAACCCCCTGAGAGTCAAAAATCCACATAGAACTTTTGACTCCCCAGAATTTAACAACTAACCAGCAGTCTGCCTACTGCTGACCAGAAAAGAAGCCTAACCAAAAATATAAACAGTTGATTAACACATATTGTGTATGCCATGTATATTATATAATGTATTCTTTTCTCTTGCTTACTAGAGAACCCCATGTTGTTTGGGGGTCAAATGTCAAGAAAATCATGAGGAACAGAAAAAACATTTACAAAGTGTATTGAAAAACATCTGCATGTAGGTGGACCCGTGCAGTTCCAACCCGTGTTGTCTGAGGGCCGACTGTCACCCCTCACCTTGATTAAATGTGTCTCCTTGGGAAGGAAGGCTTGCTCTTTGCTTATTGCATAACTTAATATTGGTGACAGGTGTCCAACACACCCACTTAGAGGGTGTTTTATTCCCATGACTGTTGTAGGAAACACCAGGAAACCTGGAAAGTAAATTCATTTGCTTAACACAGCACAAAACATTAGCTATGACTGACATAAGACCTTGATTTTTAAAAGTTTCATCAATGTTAATTGATAGCAATTTTTTAACAGTCAAGTATGAAAATGTTGTCATAATGCATTATGAAAGTTAAAGTTTACCACAGAATTAATCAGATTAAAGATTAAAAAGCTCCATTATCACTACAGTATTTATATATTCCCAAACTAGTTTACATTTCTTTACATTTATACTTTATTATTTTTCTTTTTTTTTAATATTTTATTTATTTTCAGAGAGAGGGAATGGGAAGGAGAGAGGGAGAGAAACATCAATGTGTGGTTGCCTCTCATGTGTCCCCCACTGGAAACTGGCCTGCAACCCAGGCATGTGCCCTGACTGGGAATTGAACTGCAATCCTTTGCTTCACAGGCCCACACTCAATCCACTGAGCTACACCAGCCAGGGCTATTTTTTCAATCTCATTCATTTTAAGTTTTAATTTGAAAGGAGTTATGTTGGTTGGTCAGGGTAAAACATATTCCCCCATGTGCTATCTTAATACTTGAGAGATTATTAATGATGGAAGCAACAGGATATTTTAAGACGATAAAGGCCTTTTCTTTAAATTCATTACATTTATCTGAAAGTCACAGTATATGCAGAAAGATTGGATGGGTTTTCTCATACTTACCTAAGTTCATCTATTTTTCCTACTGCCTGTGAATCAGGAATGACGTACAGGGGTTCACCTAAATGAAACAAATTTATGGAACTCTCACTTTTTGTGCAGTTGGTAAAATTGGCATAGATTTTGATCAAGGTTTACATATTGGGACGGAGAAGTTAATTGATTGCATTCCGCCTGCCCCCCAGACCCAAGCATCTTGGAAACAGACTGTTTTATATTTCCTTGTAACCTTTAAGTTTTATGCATAAAGTTGAATACATCTATTAGAAATCTTTCTTTTACAAATCAGTGAAAGCCAGTGAGGCAAAAGGAAAGTATAGAGAGAAGTACGTATTTTTTATAAGAGTCACTGAGATTAAGCCAAAAAGTACTCACTAAAATTTTGATTTGGGAATTCAGTGTCCTTGTTTTCTGTCTTCTCTACACCGGTGGCGGCTTTGATGCACTGTAGACACAGGAGACATGTGAATGTGGACGTGAAGTAGGTCTTACATGAAAACAACTTGTAAAAGTCAGTGTTAGAGTAGAACTTTTAAAATCATTCTGCCTCACTGTTAAGAACTGGATAGTATTTCTATTTATAGTTGACCCTATAGGAGGACCAAACTGTCACTCTGTCCAATTTGTGTATAACTTGTGACTTCCCCAAAACTTAACTAATAGCCCACTGCTGAGTGGAAGCCTTATTGAGAACATAAGCAGTCGGTTAATACATATATTGTATGGTAAAGACATTACATATTGTATTATTACAGTAAAGCTGGAGAAAAATAAAATGTTAAGAAAATCTTAAGAGGAAATACATTTACAGTATTTATGAAACAAAATCCATGTACAAGTGAACCTGTGCAGTTCAGAGTCGTGTTGTTCAAGTGTCAACTGTACTTCATCAAGGTTATGCCTGTTTTCCAATATTACCTTTTCTAAACTACGAGAAAATAACTTCCACTGCAGAGAAGGAAGGAGGCAGAAGATCCTACAAATTTTCTGAGCTCTCCCATAATTGGTAAAGTAATTCTATCTTCCTCTAACTGACAGTTTCTGAGACCCTCCAAGGCACATCTCCTATTGTTTTGATCTGACAGCATGTATTTATTTTGTCTTTTCACTAATATACATAAAGGATTGAAAACTTTATAAAACATTAAATGTCTTGTAAAGTTTTGCCCAAAGCACAGATAACTTCTTACCTATACATATACATATACATATACATATACATATACATATACATATACATATACATATACATATATATATATATATATATATATATATATATATATATATAGCAAGCTTCCCTCTTTCCATAACCACAGATACTTACCCAGATCAGATAAAAAGCTGCTGTCACTGTCAGAAACATAAGCCTTCTAGACTAAGAGAGTTTGCCTCACCCTGGCTTTCTTTCCTACTTAATCGAGCCAGTGGCCCTTCACCCTGGGAGAGGAGCAGCAGGAAGATGCGCGGGGCGGTGTGGGTGTCACAGGGACAGAAGCGCTCCCCTGATAAGGAGCCAAGCACAAGCCCAGGACGCTTACTGCCCTGCAGCGGTCAGTGCCACACCCCGAAACTGAAGTGCCCCTGGAAAGAAACACTTAACTAGAGGATTGGAACCGCCACTTTAACTGTTTTTCTAACATCTTTGACTCTGGTGCCCTTTATCTTTCCGCCACATAACCATTTATATTTTTCAAATCACCATCTATTCTGTGTTACTTTACACTGAGGCCACTAAGCTTTGACAGAATATTACGTGTTTCTGAACCAAGGCTGTGATAAAATTCAGTGTCTGATTTAAACTGGGCCCTCCACATTGCCTAACACTTGTACTCATTCTTGGCTTGTCCCTGAACCCTCTATGTCAACATGTCCCCAAGAGAAATTCTCCTTCCTCACACTGCAGAGGAACAAACTACCAGGTGTTCTCTATGAATTTATCTGTATCTTTGATTGAGTAATTCTGTTTCTCCAGGAAGCAGCTTCCTCTTACCATTCCCTGCTCTGTCCCTTCCGTTACCTGGAATAATGCCCTCATCCATAATATCCATTTGCACGACCTTCATTTACCTTCCAAAAATCAACTCCTCCTCTATCTCCTTAAAAAGACTCTCCTGACCTTCACCACCCCCCCTTCCAGCTCTGGGTGTAGGCACCAGTCCCTCCACTAGGTTCCTACTGCACCTCATAGGTACATCTGATAAAATTTACCCAATGTTACAGTGATCTTAATCAATTTGTCTAATTCCCACGCTAGACTTGGAAATACTTAATGACAAACTCCATATTTCTATACCAGAACCATCCCTGTAACAGACATTAATTTATATAACCAAAGAATGACTCTCTGGCCAGTGTGGCTCAGTTGGTTGGAGGGTCATCCCATAGACCAAAAGGTCACAGGTTCGATCCCCTGTCAGGGTACATTTTCCAGGTTTCAGGTTTAATCCCCAGTTGGGGCACATATGAAAAAGCAACCAGTTGATGTTTCTCTCCTACCCGCCCTCAAAAGCAATGAAAAAATGTCCTTGGGTGAGGACTAAAAACAAAGAAGAAAAAAGATTATAAGCCCATTCTTCTACCAGATGTGTGAGTCAAAGTTACATTGAATGGATATCCCTAAATTTTATTTTCAGCACAGTAAGTGAGTTGTACCTGACAATGACTTTACGTTCAAGAACAACTAGTGGTATCTTTAAAATAAGCAGTGCCTTAAAGGGAGACGCTCACTGCCTGTAAAAGAAGTTAGTTTAATATGTATTTTTTTAATAATGTGATAAAAATGTATTTTTTAAATGTTTTCAGAGTCAACTTACTTTGTCTGTATCATCTCCTCTGTTGCTTCCTTCACGTGATTTAGGCTGATGTGGTACAGCATTGTCCACTTCATTTTCCAACATTTTAGAAACACCAGGTTTTTCTGCAGAACTCATCATTTGCAGTGGTGGTTTAATTCTTCCTCTTCGTGGTGTTGCTGAAAAGGAGGACAAAGGACTGGCACATTTGTGGGGTTTTAAAGTCACATGTCGATATTACTGAGATCCTCTGTAGATGAGGAAGGCAAATGAGGGAGGTTCTAGGATGAGCTCGTTTACTGGTTCAGATGAGTAAGTGAATGTAGATACTGTTCACCAAGGTAAGAAATGGAGAAAAAATTGGCAGGGAGTTGGCGGGGTAGGGCATGGAAAGATGACTTTATCTTGGACCTGCTAAGTTTCTGGGGAGCCTGTTGGACATTAGATAACTGCCCAGTAGGTAACTGGATTTGGGGAACAGAGGTAGCTACTCAATTGTCAAAGAGATTAAATAAAACAGTGTTTGTAGCAACTAGTCTACAGTATCAGATTATTTCTACTTAGCTCTTCCTATGTACCAGGTGCTGTCCAAATGTAATGTGAGTGATTTCTACCTAAACCTCTAGACAACTTGATGAGGTAGACAAACTTTAGTTCCATTTCATAGAAAGGAAACTGGTTCTAGGGTAATCTGTACCAAGTCCACACTCGGGAGTGGCAAAACAAGCCCAAGTAGCCGAACTGATTCAATGTTTTATCCACTATGTTAAGCTGCTCCCACTTAAATTATAATAAATTATTAGTGCTGGATATTTATATTTTGAATAAAGTTTATTATGTCAATACCCATTAAACCTTTCTTAGACATTTGAAATTTCTTGACAATTAGAAGACATTTGTGGTTCATAGTTTTCAATTTTTATATCTCCAACTTATCCTCTAGGTAAATTATGTCCAGAATATCCCTGAACTTAAAAACGCCTACTTTAAAATACAATAACAGTTGTTAGAAATCTTTTAAGACCATAAACTCACGTGTGTTGATTAAAAGTAATGGACTTCTCACGGTGTACCTTTCTGCACCAGTAACAATCATTGAGGCTTCAGACATTTTTCTTCTGCTAGGAGTAATTATCTTAAAGCATGAGAAACAACCGCAGTAAATACACGCTATCTTTTGAAATTAAATATCCTACAATTTTATCATAATATATTTAAATATCATAACATTTTACCTTGACTATATACAGAAGATATGTGGCATTTCATAGAGAGCATGATATCCAGATTTTTTTTGTTTTTGGCTGAATCTTCACTAAGGATTTTATTCTAATGTTTGATATTGAGCAAGTAGCCAAAATAAGTAAGGATGATTGTTTTAAACAATGATTGTTTTAAACAGTTTTTATAGCCCTGGCTGGTATGGCTCAGTTGGTTGCAGCATTATTGCATAAACCAAAAGGTCGAGGGTTTGATTCCAGATCAGGACACATGCCTAGGTTGCGTGTGGGTTCAGTCCCCCTTCAGGGAGCATGGCCGAGAAGCAACCAATCAATGTTTGTCTCTCTCCCTCCTTCTCTCTCCCTCTCTTCCCTTGGGTGAAGATTAAAAAAAAAAAAAGTAGAAGAATACTTATAGAACATCTGGACATGTAAAAAGCCTTTTAAAATTGATACTGGGTTTGTCTAGTTAACCAGTGGCCCTCAGTCTCCTATACTATTTCATGTAGATTATGTTGGGATACATATTTATGTACACTTGGTTGTGAATGCTTTCATAACATTAAGCATTGTCTAAAACTTTCTCACATGTACAAAACTGTGTTAATACCCTGTGAAGACTAAACTGCCCCTGGAGTAAAAAGGAGCTGCAGGAATCCGGAAGCTCAGTGTCATAAAGGCTAGTGTTCCCCTGAAGACCTACACTTCTGCCCACCCTGGAATGACTGCTGGGAGCCGCAGAAGTAGACAGGTAGAGGAGGAGACAAGATGAGACAGGAGTGTCAGCGGGTGAAAAAAGACACAGTAAAGCCACCGACCTACTTAAAGGATGCTTCAACAGAATAAAAGTGTAGTCCCAGAACAGTCAAAGTTTGGACTGAGTAAGATAGACACAGATCACAAAGTTTTCTGAGCAACAACAGAAAAGCTAATATTAAGACAAATTAATGGAAACAGTGTGGTGAAGACCAGTTCAGAGGTTCCTGTGCTGGTCTAGATTCACTAAACCGAGTAGTGGAAAGGGAATGAGGAGCAGGGGAAAGGGGTGGGGCCTACAGTGGAAACCAGTCCCAGCACCTCAGTCGGTGTCAGGGGGAAGGGCTGGAATCAAGGATGCCGTCATGGTGCATTATGGAAGTGCGGGGCAGACGCAAATTTGAGGCGAAAGATCAAGTTGGCTGTCAGACTTCAGGAAAGGGCTTGAAGGAAACAGAACAGTAAACAGAGAAGCTGCTGTAGAACTTGAAAAGCTTAAATTATGCAGAGGAAGGAAGCTTGCTAGGGAAGAAGGCAGAGAGAGGTTGGGTGTGCAGCTTTTCCAGGAAATCTCCCTTCAGCAGTGAGGAGCGAGTATTTCTGATACAGTAACAGGAGGTGGAGAAGGAAGACACTGACGAGGGGAGGGCATTAAGGCATCGAGGGCTGTTAGCAATGCCCAGTGTCACAGCCATATGACAAAGAAGGCTGAGGAGTGTGGCTCTGGGACATGGCCTAGAGGGGACCTCCAGTGAAGCAGGAGCGGGGCATGGGGTGAGGGGGGAACAGAACAGCAAGTGCCATGGAAGAGTGGTCATTAGCTTCCTAAACATCTCTCATTTGGAATTCCCAGGTGTAGAGTGTACCCTGCACTAACCCTTACACACACGTACAGTCTGCTAAAACACCGTCTTTTGGTTTTATTTGTAAAAGGCAGGAAAAGTACTCTGAAGTGTTATAGAGGCTTTTTCCCTATAATCACACATAGCAACAATTTGATGTATTTTCTAAATGGATGACTGTTTAGACACTGCATTTACCTCAGGCTGACTATTTCTTCTATCCCCTGGAGTACTGTTTTGGATATGTTTTTGAGGTTTAGCAAATTCCTTTTGGGAGTTAGGTTTTTCTTTTGAACTAACGAGTTCTTCTGCAACTGGGGAGACTTGACTTTCCGGTACTAGAATCTGTAGGAGAATGTGGAAAAAAAATACTTAAAACTGCAAACCATAGGATGCCCTCAAAAACCACTGGATGTCTTAATAAAGCGCCCATTCATCTCACACTTCCTATGGTCAATTCTTTCCATCTTCCACATACTGTTACAATTTTTAGTCCTCCAAAGTAACCCAACTAAAAGTGTCCACTTTTTCAAATGTTAACAGACCTAGCACAAGCTTCTGCATCAGTAGGACATATACTTCAAAACTTAAAAACACTGCTGTTGATTAAGAACCAAATATCTACCTTGCTACTAAAATAATCATTAATAACATGTTTAAGAATCACATACATCTCATTGACGCACTATCCATGTTGAAATGATTTATTTTTGAGATATTTAACCTCCAGCATTACCTTTATTTGTGTTATTATTTGTGTTAAACTTAGACCAATGATTAAAATCAAGGAAGTTAGACACATACCTGTGATCCACTTGCATCAAAAAGTACATGCACAGATGTTTTGGCAACTGAAATACTCTGTTTTCTGATCAATTCCTAAAATTAAATTAATTCAAAGTGATGTCATTTTCTTGTAGTTCTTTCCATTTTAATGCACTTATTTCCTACCTGTTTCCTTTCAAAATTGCCAAATCATCTCAAGTCATTATTTCATACGTATAAATGCCTTTCTCAGAACACTTGAACTTCTTAGCATGCCATTCCGGTCAGGACCCCTCACCCCATCGTCTCTGCTACTTCACCACAATCTTTGGCACCGTTGCAGACTGAACACATGCCCCCTCACCGCAATTCATGTTGAAACCTAACCCCCACAGTGCTGGTGCAGGAGGTGGGGCCTGCGGGAGGTGACTGGGTCCCCAGTGCACAGCCTCCTGAGCAGGATGAGTGCCCAATAAGGCCAATCTAAGAGAACTCTTTCCCCACCCCGACCCACCACAGGAGAACCCCGTGACAAGATGTCTGCTATGAACGAGGGAAAGGGACCCTACCAGAAACCAAATCTGCTGGATTTGGACTTGATCTTGGACTTCCCAGTCTCCAGAGCTATGAGATACAAATGTCATTGTGTAAGCTACCCAGTCTGTGGTCTTTCTGTGTTAGCAGCCTGAACAAAGATATACCCTATCCAGACCTGTTAAGTGAGTATCTTCCCCAAACATAACAGGAATTGTCACCTTCGGTTCCCAGTTAAACAGTATCCAGCTCATATGTCTTCCACAGTTGTGGGAAGGGTCTAACCTACTTTATCCATCGACTTCAAAGGCCAGCCAAACCACATCTCTGCACCTTCTCTTCCAAATCTGATTCCTAACGGGCATTCTCTCTTCTCTCAAATTCTATGCTTCAGTTTCCCTATGCCACTTATTTACATCTTCGGAAGGATAGCCTGTAATTCTCCCAACTATGTCTCCTCTTGAAAAGGGGGCTTCATCTCATTTCACTTTTTAAACACCTAGCAGGGATTCATGAAATGTTTTCAGCATCTGCCACTCATTCCATCATCTGAGGTTTTCCCTAACGGGTACACCAAAGGGTATGGCTAACAGCCTGATGGCTAGGGACAGTGCAGATTTAAAGAACTAAAAAGCTACATGTCATTTTAAGAATTCTAGGGGGAAAACCTCAATAAAACTTAGAAGCCCAAGTAACCAAAAGTTTCCAGAATATGAAAATGAATCTTTATTAAAAACATTAAATACTTACCTGATGTTTATGTGCACCAAACATTTTTTGTGTCACATTAGTGATTTCTAATGATGCATCAAAATACAAAAGCAATTTTTTTCCTTCTCTTGTACTAATTTTCAAGATATTTTTCAGAATTACAGTCAGCAGCTTCTTTGATTTTCTCTCTGTACACATATATACACACACACACAAACACGGATTATTTCCTATTCATTTCTATGGTACCACTCTATAGGTATACTATAAGTAAGAAAAACATACAGCATATTAATAACAATAACTTAATAAAGTTAACTTTTAGGATTTAACAGTATTTAAATTAATTCTAATAATATCTATGTAAACAAAGTAAATTTATTTTTAGAAAGTTTTAGGTGAATTTTATTTTTCAGAGCCTTGGTTCCCTGATCTATAACTTACAGGCTAATACAATAACTAATGAACTAAAGCCTGAATATATTCTGGACACCAACAGGTTCTTAATAAATATTCCTTAAACACATCTGAGAAAACTATTTTCTTAATTTAAAAGAAGGAAACAAAAATAGCTAATTCCTTAAATATCCATATTTCTGTGCATTTGTGCCTGTTCAAACAGTTCTATTAAATCCATAGTTACTACAAATATCTTGACAGTAAACAAACAACAAGTGATACAAACATGAGTGCTGGGAAACTGTGATGTGAGAATACAATGCTCACCTTCAATGAATTTATCAATCCAGACGGAAGAAGACTGTTAATGCCAGTTTATTAGAGGCATTCACCTCCCTTACTCCAAGAAGTCATCGAAAGACTACCTGGCACTCAGGGAAGGAGCCTGTATCACAGGCTCACGGCACCTCAAGTGGTGCCCTCTTGTTGACTGAGAGGACTCTGTACTTGCCCCTGAATAATTTTGGGAAGGAGGAAAACATCTCTAGGGAGAAAGGCCACGCCAAATGGGAAAACTCGTCTCTGCACCAGGAAAGGCTTTGCTGGTCACTCAGTGACCTAACCTAAGGGGCAAATGCCCCGACGGGCTAGCATACTCGGATTCTCGAGAGGCTAACCCAAGCAGGAAATGTCTTGCTTGCATTTGCAACTATATGGTCATGAAACTTTCAGAGTACTGTCCTTTGATTGACTAAGAATTATTGATTGCTTGAAGATGGTGGCAACACTTTCCAACTAAACAGTGCCAGTGGGCTTTTTTGAAGCAAAAGAGTCATGTGTTTCAACATTAAGTCATCAGGCTTTAGCAATGAAGATTCATTCCACTTAAGACAAACTCGTACAAACAGAAGGTGGAATGGAGGTTACCGGGGCTGGGTGGAGGGGTGAAAGGGAGTTATTTAATGGATACAGTTTCAGGTTTGGAAGATGACAAAAGTTCTGGAGAACAGTGTGAATATAGTTAACGTTATTGGACTATACACTCAAAAATGGTTAAGATGGTAAGTTTTATGTTATGCATTTTTTACAATAAAAGAGAAACTGGGTGAGGAAATATTCTGTACTATTTTGGAAGGACAAGGTTCTTGTATTATTCATAAAGGGGTATAATATTAAACATATGCACTATCAAGTTAAAGATGTATCAAGTAAAGTCTACATCAGTTGCTAAAAAAAGAGTATAAAGCCAACAAAAGAGATGCAATAAAATTATTCTGAAATCAATTAATATGAGGGAAAAAGAGAAAAGGAAATGAAACATGGCAGATAGAAACAACAAGAACCAGATGGTAAATTTAAAGCATATGAATAATTACCTTTAAAGGTTACAAATTACATTTAAAAAACAAGATCCAGTATATGCCGCCCACAGGAAACCCACTATATATGTATAGATGATCCTTATATATACAAACACAAAAATAAGTTTAAAAGACAATATATGCCATGCTATAGCTAACCAATGCAAAGCTGGAAAGATATGCGTGTATGTATTAATGTTACATAAAGTAGATTACAGAGCAAAGAATACTACCATGGGCAAAAGAGGGTCATTTCATAACGACTATTAAGAAAATACATGAGCAAGAGGCAGGCTGGGAGAAAAAGACTCATGGAACATGTATCTGTCACAGAAGTGGTACCCAGTGTGTGTCAGAACTCATTTAATGCAATAAGCAGTCCAGTAAAAAAACGGACAAAATATTTAAGCAGATACTTTGCAAAGGAAGATACACAAATGGCTGCTAAGCACATGCAAAAGTGTCCAACATGAACCAGTCACCAGGGAAACGCAAAGAACTATCATGACACACCACTACAGACCCACTGAAGGGACCAGCGTGTCTTGATACTTGAACTTGTAGAGGTACCAGTCAGCCCAGCTGTATTGTTCTGTCCAGCCGTGATGTGCAATCCCAGCTGTGTGAGTGGACAACTGAGATATTTGGATCTAATCACACAACTAGGATGGAAGGGCAAGAGCCTGGAACACAGTAACAAGAAAGCGACTGGTCATGGGTTTCAGCCCAGACAGGGAAAGAAATACGTATAGGAGGAAGATGGGAGATTGTGGAAGGAGGAAGTGTAACAAATTTAAGATGGTGAATGTAAGGAAAATGTTGACTTTGCTTTCATGAGCTTATTTCTTTTCTCAGAAAGCATGTAATTTCTGTTCCACATCAGAGGCATCAGAAGAGACTTCTAGAAAGGATCCATACCTTCAATGCTGTACGTTTGTACTTTATCCTCGGGCACAGTGACCGCTTCCCACTGATGGTCCTTAAAATTTAAAGACAGGTTTTGACCATAAACAAATAATTTATTCTTTCTTTAAAGTTTCTTTAAACACCATTTTCAGTTATACAAACAATGGTTATTTATTACTAAGTAACCAGTTGATACAGCACAATTCTTGCTCCAACAATTGACTGCATAGTACATTACACATGTCACATTGAATCTATTTGGTCACTATTACATGGAAGTAATTTTATGGTTCCCTATTCTTGACCAAAAAAGGTGATTGTCCATTAATATTTGAAGACATCTTTTTAAAATAAAAGTTACCAAATCCTATCTTTGTCATTGAAATGTTTTGTGAAATACATATTTTTTTAAAGATTTTATTTATTTATCTTTAGAGGGGAAGGGAAGGAAAGAGGGAGAGAAACATAAATGTGTGGTTGCCTCTCATGCGTCCCCTGCCGGGAACTGGCCTGCAACCCAGGTATGTGCCCTGACTGGGAATCGAACCATGATCCTTTGATATTTATTCTTTGGTATTTATCCTTTGATATTGACACCAGCCAGGGCTGAAATACATATTCTTTAATTTCCAGCTATTGTCCTCAGATTCAAACATTGAATGTACATTAGTAATAATGTAAAATGTTTTTTCTCCTCTAAGTGTTTTCATTGAAAATTTGGATAACTGAATAAAATGCTGAATCCACAAAAACAGTCATAGTAAACGTGAGATACCATTCCTAAAAGATGGGATCCTAAAACTTTTCAGTAATCTTGCGAGAAAAACAGATCCAGTTTTTCAGTTGTTAAAGGACAACTTGTTCTCACTCTACAGAAGTGAAGCCAGTCTGGGCTCCAGTAGCGACCCCACCCTGACAGCCTCTGCAGAAGGCACAGACTGTCCCAGGCCCCAGATGCTCCAGGCAGGAGGAGAGGCTTGGAGCCTTCTCTCCCCACCGCTCCCAGCGGCTGTTTCTCCCTGAAACACTGGCTCCCCCGAGGCCAGTACAGCATGTGGCAGGACCTACTACTGGTTGTTACCATCTGACTTCATGATGACTTCCTGCACATGGAGGCACCTGGTTCACGGACTTCCTTTACATTTTTTTTATATCGTGGGAAGTTTCAAACAGACTTTTAAAAAGAGGAGACCATAATATAACAAACCCAAAATGTGTGTTTATCTAGCTTCAACAGTTGCCAATACACTGTGCTTATCTTCTCTCATCTTCACCCCTTACTCTCCCTGCATTATTGCACCTACTTCCTCTTGGTATCAATTTTTATTCAGCCTCTGCATCACCCTGTCATCAATTTTAAAAAGCTCTTATCCTTAAAATAAAGAACCTCACACAAATCCCTCCCTTGAGTCTACATTGAACATTTGCCACTGTTGTGCTCTTTCCCTTAATGGGATGTTGTTTTTCTCCACGTGGCTTAGCTTTCCAGGAAAGCCTGCACCCTTGTCTCCCCAGTGAAACCACTCTCGTTGACAACACTTTTTTGACAGTGTTGGTCATTCACTCTCCTGAAAATACCGTTCCCTTGCCTTCCATAGCACGAGACCCTTTTAATTTGGTCTCTTTTGGCTGATTCTTCAAGTACCCTTCATTCAGACTAGAGTCTCTTCTACCTACCCCGCATAAATTTGTGTCTTCACGGTTCTGTCATCTAGGCATTCATTAAGTCCCATGATTTTATCACCTGTCTATATATAGCTTCTAAATCTCCCCTGTGGCTCAGTTCTCTTACCCGAACCTCTGACTGGTGTATCCAACTGCCTGCCAGACATCCCCTGCTGAATATCCCACACATATCTCCAAGTCAAACCCCTCAAATCTAAACTCATCGTTTTTCCCCTGCAAAACTTACCCTCCTCTGACAGGACCATCCAGTTACCCAGTTTGATGACTCCTCCTCCTTTTTACTACAAACAGATGGCCAAGTCTGCTCACTTTGACTTCCTCTCAAGTCTTCCCGGAACCCACCCGTTCCCACCCACCCCCACTGCAACCTTCCAGAGCCACGCCACATGACTTCTCGCCTGACTTACAGTGAGTCTCCTCACTGCTTCCAGGTTTGTCCCTTTTTAATCCGTTGTCCCCACCAGGAGACTCTTTTGCATGAATGTGGTCCTTACCTCTGTCTTATAACCCTTCTTTAGATTCACACTGCCTGATTTCTCTCCACTCTCCTTTGCACTCTTTGCACACTACACATCTTTCAGTTCTTTGAATATTCTAAATACTCATTCTTATAATAAATATGGATAGCTGTAAATGAGAAAGATGGGTCCCTGATTTCATGAATGTTACATTCAACAGGGTAAAAATGGACCACAAATAATAAATGTAGTGATTTTAACATAAATTACCATAAAGAAAATAAAACAGGACAATGTGTTACGACGTGGCTGGGCAGTTACTTCAGACTGAGCTCCCAGAGAACACGGAACACCGCTCCAAGGAGGCCATCTCCAGGCCAAAATCTGTGTGGGAAGGAACTGGGACACGAAGAACTGGAGGCAGTTTCTACGCAGAAGAACCAGTGAGTAGAAAGCCCTAAGATGGGCATGACAGAAACGAAAGAAGGGTTTTAAGCAGCCACTTTATGTGGAATGGCTTCTGGTGAGAGACTACCGTGATAATGTTAACATTGCTACAGAAGCCAGAGGAGAGAGGAGTCTAAACATATACATATTATGGGGAAGAAGAATCTCCCAGCATCTCTACATCAGTGTCTGGAACACAATAGACATTAAATACTTGTAAATGCATTTTATGCTAGCCCCATTGTGTTTAATTCTATAATTGCTTATTTTCTTGTCTGAATCATCCATTAGACCAAGCCGAGTGAAGGAAGGAACTATATCAATTCAATTCTATCCTCTTCTCCCAAAATGGAAGTCCAGTTCCTGAATAAAATCCAGTTAAAAATATTCCTGTAAGTCCCGCAGGACTAAATAAACTAGTGAAAACTGCCAGTGCCCCTGAGAAGCAGTGCTAGTATGTGGAACGCTTTTAATGAAGCAGTCTAAGAAGGTACTAGAAAATGCAAAGAAAAAAAGGGATGTGGCAATCCTAAGAAGCATCTGATTAATGTTCATCTGTGAGAGTTGAACTGGAACAAAAAGCAGAATTTTATACGAGATCAACTAGAAGGACTAAAGCTTCATAATACTGTCAGGTGTCACAACTGGATTAGTAAATGCAGATCAACTCGTACTCAAATATTGGCACAGTCATTATACAATTGGAGGTAGAAATATCCCAAAATACCAAATATTAAATAGTAGCTATTTGGAAACAAAGTTTCGTGAATTTTCCTCAGGTTAGAAACGGGTCAGTAGAAAATACAGCACCTGGTTGGAGGGTTCGAATAGAGCTACAATATAGCATAGGAGGGCAAGGTCTAAAACTCACTTCCAAATATTCCCATGAGAGTGGGCTCCTCACCGTTTTCAAACAGAAGATTGTATGAATAAGACCATTTGTCAGTATCTGTTAATATTATTTCTGAGTGCCTCTTTATTTAAGTAACTTATTTTTTCTAAATTCAATTCACTTTATTCATGTGAATGTTAAATTTTATCTGAAAGTAACATGTAGCTTATTTCTGAAAAGCTTATGTTAAACAACTAGTATTAAAATTTAGCATTAATTTTTCTGTTGCAGTAAAGCATCAGAAATAGTTTTCAGGTCTAATTAGCTGATATGTTACCATGCTAATCAAAACTGCTGGGATAATACTGAAACATTAAAATAGCTACAAAAATATAAAGTGAATTCTACATTTTTAAACTGAATTAAGACATTTATATACATATATACATAACATATAAAATAGTACAGAGGTAATAAAACTTACATCGTCATCTCCAGCAATGTAGAATGATAGAGACTGGCTCCCAAGATTAAAATCTATCCAGAATTCCTCAAGTTTTTCATCTGATGGTATTTGCAGCTAATAAAATAAAGGTATAAAAGTAATATATCCAATGCTCTCAGAAATGACAACAGAGAATTATAATCATGTAATATTCACGGTTAAATTTTTCTTTTTCTTTTTGAAAAGAGGATAGCTGGAAAGTGAGAGAAGATAGAGGAGACAAGTATTACATTTAAATCAATTTAGAAAGAATAAAAAAATTTTTGTTTAGTATTACAGACAGAAATTAGCTAGCTTCAGGCAATCACAAATATTCCAAGTGCAAATAAAGGTTGAAAGTATTAGTTTGAATATATCCATCAATGATAAGTAAATAATAGGCTTGGTTAAGGAAACAATAAAATTTGAAATAAAATCTTTGCATTTTATTTATTCTGAACTACAAATATATCATAAAATGTGTCTTAGATATAGGATACTAGACCAGCTATATATGTGATGTAATATAACTTTTTAATGCTCTTGCCAATTTGTAATCTGTAGTTCACTTGACCCTTACCTCAAAATTCATTCAATAACTAAAACATGTTAAATTTAAAGCTTACCTCATATTTATCAAGAAATGCTGATAAACAAGGAAATGTGAAGACCCTGAAATAGAAAGTTTGAGGTAAAGAAATAAATTAATAAGCCTTTACAATAGCATAAGCTTGACCAGCCATACAAATCATGCCTAGGATCAAAAGAAAATCAGGAAGTGGTCATAACAATTAAAATAAAATCATATCTCCTTTATTGCTTTTTAAAAGTGTAATAAAAATCTGTTTCTATAGAGAAAGCATAACCCGCCATTTTGACTAAAGTGATTGTACCATATTACATTCCATGCTGTTGACTCTGGGCAGAGATTCCTATTTTAGTTTTTACTCTCAACACAATGAAAGTTCCCACAGGACTAGATGGGATAAGACAAGAACTGAGTAACACTCCTAATGAAAACGGCTGAATTTAGTGACTATTTCCTCGGTCAGCTACAATTATAAGTGCTACCATATAATTATCTCAATCTTCACAACAAACACTGAATAGGTATTACTAGTATCCCTATATCGCAGCTAAGAAAACAGAAGCGAGTAAGGTTAAATAATCTGCCTCATGTTGGGAAGAGAGAAACTGATTCAAATCCAAATAGTATGACCCCTTGCACGTACCCTCACCCTGTTGTTCATTTCCTTAGTAAGTAAAGTACACATGAACTTAGTCACCCAATGTGTCCTGAGCATCTATAAGGTGCCTGACACTGCAAATATTCTGTTGTTCTGTCACTATCAGAGTGATAAAAATTCACATCACCTATCCTTACATTCTCATTCCTGAGATTAAATGATCTGTGTTAATTTACCTTCTTTTGTCTCCAAGCATGCCATTTACAAGGTTGAGAAAAATCCTGCAGTCCTAATTTTTTTAAAAAAAGAGAGACTTTGAATAAACCATGGTAATTTTCAAAAACAATGGTTAATTTTTAAATTTTTATACCACTTACCGTTTCAAATTCAGAATCCTTAATTCCTTTAAATGCATTTGCAATAAAATCCATTGAAAACCACTGACATGCCAGTTCTTGCCTTTGTTTCTCTGTTGTTATTCTACATAAAGCCTCTACGATACCTACTTGTAAGTCATAATCTTGAAAAAAAGGGTAATGTGTTATTTGAAATTATAAAAATTAAGAATTTATAAAATTCGATATATTTTATCAGGTATTAGAACAAGCAAGATAAAATATTAGTGTAATTTACTCATCTTTTGCTATTTTCTTCATATGAATTACAACTAGCTCATCATAATAGAAATGAATACAACCCAAATAACAAAATAAATTTACCATCCGAAGTAAATAATTTTTTAGCCCTGTCTGGTGTAGCTAAGTGGGTTGAGTGCTGACCTGCGAACCAAAGGGCAACTGGTTCAATTCCTAGTCAGGGCACATGCCTGGGTTGCAGGCCAGGTCCCCAATAGGGGGCACCTGAGAGGAAACCACACATTGATGTTCTCTCCCTCTCTTTCTCCCTCCCTTCCCTCCTCTCTAAAACTAAATACATAAAATCTTAAAAACAAGAAGTAAATAATTTTTTAAAGGATGTTTAAAAAGAAATTCCTAAATATTCAAAGACTGCCATTTCATTGTTATCAGAGTTGTGAATTGTAAAATAACTCATATAATAGTCTGCAATCACAGAATCTTTGTTTTCCTTTTGTGAAATATGTTTAAAGTTATTCCAAAGTACTTTAGGCCAGTGATTTATTCTACAATATATGTTAATCACCGCGTCAAAATTTTCTCATACAAAACTTAGGGGGAAAATTTTGAGTTCTTTTACTAAACACATGATTTAAAAATAAATCTATCAATCTCAAGAATATTTAACCTCCCAACTTCATAAAATACCATTTGAGGAATTTCCTGGCAAAAATAATTCGAATCCACTGGAAGATTAAGTTAATAATCATAATTCTACTATTTAAGTGCAAATTATATTTAACAACTCCTATTGTGCTTAACTGTTATTTCAATCCCACAAATATTTATAATTTACTTATTCAAGTTATTAAAATTGCTTGACTATATAGCTAATAATTCCCTCACATAATTTCATTGCATTACAATGTTAATATTATGTTTTGACTAAAAAGATGCTGTCTATTAATAAATTTGTAATAATTTCAAATATAAACATTTTTTAAAAACTTACCTCCAGCATCTAAAATCCTTTTTCCCATACTGTTCCTATGAATCAAAATAACAGATTATATACTAGACTAGTATCAATTAAAGAGAAAACCCATCTGTTGGGGGAGGGCATCACTAAAATTTACAATTGGATAGTATCACACATTTTCAGAAAATATATCCATAAATTATATTACAAAGCTAAAACAGTTCTTTCAGTTTTAATTATTAATGTAACTCAGTTGCCCTATTGCCTTATAAAACATCCTTTAACCACTAATTAAAGCAATACAGTACAAATAATTACATGAGAATTAATATTTCTTGGGTAAAGAGTATTTTCCTGGCATCTTGAGGCATTTTGTCAAGCATAGCATTCATTTTTTTTAGAGTCTAGAAAAGAAAAAAAAGATAATTCTTAAATATTTAGAAAAATATTCTAGGTACATAAACTTAGAAGCCTATTTTTTCTTAATCAGCACTTTATACATGGAACGGAAAAGGGTAGAGAAAAGACTATGAAGGATAAAATAGTTAATATAAGAAACATGAAACAGCATATCAAAAAAAGAATATACTGTGATTTCTATACTTAAAACAGTTATATTCTTCACAATATGACATGTTTATTATAACTTTAAGAACTGGGAAGGTAAAAATATTAATATTTATTCTTATGGTGATACAAAATTGCACACATGTACACACTGTTACAGGTTATTTTAGCATTTAAATACTTAAGAACTCCTAATGTCTAAATGGTATATTTTCATATGAACTATATGTATACATAAATCCATACAGTTACAAGTTTTCAATAAACATTAGGTAATATATTCATCATGTGAGACAATGAATTGTTAAGAGTACATATACATTGCATGATAAATAATTTAGTGCCAAGATACAAATATTATTCAATTTGATAAGTTGCTAGCAAATTTTCTTCACTTTCTCATTTTTAGGTTTCAAAAGGAAATATAACAAATGACTTTACCTCCTGCTGAATACAAATATTCACTCTTGAGTCTATAACCAGGGCACAAATTCGAGGTATGAAACTTTCCATTACTTGCTTTTTACCTGAATAAAAGTGTTAAAATTATTGATAAATGTGTATTTTAAGTCCCTTTAAATGACAAGCTTCACTTTTACGAGTTAATATAAAGGAAGTACTGGTTCAGTTTAGAAGGTCCATATGACTCACCTGGACATCAGGATACATAAAATTCAGTCCTGGTTCTGCACTAACCAGCTATGTGGCTTTGAATAAAAAAACTACTCAACACATGTGACTGATCTCAATTCTGGCAGAGGAATCCAAACCCAGCTTCTCCTTTCAGGCACATAGGGCACTTTTGTGCATGAAATACATAGAATTCAGAAGTGGAAACTTCTATATTGAGGTTTTTGGAAAATGGGCCTCATTAGTAGTCATACTCAAAAGCTCCATAATAGCCATCACTCTCTCTCCAACTCATGATGATCCAAATATCTTGAGCTATTTCTAAGAGTCAACCCTATTCTCAAAAGACTAGGCTTTATCAATACTAAACATATTCAAAGGAATTTTCTACATGCTATGCCATAATACAAATTTAAAAAGTAACTTTAAATAATGGCAATACTGTAACAGAACCTTCCAAAATGACTGCATTAGAAAAAAATCACTTGACTAGGGGAAAAGATATGATAATTTGCTTAAAAAAAAAAAACCCCAAACCCTGTTTGATCACTTTATAATCACTGGTGGTTTAAGACTGTTTTTTCCCCTAAAAATGTAAGATTTCAGAATAGATTGTTATGCTAATTGCACAGATATCATTGAAAAAGTAGCATTAATTATTTTTGCAGTAGAAAGCAATTGATCTTTAAAACTTTTTGACTTTTAAGGAAGCAAAAAGCAGCTGTTTATTTATTTATAAATAATTCACCAGCCTTAATTACTAATCCTAAATAATTCCTTCTCAAGCAACACAGAAATAAAATAACTGGGACTGATTGCTAACCCCCAAACACTGACTAGCCATTAGTGAAAGGAAGAGTTGTAACATTTTCTACATTCTCAGTGTACTATTGAAAATTTTGTTGCATTAGCCTCCAGGGTTGGCAAACTGTGGCCCATGAACTAAATTCAACTCACTACCTGTTTCTGTATGTCTATGTATTCATTAGCAAGTACTCTGTGAGTTTATTTGAATTTATCATGTTTCATTGAGCCAGCAGTGTCAAGGTGAATTTTATTCATTTTCATAAACTTAGTCCTCATTAGTTACAACCATTGAACGACTTTGGTAAATAGCTTGCACTGCAGAGGTGTAATTTTTTTTCAACGAATTCATCCCAAAATTACAAGGCAAAATTACACTGTATGACAAATTCACACTTCAGTAAAGTTGTTTCAATGAAACTAAAGTTATCTAAATCGCAAGTAATGCCAAGCTGCTTTCTGTCCTTCCTAGGTTGTTAAGAGTTAGAACGAGAAGTGACATCTCCATTCCTACACGAATTTACAGGGGCTGTATTTTCTTCAAGTGTCATCTATGGGTCCAGCAGCATTTCTGGACACTGATGTAAGTGCAAGAAAAAATTCCCTTGTGGCAAACTCTATTTAATTGTGTAATTGAGGAGCTTCAATCGACAGTGATTAATCTGCAATACAATGATATTCTAAGGGGCAAATATTAATAAGACAAACTAATATAACTTTATAAATGCTTTCCAAGCCATGACCATGTTCAATTAAAAATCATGCTTTCAAACTGGTATCAGTATTTGTCATTATCTGCATGAAAAGACATTTTCTAATGCAATATAGATAAAATTTCATCACAAATAAGCATCAACAAATGAACATCTGTAATATATTTTGACAAAAGCAAAAACTAACTTTGAACTGGAATAAGTGAAAGGTCATCGCCTCAAAAGAGTGCTATTTTCCTTATTAGTATACCATATTACAAAATACTGTACTCAATTATTATGTTTTTAATTACATTGATAAAAAATTTGTGGAAATTTGTTTTCTTTCTTGTTATCCTCTATTTTTCTTGGCCCACAAAACTTAAACTATTTATTATCTGGCTCTTTACAGGAAAAGTTTATTGATACCTGAATTAGATAATGAATTTCTAATATTAGGAAAACACTATGATAATGCAAAATTATACTAAAACTCTAACTGCAAATTATTGTTCCACAGAAATAAAATGTTTATTATACCTTCATCATTGACGTCATATATGACCTGAAAAGTAAGTGGATAATATTTAATGTATAATTTGCTATCTTATTTATAAACCATTATAAATATTATTAAAATAACATTAAATTTGAACTCACCACATAATTATTTAACTTCTATATATTAACTAATTATTTAATTACATTACTCAGGATAAATATTTTATATAATCTGAACAGGTTAGTCCAACCAAGTCACAAACCAATCTTTCAGTGACTTTTAGGCTCAAGGCATATAGAACACAAATGGTTTTTAAATAAACATGTGCTTCATAACATTAGTTAATCAATGTGATTTTACCATCAAAAGGTCAAGTAAGTCTTCTATCATATTTGTAAGAGTTTCATCTTTTGAATTTCCTTGACTCAGAAGTATCTCCTTGGATTTTTCAAACCAGGCAACCATGTAAAGAAAAATGTATATACAGTCACTTTGAATTCAGTTTTGAGAATGTACTTATCTATCAGTATAAATAGTAATCCTGGGAGTGAAGAAGTACCAAAAAAAAATTCCAGTATTATATCAAAATAAATTTATGCTTTCAAATATCATTATCATTTGGGTTTTGGTAACTTACTATATTTTCCCATTGTTTAAATAGGAATGAAGTTAATCCTAATTATAGGTGTAGAAGACCTTTACTTCCTTCTTCAAATACCTAGTTCAAGCACACTCAAATAATAGGTGAAAATAAATTATCACATATTAGATTACTTTAGCATTGTTACTATGGGAAAAATTTTGGTATTTTTATGTTCGATTAATTCAGATAGTTGAGTGTAAATGACATCTCAGACACTGTTCTTGGCACTGGGTATATTGCAATGAAGAAAACAAATAAAACTCAATATCCTACATTCTAGCATGGCAGACAGACAATGAATATAAAAAATTGATAAAGTCAGATAGTGACTAAGATAAGATAAAGAGAAAATAAAGTAAGTAAGGGCCCTGAGGATCTTGTGAACCTAAGTCCACATGATTATTGGGGAGCCTGTGTGCAGTTTCTTTGTGATCTTTATCTTTGTAATATATGTCACAGGTTATGCAGATAGTTATTTTATCTCAAAGTTTTACATGAACCCATATTTATTTTTCAACATTTGGTACCATTTATCTTATTAGAGTGTACACTTGTAATCATATTTCTCTCACATGAATGTTACATATTCTATACTTATCTTTTGGATTAGTCCTTGTTGTATCAAAGTTGGAAGTCCGGCTTGCCCTAATATACTGATATTTCTGCCACATCTTCCAAAAGAAATGAAAATGACTGAAACAGTTTGGATATCCTTTCTATTAAGTTCCTAAAATGAAAAGCATACATTTAAACATCTGTTAACACAAAATAATATGGAACTGGCATTGTGCTAGAAGCTTCATAATCTTCACACATCCTAAAAGTTAGCCATTCTCATAATCTCCAAGGATAATGGACAAAAATGGGCTTTAAAAAATGCGTAAAGCCAGTGAATGACAAATTCAATACAAAAATGCAGAGCTGTATAAATTCAAGAAACTTTAGACTATGATGCAAAGTTAACCTTCCAGTTCTAGAAAGTTCCATGTATCTAACAGATTCAATAAAGCAAATCTCAAATACTGATTTTCAATAATCACATTTCTCACCTATGAAACTGCCTTACATATGATAAATCAAGTCCAAGGTTTTGGACAATTAAAAAATATTTGTAAGTACCAAGCATTGTCCATAAAACATGAAGAATATGCTGACAGTTTATTAAAAATAGGTCAAATTCACTTATTTTTATGTTGGTGTTTCCATTACCAGGTACCCCCACCCCCTCCTCCACCACAGGCACCGCACTGCTGTCACGTCCATAAGTTCTTTCTCTTAAGAACAGATCAAGTTATTTAAACTCCAAACAGGTGACCTATTTTTCCCAAACAGTAACTCTGTGAACAAAGCTATTTGTATATTGTATATAGAAAATGGTCCAATATGCTATTTGGACCTCATCAAATAAAAAATTAAGAAAAGGAAGTGGTAAAACAAGCCTTTATTTATATCATTATAAGCAAGCTTGCCAAAGCCTTTTTATTCATGTCTTCCTCATGAATAAAATACTTTCTCCTCAAAACAAAAGACTGCTGTATAGTGATTTTAACAATCATTCAACAAAAATTAATATTTACCCTGCATATAAGGTCATCCAATTTGTGGAAAAACTGTTTGCTGCATTTAATCTTCACATCTTCACAAATATCTATTTGTAAAAGTGTTTTCAAAGGTCTGAAATCATTTTTTCTTAAAGCATCATCAATGCATTTTTCCAACTGCTGGAGAAATACAGATAATGGCACATATATTGAATCAAACCCAAAATTAGTCACCTTAAGCAATCTAGTAATTTGAGAATTGTTTTCACATAAAAATTCCCAGAAGAGCTTGTATAATATATATTTTTAAAACTTCCCACTCTTAAATTTGGAGTAATGTAATTAATTAAGTTTCTTTGACAAGACTCTATATAGGAAAAAATATATTTTACTAATTTCCACTTCATGTCTTAAATTGGAAAGTCATCATTACATTGAATTTAACAAAAACCTGTTAATGAAAGAAGTAAAACAAACTTTGTAGTAAACAATCCATAATACCATGGATAAAGCCTTAACATATCTATCAACTTCTTAATGAAGTTTAAATAATAAAAAAGAAAAAAGTTGCATAAAGACAGATAAAAGCACTGTTTAGAAACTATACCAACCAGTATGACTTAAGCATTTATATATATATATATATATATATATATATATATATATATATATATGTAATGTATTATATTACAGGTTTATAGTCATGTGCCTCATTACGAGGCTTGGGCCAACAATGACCACACACACGTATATGATGGTAGTCCTATGAGATAACAGAGCTGAAATGCTCCTGTTGCCTCGTGACATGATAGCCATTGTAACCTCATATAACAGGCAGTGCATATAAACAAACGTACTGCACTGTCAGTCATAAAGTTACGGCACACACTGTCATGTACCGTACATGGTACTTGACAGTGGTAATAAATGACTGTGTTACTGGCTTATATATCTACTTTCCTATGCTTCCTATTTTAGAGCACACTCTTTCTTCTTATAGATGTCTACCATAAAACAGTGCCCCTTCAGGCCTGCGGCAGCTACACACATCTCACATCTCCTATTTACTACAACTCCTGACTGCACTGTTTCCTCTCGCGTCTGACTTAATCGCGTGTTATTTATGGGTTTAGTCTAGCCTGAGTGTACAGTGTCTGTCAAGTCTACATTAGTGGTACTATAATACCCCACACACCCACTGGCTCACTCAGAGCAACTTCAGATCCTGCAAGCTGCATTCACAGTGTCTTGTAGAGCTGTACCATTTCCCAACCTTTGTGCCCTATTTTTACAGTACCTTCTCTATATTTAGATGTGCTAATACTTACCACTGATTTATAACCACCTTAAGTACTCAGTACAGTAATGTGCTATACAGGTTGTGGCCTAGGAGCACCAGGCTCGGCGCCACATAGCCTAGGGTGTAGCAGGCTCTATCATCTAGGCTTGTGTAAGTGCACTATGATGTGTGCACAACGGAAGTGCCAATGATGCACCTCTCAGAAAGCATCGTTATGCGATGCATGACTACATAACCTTTATAAAATCTGCCATCCCTACTTTTAATGTAAACATCATTAATAAGGAATTTTCATACTATGATCAGATCACCAGGCTTGGGTGGGAACTGCACAGAAGTTAAATAGCTAAAACTTACTCTTTACCTAACTGAAGTATCTTACAATTTTAAACCTTGATATGATAATACCCAGGCATAAGTTTTACACATGAACCAGCACACTATTCTTTTCAATGTAAAAGATATATAGATATAGATATGTGTAATTCACATCTACACTTTACATACTTTTAATATAGATTTAAAAACAAATCTATTGGAAAAAAATGAAAGGATACCATTTTAATTTAAATTATTCTCTGTCCACTTCATGAAAAAAAGAAAGCTTGTCTTTCCCAAAAATATAGCACTTAATGCCTGTAAATGAACACAAAGTGATTTTAGTAACTAAAATACTTGCTTTTGGTCCAGAACTACATACCTGGAGATCCGGTCTTATTGGCATTTTGACTTATTTTAAAATGGCAGGTCAAAACAAATACCTATAAAAAAAGAAAACATCCATTTTTTGCATCTTACAGTCTGTTCTACATATTTACAGTTTACAAATCTTAATGCTGTATGATAAATAAGCACTGCTGCTTATTTTTTAAAAATATATAAAGTGCCCTGGCTGGTGTGGCTCAGTGGACTGAGTGCAGGCCTGCAAACCGAAAGGTCACTGGTTCAATTCCCAATCAGGGCACGTGCCTGGGTTGTGGGCCAGGTCCCCAGTTGGAGCTGTGCGAGAGGCAACCAATCAATCTTTCTCTCCCTCTCTTTCTCCTTCCCTCTGTGTTCTCTATAAATAAAAAAATAAAATCTTAGAAAAAGAAGTAGTGGGGTGACAACAGTTAAATAGCCAAGAACTTTCCCAAAGTAAATATAAATGTTCACAAATTAAAAGAGTCCAATAAATTTCAGGAAGATAAAGAAGAAAAAAAGTATATCTAGACACATTGTGAGGACATTCCTGAATAAGAATGAAAGAGAAAGCCCTGGCTGGTGTAGCTCAGTGGATTGAATGTGGGCCTGTGAAGCAAAGGGTCTCCGGTTGGATTCCCAGTTGGGGCACATGCCTGGGATGCAGGCCAGTTCCCAGCAGGGGACGCATGAGAGGCAACCACACATTGATGTTTCTCTCTTTAACTCCTTCCCATCCCCTCTCTCTAAAAATAAATAAGTAAAAAAAAAAAAAACCTATCAGCAAATAAAAAGCTTGTGACCAGATGTCTTCACTGGTGAATTCTGCCATACATTCAAAGAACTACACCAATCTTTCTCCAACTCTTCCAAAAAAAATAAATAAATAAAAGAAATACTTCCAAACTCATTTTAAGACACATCACTACCGTGATACCAAAGTCAGGGCGAGGACACTACAAGGAAAGAAGTTATGAAGTGCAAGACAAGAAATTACAAAGCACTAAAAGAAAAAAGTGAAAACTATAATTTTATAGCCAGCAAAAATGCTATTCAAAAATAAAGGGAAGAATCATCTCATTTGATACTAAAACATCACAAAGTCACCATTACAAAAAAAAAGGTATTAAGAATAGAAAACAGGCACACAAATCAATAAAACAAAACAGATTTCAAGTGCATACCACCCAAGCATATATTGAAAGTTCACATATGAGTAAGGTTTTGCAAATCTGAGGGGGAAAAAAAACCAGTTAATAAATGGTGTGGGGAAATTAACTCGCCATATGGAAAAAGTAAAATTAGACCTTTAACTTCCACCATCCACAAAAATAAACTCTAGATGAATTAACTACCTAATGTAAAATGATAATATTTAAGAACTATTAGAAGAAACTACAGGAGGATATCTCTCAAACTTTACAGTATGGGAAGATTTAACACATAAATTGCACAAATCACGAGAAATAACAGGAAGTTTTGGGATATCACTGTCTCTCTTACACACACTCACACACACGCAATCTCATTAAGAAGCACAAAGGACTCTCTAGTCACTCAGACCCCAGCACTGGGTGGAGCCCAGCACATCGTCCTAGGACCATGAGGCCTTCACCATTACAACTCAAGCCACTCAAGCCACCCAGCCCCAGGGAAACATTTCCATGCCTGTGCCTCTGAGAGCAGGGAACTGCAGTTAGTTACGCTGTTCTGTGTATTTTGAGTATGATAGAAATCTCCCCAAATAAAAACAAGTTTAAAGAATTCCAGGGGTGGAGGGGAGTCTAAAACAATGCTGAGCAGGTTGGAGGTTGTGCTGACCCTGACATTTTAGTCTTTGCTTCAGAATGAAGCTACAATTGAGCAATCTAAGTGCTCTCAGGAAAGAGAAAAAGACAGTAATCGACTGTCAAATCCTTCCTCTGGCAGAGTTCACAACTGATTCTTGCATCAGAAAAAATTGCTTCTTAATAATGTCAAAGGTCCAATTTTTTCTCTTCCTATTACAACTTGTGGCCCAGGAAGCACTAGCAACTTTGTGTTCAGCATTTGCAACAGTTGCACAGAGTGACTGAAGAATATTTGTACTGCTAAGCAATTTCTATTATTCTTTAATTTGTATCTATGTAAATCTAGACAAAAGTGCATGAACATGATATGGACTCTTTAAAAAAAATGGCAGGTAGATGGCAAGCAAACACTAGAATAGTGACTAAGTTTACTTTCATAAAAATATTTAACAAGTCCTGGCTGGTGTGGCTCAGTGCACTAAGTATCCACCTGAGAACCAAATTGTACCTGGTTCAATTCCCAGTCAGGGCACATGCCTGGGTTTCAGGCCAGGACCCAAGTAGGGGGACCTGCCCTGTGAGAGGCAACCACATGTAGATGTTTCTCTCCCTCTCTTTCTCCCTCCCTTCCCCTCTTCAAAAATAAATAAATAAAATCTTTTAAAAATATTTAGTAAGATTTACTTATTCAAAAACAAATAATTTTAGTGTTACTGAAATAATTTATATTAATGTTCAATAATTTTTATTTTACCTCAATATTAAAATTTTAATATTTCAGGGAATTTTTAAGAAAAATACTTTTGTGCTTATTTCATGTTTTTGATAAAAAATATATTCAAATTAGTATATTTTGAATGATCACATATCATTTTAATCCTTAAATTACGGTCAATAGAACATCAAATAAGTAAAAGTCTTGATGACATATTCACTGATTTTACTAAAATAAAAAATTATGGTATACTAATTTCTGAACTATGTAAGTCATTATTTTATTACTTATCCAAATTCACCAGTCTGTCATCAAATATACATAAATACATTCATTTATCTTTGATATTTCTCCAACAGTCATAAAAATAGCTTTACATATATTTTCTATTTTGAAGCAATGATGGTATATTTATGACATTGAAGACTAAAACACTTTATTTCACAATTTTAAAATATTAAAAATTTAAACCCACTGCATAAATAAGTGGAACAACAAATAGATGTCTCTCCTTTCCACCCCCTCTGAAATCAATAAATAAAAACAAATTTTAAAAACCCTACTTAATGACATTTTCAAAATATATTAACTAGATAGTACTCTTTCCCTAGAACCAGCAACTGCTGGTGCAGGCCCTCACAGCTGAAGGAACTTGAAGTTAAGTGTAGTTTACAAAGTACTCCGAGACAAGAAATACATAGCATAGAAGAACTAGTTATGGCCAAGAGGCACGTAATACTAAAGAGTCGGTTTAGTTTCTAAGTCTACTTTTATGCAGGAAGTCAGCAGAAGAAAAGGGAAGTTTGGTGTCTACACAAGCAGATCCTTCAAAGTGGGGACACCAAACAATCCAGTCACTCCTCCCTCCCCACCCGCTAGGGCTGAATTCAACAGAGGCAAAAACGTAGCACTGTACTGTCCATTCAAAGCGTCACACCTGTGCGACCCCGAGAGAAGGCTAACTCTAGGAGCAAACGAGTAACACGTTCATCTTTCCACTATCACGAGTACACAGGCATCCTTACGACGTACTGTGTCACAGCACCAGAACAACGGGACGACCCAGCACAATAATTTTTCAAGAGAGTAGGGCTGTCAACCAAGCAGGTTTTGAGCTCGGGTCTGCTTACAGGCAAAACAAAGGACCCACGAGAAGATGAAAGTGTATACGCACGCAGAAAAGAGGCTAGGGCTTTTAAAAAAACCTAAACGACTTGACAAATACGGAGGCACATTTTCCCTCAGGAGCCGAAGGAATGCAAGTAGCGATAGATCGATACGAGGTCCTCGCTAACATCCTAATAGACGTCTAACATTTCCGTAAACAAGAGGCTAACCAAGGGGGGAAGGGAGGCGAGAAACACCATTTTCTGTGACGACGGAAATGTTAACACATTTATTTAATAAAACACTTGCAATGCCCACCCCTGAAATTCAGCATACAGGTCCATCTTATTTGTATCATTTTCTAGATACAGGGGGAATCAAACAGTGGAAAAGAGGAACCCAAGCAGACACGCTCAGGTACAAAAAGACAGCGAGGCAGGGGGCGGGGCCGTCGTGGGGAGCAAGGGGGCGGAGCCGGGCGAGGCAGAGTCGGGGCGGGGTCTGGGAGGGGCGGGGCCGAGGTGGAGGAGGCGGGGCCGAGGTGAAGGAGGCGGGGCCGAGGTGGAGGGGGCGGGAGGGACCTGCGTCTTTTCTCAAGTGGGCGGCGCCGAGTCCCGCCCCGCCTCCACACAGTCCCACCGTTTCCCAAGCTGACCAGTGGGTAACGCGGGGGGGCCCTGGACCCGCCTTGGCCCTCCACCCTGACACCGGAACGACCACACCTGCGGAGCCGGCCCGCACGGTTTAACCGGCGTGGCGGTTCCGGGCTACACGGCCCGGACCCGGAGAGGGCTCGCGTCCTCTGTCGCCCCTAACCACGCACCGCCTGTCCGCCGCCGCGCCGCCCAGCATTTGGGCCCGAGCCAGCGCTGCGCGGACCGCCCTCCTCCGTTCCCCACAGCCCCACGCCCCCACGTCTCGCGCGGGGAGAGCCCGGTCCTCTGGACTCCAGGCCGAGGCCCACTCCCTCAGCCCCGACGCCGCGCCGGCGGGCCGTTTCCACAACGGCGCCTCCCTCACCGTCGAACCCGCCGGCCAGTCCGCCTCCCTCCGGGCCCAACCTGCCAGCCCTCGGGAGGCCTCCGCGTTAAGCCTCCGAGCCAACGCTCGCCGGGCGTCGCGCCTCAGGGCCTCAGCGACCGCGGCGTTTTTTGAGCCGGCCGGCGAGAGGTGGGAAGCGCTCGTCCAATCGGCACTAGGTCCGGCCAGCGCCGCGTCCAATCGGCGCGGCCGCCGGCCAAGCCCCGCCCCCCGTGCCGTCCCGTGCTCCGGGCCGCACGAGGCTCGAGCCAGGGGTGCCGCGGTGGGCGTGGCTCGGACCCTCAAGAAAGTGGACTTCGGAGTCCGGGACCCCAGCCCCTACCCCTGACTCCTGCCTGCTTCGCCGTGAAGGCCGCTGCTCACGGACGTGCCGTTGGAGGCGCCAGCGTCCCTTCACTTCCTCCCGTGGTGCGAACACGCCCGAGCGCCCCGGCAGGACGCCAGACAGAAGGACCTGCGGGCCCCAGGAGACCTCCGGGCTCCCCGCAACCGCCTGGGAGGCCTGGACAGGGCGGAGCGACGCGGAGGCAGCAGCGGAACCTGCGAGGATGCAAGGACTGCACTCCCTTTACAGAGTCCCACGCTGCCGGCCAGCAGAGGGCAGCAGCGACATGCCCAGGCAAGTCCCCGCTGATCGCAACGCCTAACGGCCGCGCCCCGCCCCGCCCCCGGCTTCCGGCTAAGACACACCCCTGTCAGTCAAGCTGCCCCCTCCGCCGACCACGCCCCCTCCAACCAACTGCCACGCCCCGGCTGACGCGGTCCGGCCAGGCTGCCGCTCCCCACTGCGGTCGTGCCCCGCGGCTTTGCTGCCTGGGTTTCCTAGAAACAGGTGCCGCCTCCTTCAACAGCCGGAACCCAAGACCCCTGGAGGAAGTTAGACCGAGACCGTGTGGGCGTGGTACTTACCGAGTGGCACCGTCGGTATATTCCAGGCTTTTTACAATGTTTCCATCTGAACTATCAGTTTAAATGATAAAAGCAATGATGCCTGTTGTGTAAAATATACAATCAATTTAGAAATGGATGCCGCAGATACTTCAAAAATTAAAAGTAGTGATTCCTCACCTTGCCTGCCACTTCGTAGTAGATAGGTTAGTCCTTTTATTGTTTCATGTGTTCAGAAAGCATGGGAATTGTTTACATAAACATCACTGAACTATCACAAGGAGGAATAAAATTTGAGTTGTTTTAAAATAGATTTTTAGGTTATCGTGTTAGCGAAAAAGAAACGTTATCAATCATCATCAAAGTTGGTCTCTGGTGCAGGTGTGAATGCTGACTTTGCTGTTTACCAGCTGAGGGGTTTTAAGTGAATGAATTAAACCCCTCTGAGCTCCACTCTCTTCAACTAAGAAAAATGGGGAGATTATCTACCAGGTAATGTAATTTTAAGAATTAAGTGAAATCAAATACAGCATCCAGCACCGTGGGCAACCAAGTAAGAGAGGACACAATAAATGTTTGATTCTTTTCCCTATGTGCGTGCAAGGCTTTATACTTGAGTCATAGTTGGGGGGAAGGCAGACACTAATTACTCCATACATGTGATTCAGAAGCAATGTAAAGGAAATACAATACTGTCCCACCCCCAACTTTCCTCTAGCAGGGGTGTCCAACCTTTTGGTGTCTCTGGGCCACATTGGAAGAAGAGTTGTCTTGGGCCACACATTAAATACATTGAGACAGGTAATCACACACACAAAAAAACAATTTACACTGTTGTGTTGGGCCTCATTCACAGCCATCCTGAGCTGCATGTGGACTGCAGGCCACAGGTTGGACACCCCTGCTAGAGCTTTCTTCATACGTGATGTAGCATGAATGACTGTATTTCACTTTCTTAAAGACATATACACCTGTGCTACTGAAACTGAGGTACCAGCATACCATATACATGTATATGTGAATATGTTCATATTCGGCAAGGTACTAAATTTTACTGTTGTAGGAAGAATAAGACTTAACCGTGAAATGATTTAAACACGAGGTTTCTAACACCTTGTTGCTGTAATAAGGAGACAAGAAAAACTCATTCCAGCTACCAATTTGTGCATATATAATTTAATTTTAGACCTGGATGAAATCATCTTAAATGACAAGACATTAAAATGTGTCTGGGGAGACAACCCAACAATTTTCACATTCCACTTCAAAATGTTAACATCTAACCAATATAACTGTGTTTTAGGGTGTGAAAGTTCTTGTTAAGCTGAACTTGATGATACTAGGCAAGTATATTTAAGCTTTTAAATTTTAAAAAGTTGATATTTTTAAAGGCACACTGAGGTTCTCTTAATACTGGTGATACAATATTTATGCCCCATGAGCAGAACCATTCTGGTAAGTGACTTTCACATGGATTGTAAGATTCTCTGTGTGCCTTTATACAGCAGGACATTTGGCAGCTCTAACCTCTGAATGTGAATACTCGGGATAGTTGTCTTGCACCCTGGGTTGGGGCCAAGGGCATAGCGTCCAGGGCTCTCACGGGCTTGCTGACCCAATTGGACAGCTTGTTAAACAACAGGAAATGCAACCAGGCTTCTCTCTCCCTTGCATATCAATGTAGTGCCCTGAGCTAACAGCCAAAGGCTGCTCAACTTAATCACAATACTAGAAATCAAAATTCCATGTTCTTAAATCAAAAGGTTTAAGAACTCCCTCCAGATCAGATAGCTTCCTCCTTGGAATTCTAAAGACACAAAAGTTGCCACTGTAAAAAACAACTTGGTCAAAAGGCAAAACACATCCCTCACATGCTGATTTAAGAAATGTCAACAAGCATTGAAAAATTTAGAGTTAATTCATTGGTGACAGCTGTCACAAAACTTTACACGGGCTTCAGCGGTATCATCACTGAACTTCACCAGTTGGAGGCCTCGTCCCTGGGGCTGGGTTTTCCCACTTCGGCGCCATCACCTGTCAGAAAACTACCACTCAGCACCAAGAGAAATCACAGCCCCTTGCTGAGAGTTCTAAGTCATTGTAGCTCTCTGCAGATGACACGGCCTTGACTTCTCAGTTGGAGATTTTTTTTTTTAACAAAAGAAAAGCATTTAGCACTTTAAAACCAGGAGACCAATCCAGACAGTGTTAGAAACTCCCTGATCTGAAGTCACAAATAAAGTTGGCAGGTAGTTGAAAAAAACGGGCATGTATAAATGCAATTTAAAACAATTAAAAAGAATAAATATTTGTGATTTCTCTTTCCTTAGTGCTCTCTGGCCATTACTGAAAACAGTCACATCTACTTGGTACCCTAACTGCTGAAAGGTGCCGGCTGGGACCCCCTGACACTTAAGGAGACACAAGAAGTCATCTTAATCATAAAAAGGTAATTGAAAAGGACACGGATGCCTGAAATTCTATAGGGTCCCCTGAAAATTTGAATAACGTAAGGCAGAGTTTCTCATCACGTTTAGGCAGTTTCAAACCGAAAGAGAATGGCCTGATGCCATGCGGATACACTGTCATCAAGCCTGTGCAAGAGAAATACACGGAGTGAGAAGAGACACTGCAGAGAAGGGGCCGTCTTGCTGGTCTGAAGGTTTACGCTTCTCCCTCTATCTCGGCTGTGATGCAGGGGCGCACGGCCTGACCAGGGCGGGCTGAACGCCTCGGAATGGTTGTGTGATGACTGATGAGGCATAAATTTCCTGCCTATTAATAGTGCCCCACCGTGAGCGGTCCCCAGGCATTGGCAGCACCCGTGGTCTCAAGTTTTCCTTGTCCCAGGGCAGGAACGCCTCCAGGGACTGTGATGCGGATCTCACTAGGGCACAAATACACAAGACCCTTTTTTTTTAACTTATTAAATCCAGAATATTCCCGAGAAGGCATCCATTAGTAGTCAGAGTCCCAGTGTCACAATGATAATAAATAACAGCCATGTCCCCAGAGACCAGGCACTTCGAGAGCAAAAGCGTCAGGCCTTGCTGGCAGGACAACGCAGGCCTTTCCCCAAAACCCAGCCCCAGGGCCCGTCACTCTCATGCAGCTACTGCCCAGCACGGCCCCCCAGAGTGTTACACACTCTGCCTTCTGGCCACCTGAGGCTACTTTTTACACCAAGTGACTTGGACGTTTCAGGTAGATGACAGCTTGGCCACTGCCAGGGGACCTTGCAGCAGGACATGAGGTCAGACTTAGGTTTGGGGACAGGGTATAGGTTAGAGCCACGGCCTCTTCCTTGAGCCCAGCTAGGAAGTCACCGCAGGTGCGCCTCAGGTGCAGCTGGGGTGCAGAGGAGCCTCGGGTGCAGAGGCGCCGGCCAAGGCCCGCTGCTCAGATGAAGTGGATCCAGCTCTCCTCGCACTCCCCACGGGGCATGTGCAGCTCGTGGTTGCGGCAGGTGAGGCTGTAGTCACGGCCGTTGTTGTTGTCCCAGTACTCGGCACCAGCCACGCGGTAGCGCAAAGCAAAATGCACGCGGGAGCCTAGCGCCAGCAGGAAGGGCGGCACTGGGAAGCCAAAGGCGAAGACATCCTCGGTGCCCTCGGAGCCTGCGGGCCCGCGCCACCTGGCAACCGCCTCGTGCGTGCTGCGCCACTCAGAAAAGGTGTAGCGGATCGCCACCTGCTTCTCGAAGGCCACATTGCGTACGCGCACAGTGCCGCTGACGCCTAGGTCAGAGCAGGTGACGCGCTCCAGGCACACCAGCTGGCGCCCCAGGCGCTCGCCGAAGTCTGCGGCTTCGATGGGCGGCGGGAAGTCGGGCACCAGGCACTGCAGGGTGAACTCCAGGTCCTGGCTGCTGCAGCAGAGATCTGAGTTGATGGCGAGCCGCGACAGCACGTGCAGTGGCACGGATGGGTCGTCGCCTGCATTGAACACCTTGACTTGCGCCAGCTCCAGGCCCAGTGCATCAGCGAAGCGCACACGGTTCTTCCGACTGCAGCCCGGACGGCACGCAGTGCCGGGGGCGCCCGCAGCCTTCTGGCGGCGCTCGGGAGAGCTGGGAAGCGAGTGCGCCCGCCGCAGGATGATGGGTCGCAGGCTGGGGTCGCAGCCTGACGGTACGGACGGCGGCGGAGGCGCGCGCCCGGGGATCCCGGGGGGCCGGCAAGGCCGCCGCTCCGGGGCTGCACTGCTGTCCAGGTCCGAGAGGCAGCTGAGGCTCCGCAGGGCGATCTTCCGAGACCCCAGGGAGCGGGGCAGGTCTGCGGAGCCCGAGCCTGTGGACATGGCCCCGCCGGCCCTCAGGTGATGGGGTATGAATCCGAGGGGCAGCCTCCGACCCCGCCTCTGCTACCTTGGGGGTGTCCCTGGCGGTGCTCAGAGGTCCCCGGCCGTCCGCTGGAACTGCAGCCTGGAGGAAACCCTGGGGCCTGCTGCGCTCTTGGCCCCTCTGTCACTTCGCCCCTCTAGTTCTCTACCAGATCCTCCGTCTGTTGCAGGGAAACCAGAGCCTGTTTCCCAAGAGATGAGTGCTGCCTCCAGGACAAGCCTTTTGGGGCCCCCCAGAGAGCGCAGGGTGACACCTCCTTTTGCCTCCCAAGAGCTTCTTATTGGGGAAGCTGCGTTCGCGAGGCAGCCCCTCCCACCTTCCTGGTCGCGGCGTTACTTACATGGCTGCAACTTGTTCGGATGCAACTTCCCGACGAGCCTCCGCCCCGCCCCTCGTGACGCCGCTGCAGCGCGGGCTCGCGAGGGCCGGAGCGCCGCGGGGGAGCCCTCCCCAGCGCGCGCCGCGCACCCGCAGCAGGCGCAGCGGAACTGCCTCCCGCCCCGGTGCCGGGAAGGAGGGCTGGCGGCCTCGTCACGTGTCCTCGGGGATCGAGAAAGAGGTCTGATCGATTTCTGTCTGCATCTGCCTGGCCCGCGCGCTTATCGATCGCAGTTCGGTGTCTGCACAAACGGAAGATAAGGAAAATGCATGCTGCGGGTCCCTGGGTTACTGCGGGCAGGAAGGGTTGGGGGTGCAAAAACTGGCCTTTCCAGGGGCTAGTCCCCGGGTTCATTTCAAGCCTCTAGGCTGGCTAGCTGTTTGGGAGAAGGCACCCAGGACCCTCGGCTGGACCCAGGGAGCCTCGCTGCATAGAGAAGCGTCCTGTCTGCACATCACCCACAATGCTTTGCTGCCTCGGACTGCCAGCCCAGTCCTGGGGGCGAGGAAGCCGGGAGGGGCGGTCCCTCTCTAGATGCCCAGCCTGAGAGGAAGACAGGAAGACAGAAAGACGTGGGGACAAGAGTTAATACCCAGTGTGGATTATGCCGCTACCCTTAATCTGCCTTTGGGGTTCTGGAGACATTTTTGTAGCCAGAATCTCAGACTTTCAGCTTTCCTCCAAGGCAAGCCTGAACCACTAGGGAACCAAACTCGCGCTTGTTTTCTGCATCCTCAGGGCCTTGCTGGCGTGTATCCGTAACTTTGTGCAGAAAACGCAAGAGCCTAGGGAGCAGTTTGGAGCCGTGAGTTCTAGAGGGTTCCATTATACTGTTCAGAGCAGAAAGAAATCCAAAGTGATGAAAGAGGGTTGGTAAAGAACGTTCTGTATACCTAAACATCAACCAGGCCTGTAGATTACTGCATAAATCATTGATTGCCAGAGCCCAGATGGAATTTCTATCACCATCACATGTAAACGGACTAAAAAGGCATACTATTATTATAAGAAGTAACATAGGAAGAAAATAAAAATCTTCTAAATCTCACCTCTCTCTCCTGTTATGGAGAGGCAGGGGTGGTCCCCAAAGTCAGACTTCACTTTCAAATCCGGGCGCTTTTAGGCCACTCACAGTAAGAGGTCCGAGTCAGCAGAACTTGGCAAACAGATAAGATACGAGGTGCACTGATCTATGTATAACCTCTTCATGGGTTGATGTGACCGTGGGAATTGATGAGGAGAGTCCCCGGCTGCGTCTGAGCTCCAGAAGAGCCGGGACAGGGCCACAGTCCTGCCGTTGTCTAGGCACCTCTGTCCTCGTCTGTGAGTGAGTGCAGGGCTGGGTACGGGCGCTTCAGAGCAACACCTGACCCGAGCCTGGCGGACTTCCTCAGTGCGCCACCTCCAAGAAGACTGTGTGTGCGAGAATCCAGTCTGAGCATGTGCAGTAGTGTGATTTCGTGTCCGACGTGCCCTGTGACAACAGAGCAGACAGAACACACCTGTGAACGGGAGGGACCTCCCCCAACCAATATTTTAACGCAGTGCAAATGCTCAAAAACAGGCCATGAGAACCAGCCCAGGTCTGGATACAGGACCACGTGCATTCAATACTCACCGACTGTGCTTCTACCCGGATGGGGCCGACACAGAGAAGGTCAGCCTGGGCCCTGGGCAAGGATCACAGGCAGATTCCGAATTTGTGACGCATTCCGTATTTTTAGAAACAAAGTGCTCCATATTTTTAGAAACAAACTCTTAGATACTCTCAGAGCACAAATTGATGGTTGCCAGATGGAAGGGGAGAAGGGCGAGGGGATCGGTGAAAAGGGGGAAGGGGTTAATAAGTACGAACTACCAGTTATAAAATTAGTCCCAGAGATACAAAGTGCAGCCCAGGGAAGGCAGTCAGCACAGTGCAGTAACTGTGAATGGTGTCACAGGGGCTTACTAGCGGTGACCACTAAGTTACATGAATGTCCAATCGCTTTGTTGCACCGCTGGAACTAATATAACAGTGCTGGTCAACCGTAATGGCAAATGAATTGAGAAAATACTTACTGTTCGTTCTGTTGCTTGCAGTTCCGGTGCTGAGAAGCCCTTCCCAGACATAAGAGGAATAAAGAAGTTACTTCCGCAGCTGTCGGCACCTTCCAACGGGTTGAGCAAAAATATTTCAATCGCTGCACAGAAGGTGATGATGCAACCTTTGCGGGAGGCCCTCCCTTAGATTTGTCCTGTTTTCTGTGTGTTTGCTTCGTGTGTATGTGTGTGTGTTCGTGGTATTTATTACTGCTCATCTGTTTTTCAGACAATCCCTCCAACCCTAGAGGATGACCAGCCATGTGACTTTCTCAAGAAAGGGAGTGGGGTGAACGAATCCCATCGGAAAAGCAGGTGAGCGGTTTTCGTAGAGCTGCTTTTGTCTCAGAAAGCCGTGTTATCTCAGTCACGGATTGACTGCGTGTGTCTGTGGGTGAGAAGCATGTACTTGTATTGTTTTATGTGGCAGAAATGGGTGAGCCGTGGTTTACACGTTACTGGGGGGTGAAAGTTCCAGGGGTCATCACCGTGGTGCCGTCAGCAAGATCGTCCGCTTCGGGCAAGCCCCTTAATCGTCCTTCCCTGTCAGTTCCCTTTCTCGAAAAAGGAAACTGATGACAACATCTGCGGACGCCCTCGGTCAGCCAGAGGTCACGCACACGCTCACATGGTAGCTGGGGGAGCGAGGTGCCGGCAGCTCCCCCGCCGTGTCTACAGCGTCTCTGGGGCGGCCGGCACGCGACGGGCCACGGTTCCAAGTCCTCCCTGTTCACGGGTGGAGAGGTGACACACTTTCAAATGCGCCGTGTGGACAGACGGACCTCTGAGGTTTTCCAAAAGCTCGTTCAGCAGTGTTTTTTACCCCATCGGACTTGTTCATCCCCGGGTGTGGAGAAGTGCTCTTATTCTTAGTAACATGCCGTGTCCTAGGTAAGTCCATTGAAAAGGAAAGATTTGCAGTTCGGATATGAGCTGCCTCCGACCGAGTTACCTCGGAGAGAACCAGGCAACAGAAGGAGCGCACACAGCGCTCGGTGGTTCCCTTCACCTCCCCGATCACCGGGCCAGCGCCGGCTCTGAGTTTCGTTCATACTGTGTCACAGGACACCGCGCGACTGTCCCTTTAACGGGACAGTGCCCCTGAGTGTTTCCTATTTGAAAACAGCCATACGCTTTTGGTGGAAGGTACAGGTAGTACATGCCACACTTTGTCATATTAGGGTTTTAGTTGGCCCCAAATCACCCCCCTTAGTTCATTCTCTCAAACTTGCCTTTTGCATCTTGTTCACACTTCTTTGAAAACAGGCCTGTGGAAGACAGTGTGGATCTGACTCGCAAATGTCATCCAATGCCGCTTGGCATCGGCAGAACGGGTTGGGGTCTCTGACAGAGCCTTCCCAAACGGTGTTTCTAGAGCACACACGGAGTAGCCTGGGATGCTCGCATGCGCACTTGAGGAAAGGTTCGCCTCCTCCTCTGATGCTGGCATTTGATACAAAGTAGAACCCCTGCCTGCACTTCCGGCACCTGTGCTAGTCCAACTGGCATTTCTGAGCTGGAGTGCTGAGTGGACTTGGCTCTGAAACTTGCAGGAACCGCTGGCTCTGGCAGGACGCAAGGCCCTTTCTGACGCTAGGGCTCTGGAGGGTCTTGTCCCTGGGAGGTAGACCAGCCTTGGGCATAGGTGCTAAGAATTGCAGTTTTATTTCTTGCAGCAGTATGGATGCTGGCCTGTCTTGGACTAAAGTGCCACGTGCGAAGAACTCTTCAGGAAAAAGACAGAGTAGTGAGCCCCAAGCCCCCCGCCTGCCCTCTGGACCCGAGAGCAGCCTCACGAGTATCTCCTGGCCGGCCGCAGAGGAACCTGGAGGTCGCATTTCCCCAGAAGGCAAAGTCGAAAGGAGCCCCCTGGAGGCCACGGGGAGCAAGCTGTTTCTCGCCGTGCGGTCGATGGGAATCCCGAGAGGAGATGCGGATGAGGACAGTGCCAGTGACCTCTCCGACTCGGAGCGGGTCCCCGTTGCTCCTTCCCCGTGCACGCCTCCAGATCTCCGTCTGCGAGCAGAAGAAATTGACCCAGCCTGCTTTGACCTGGACCTTCACCCGGGTCAGGGCCACGCGAGGGTCCAGCACCGTTACCCCGACTTCCTCCCGCCACGGTGCAGCTCCTGGGACCTGCGGGGCATGGCCATGCTTGTGCATGGAGAGCGCAGGCCCGGCGCCGTGCCACGCGCAGGCGGGCTGCTGGGCAGGTACGTGGACCGGCTGCTTCAGCTTGAATGGCTGCAGATCCAGACTGTCCAGGGTGAGAGGGCCAAGGGCGGGAAAGCCCGGCTGCCTGCTGCCCCTGGGGGGCCCCTGCAGAGCCCAGGGCGAGGCAAGCTCCTGGCTGGGGCTATGTCCAGGCCCCCCCAGGACGGGGCCCCCAAGTCAGTCCCCTCGAGAAAGAAAGGTCTTCCCCGCACCCAGGGCACTCCGGCCTGTTACCCCTTTGAGACTCCCCCCAAGCCCCTTGAGGTGCTGGGTGGTAGCAGGCTGGGTTCTCAGAAGCAAACCCTCGACATGAGGACCGAGGAGAAGAAGAAGAAATGCACTAAGAGCCCCCGGCCGCCGCACTGGCACCTGGCAGGCGGTGACAGCAGCCTCGCCATGGAGAGCAGCGGCAACATCCGAATCCCCAAACAGCCCGCAGGGACTCCGGACTCCACGGAGGCCCACAAGGCCTCCAAACCCCAGGCGCACGCACATCTTAAGAAAAAAGGAACTGCAAACAGCTGCGGTCACGCCTCCCTGTCTGGGGAGAAAAAACTCAAAACAAATGGAGGGAAGCAAAACACACATAAATTCAAATAACGTCCGAGATGGTGGGCTGTGGAGACCGGCAGGTGCCGAAGTACCAGAACTCTTCCAAACGCAGCAATACTGTGAATTTTAGGAAATGTTACGAAAACTGCCACACGAGGAGTCCACTGGTCCTGTAGTCCACCCTGCCCCCACCCGGGTTATTGTCACAAACACCTGTCTTGCAGGGAGTCCCCTTTCACAGTCTCAAGCAAAGGACAGCCCTTTGGATGAAAATTAGCCAAGGCCTGTGCCATGTGAAGGAACAAAGCGACGACTCTCTGGGGGAAGAGTCGCCTCTGCTGAACCAGCAGGCGTGCGGAGAGCAGCACTGGGGACGCTCAGCTGCCCCCCGCTGTCCCTGTCCGCATGTAGGAAGCAGCACCAGCAGTTTTCACGTGCAGGCCCCTTGCGTCCGACTCAGTCCCAGGAGCTCGGCTCCTCTTCAAGTTGGGGGTGTGCATTCTGAGCAGGGTCTTTCATCACGAAGCTACCTACTGTACAGAGACCGCAGAATCTAATGTTTTCATACACTTTCCCTGATGTGGGTTTAAAAAGAAAAAAAAGAGGCAACTTCATCGTAGAGCTGGCGACTCCCCGTGTCCTCTCAGCGGAGCACAAAGGTGTGCGGCCTGTTGGGTGGGGACCTCGGTGGGGTGAGGTGGCACTGCTGTCTGCTGGGGCAGCTGGGAGTCCGCGGCGCCCCAGCCCTCCTGCAGAGGTGCCCAGGAGAACCACTGTGCGGAGTTTGTGAACGAAGGGTCCACTCTGGAGAAACACATGGAACCGCTCTGAATGGAGCCAGTTACTGCGTCACTGCTCTGGGACCCGCCTCCCGCCGTCCGTGGTCAAAACAGTGATCTTTCCGGTCGGCACGAGCAGCGGTTCGGAGCCTCGCCGGGGCAGGCTGGGCAGCGGGGATGCGTTCCTGCCTGTCTCCTAGCCGGCCCTGCGGCTTCCTGAGGCCTCCTCCCGTCACCATCACTGCAGTTAAGTAACATGCAGCTGGCCCTGGGGCTGTGCCTCGACCTTCTGCTGACATTCTCGGACAGCTTTGAAGCCTTCATTGGACTACTTCTCGCTGTACGGTGTGTTTTAATATTGTAGCTGATCGTACCCCTTCAAATGATTATCCTATTTTCTATTGTTTTATACAACGTGTTTCCCTTTTTTGCAACTTTGGGGGCAAATGAAAAATGTGGCACTTTTCACTTGAACATACATCATGGCCTGCAGCTGTGTCACCCAGCAGTCAGCGTCATGCGGGGCACATCGTGAATGACAGTGTAAGGAGGAGATAGATACACATAATTAGAACATCCCGTGTTGAAACGTTACTTCTGGCCGCACGAAACAATGTATAAAATGTGTTTGGCAGCCCTTCCCCTCCCAGACTCCACTTTCAGGAACGTGCAGCTCCTGCCTCACGTCCTGTACGCCCAGCCCGCCTGGCTGGGGAAATCGTGCTCTGGCCTGAGGTCCTACACCTCTCCCTGGGGACAAAGGCTGGACGTCTGTGGGCGTCACCTCCGTCGCCCCCAGGATAGCATCCTTTTGTTCCCGGGATGTGAACTGTGTTCTACAAACACAGAGCCACCCTTACTTCCCTCTGTGTGCGTCCCCAGTGGCACCCTGCATGTCCAGGGCCACCTGCTCCTTGTGAGCATGGGTGGGTTAGTCCTTCCTCCCTGCTGGCAGCGAGCCCCCGATCCTCCCTCTGCCGGATTTCCACACAGCTCTTCAGGAGTTTCAGGGCTGATAAATCCCTGCAAGCCGAGCACACACTCCTGATGTTAACACGGAAGGGTTCACACCTGCCCCCGGAGTATCCGTGTGGGCACTCCTGGGGCCCCTGCAGGGTGAGGCCCACGTGGCTGGCTTTGCTGGCCTCGTGTGTGTCTGGGCTGAAGGCCACGATGCTTAAGAAATTCAGAGGTAACACCATGAATGCTGCATTTGTCCCTTGCTGTTGAATCGAAGGGTGTTGCTTCATTTGGGGACCAGTCATGAGGTCGAGTGGCAGTTTTAAAAGCCTGGAAAAGTGACTCCACTCATCTGTGTGTTTCCTCAGGCTGGTGGTTTACTTTTACCCATGTTACTGGGTCGGGATTGGAGCTGCCGGTGACTGGCGCAGGTCCACCAGGGGACACACGCAGTCTCGGCATTGTGACTTGAGAAGTGTGACTCGGTGTTGTGACTCGGCGTTGTGACTTCCAGGTGGATGATGTTGGAAAGGGAAGCCGTGAGCTCATTCAGCTCACGTCTAAGCCACTGAGTCTCTTGCCAATCTGGCGACAGAGGCCACTGTGTTTCTGAGAAGTCCCGCTCATTTCTGGGGAGTTGTTTACATATAAAGTGCATTTAAACCAAGGAAAACAGCCCGAAGTGTAAAAAAATAATGACCAAAAAATTTTAGAGAATGGAAGAACATCAGGCTTAGAATCGGTTAGTGGGGAAATTTTTAAAAATGTACGAAAAGTGAACTACAAATCTATACCAGTATTATCTGCAGTTGTTGAGGCTTGGACTGTTTCTGGAATCTGGCTGCAGGGTTATAACTGACTCAGCAGGGGTGACATCAGGGGCCTCAGACGGAAAGACAGACAGAGGCTGTCGCTGGCCCTATGGAAGCTTAACAGCTAAAGGGAAGATGGTTCACGGGGGCCCTCAGGCCTGGGAGGTTAGTTTCCAAAAAGATGTCAGAATCCCCCCTTCCACAGTACGCTATGCATGGCCTCCCACCTTCCTTTATGCTCGCGTCCTTGCTCAGTTACATGAAAACAAAACTCTTGGCAGTCGTGTGTTTCAAGGTGACAGATGGGCATTATTGATTACTTATTCACGTACATGTGCGGAGCACCATTTCGAACAGCCTGGAAACACGCAGCGTGTTTGCTGTGGGGGCCACTCCTGTGCGAGCGCTTGGTTTTGTCCGCAATAAAACCAGTGCATCGAAGTCCGTGTGCATCTGCAGTGTTCCTTCTCCAGATCAGCCTCGGGTGGTGGGAAGGTGCGCGTTTCTGGTTTCACTTTGCTTTTCACGCTGTTCTCTCTCAGGGTCTGTCTGTGTCCCTGGTTCCATCAGACAAGGGCCGAGGAGGAGACTCCGTAGTCAACTCCTTTCTAATCACGGAGCAACACCCGCGGCACCTGGGCGCGCTGTGTGTGGCTCAGTCCCCTCCCTCCTTTCACCCCCAGACGGTGTTGGGTGGTCAGGGGAGCAGGGCGGGATGTCGGACACCTGAAGTGACGTGCTGTGAGTCACTGCGGCGCCTCGGCCGGAAACCCGAGCTGTCTTTTCATACCCTGCCCTCCGGCCCTGGTTCGGGGAAGGTGGTGTTGAGTGGCCCCTGTTCTGGACATCGGGGTGAGGGGGACCCTTGGCTCCTCTTCTCAGCTCGTTCCCTGCAGGGGCTCACTTTCTTCTGAGCCTGAGACACAGTGGCAGTTCCTTATCTGGGGGCATGTTAAACAAAGTTCAGCTGTGAGCACACTTTGAAGGCCTCGGCCTTACTCAGCGATGCGAAGGTTGGGCAGCGTCCCTTCCAGCAGAGAAAGATGAACGCCCTATGTGAAAGGTGTCCCTGCACCAGAAAGAGAGTCACATTCTTGTCATCAGGGCCGAGAGGCTGAGGCCCAGAGAAGCCGACACAGATTTCAGTTGTTACAAAAATTCCCCTCTCCCACCTCACCCGCCACACGCTTTCCTGTCCACCACGGCCCCACCTAGTCACAAAGGCCAGCGTGTGCCACCGGTGCTCGGGGCCTGGGAGACTTGCCTTGGGTCCGCTGGGCTGCTTCCCTCCTGTCCGTCTGTCTCAGGCCCCCAAAGAGCCCTCAGAGATGAAGGGGAGCGAACTCACTGCCCCACAGAAGGCCTCTCTGGCCTAAGGATTACTTTAGGCTGATTGTTGCTGAGGCATGGGAACCAGCAGAGAAACTCCGCGAACAGAGCAGAGCCAGCCATCGGTGAGAGGCTGGCCAACCACAGGGACGATCTCCACTTGGGAGGGAGCCCACGCCGCACCAGGAGGAGGAGGGGATTCCACCTGCAGGAGGAGCTCCTAGGAACCGCAGCCCTCGGGTAAGGGCTGAAATCTGCCTAGCAACCGCACCTCTGGGACCGCAGAAATAATTCAGCGCCTGGGCGCCCCTCCCGATCCATCTCCTTTTGTCTGGGCTGGAGACAGAATTCAAGGCGGGCTTGGTCCATTTCCGGGGTTCCGCGGTTTCCCGGGGTCTCTCCCGTGTAGGCTGCTGACGTGCGCATGTTATTAAGCTTCCCTTTGCTTTTCTCCTGTTGATTTTTTATCGACCGCAGGGAGGGCCTCTGAGCCAAGAACCCAGAGGACAGTGGGAAAATCATCTTTCCTCCCCATGAGGGTAAAAAGAAAAGTTTGCCTCCCCCACAGAATCGAAGTCTGCATTCCAGCCAGACCCTGGGCGGTTCCGTTCTGAGAAACCTGCTTTTCTGGCACTTCAGCGTCTGCAAGTTTGAACTGACCACTCCGACCGCATTCCACCCGCGGGGCTGTCTCGGTCTCGTGCCCCGGCCGCTGACAGAGCCTTCTGCTCACTGTGTCTGTTTTCTCCCCGGGGCTGGGAGGCACTGGGCTGGCTCTGCACCTGCAGAACCACTCACCTGAGTAGTCTCTGGCCTCCGATGACCTGGGCTGCACAGGGGCGCTACTGAGTGGGGGCTGCCCATGCTCACCTGGCCCTCACACGCACGCTGAGGTTCTAGTGTAAATCACAGGTGTGCGGTGGCCTGGCTGGTGGTGGATGTCGGCGGGTCTGAACGCGGGGACAGTCTTTTCTAAGACCTTCAGAGGGTTCCCCAGAGGGATTTATTTATCCCCAGGCAACGAGGCACGGCTGAAAAGTCCCAAGGTTGGGTCCCCAGGCTCGTTCCAGTGACAGAAAGCCTGTTCCTCATGCCCCGGCCATTTGGTCGGATCCAGTACAGCCGGCGCCTCCTTCCGCACCCTGCCCCCCAACACGCTCATCCTTGTGAAGAAAACACTGAGCACTGGAGGACCCCCGAGGTGAGAAGGCTGAGTCCGGGGAACAAACTGCAGCCCACACTTACCTCCCCTCCAGCATCATGACTTTGATCTCCCCAGCCATCAACATCTCCTATCTGCTTACTCGGAGCTGGCAGCTGCCACCCTGTGGTTGCAATGTGTTACTGCACCTCTAAGGGACAGGGACACCACACCGGCGTCCCTGGAATACGGGAAACGTGGGGTACCCCAGTTCAGTCTCCCCTGAGACGCAGGCGTCCCCCGCAGAGGGAGTCAGAGCCTCGCTGAGAACGGTTGCCCTGTGGGAAACTGGCTTCCTGCTCGGCTCCTTTTAAACACTTGTGGACGTTGGAAATCTGGTTGTTTTTAATACACTGGTTTCTTTGCACTTGCAGGGAATGGACACAGGAACCCTTCACAAGCTTTCCCCAGGTCCCCTCCCCGACCCCGAGGTCCCTGAGGTCGACACCCAGCCTTCCTCACTCCTCCATATTGTCATCCTCATCGGCGTTCTCACAAGAGGGGTGTGTGACCTGCATCCCCCCCTCACAAACATTCAACATGGCTTAGCGCACCTGATCTATAAAGCCTGAGTGATTCTCAGTCCAGGTTCCCCAGAGACTGCCACGGAATAAAAATACCCACTTTAAAAACTAGCACTGAGTTGTAAATGCAGTCATTTTTATTGCCACTATGCACAGGAAATATTTACAGACCTTAAAATTGCATTGGTTATCCTTCTCAATAATAAGCTATTAATTCAGACTCAGGTAATAAGCTATTCGAACCATGATGCTCTGCAGCACCTCATAGAGCTAAGGGAGTCCATTAAGAAAGTTTATCTCCTGTTTCACCTGCTAAAGAACTGTTTACTATTTTAATTTGTTTTATTTATTGATTTGAGAGAGAGAGAGAGACACTTATTGACGCACGGATTGATTCTTGCGTGTGCCCTGACCAGAGGTCAACTCCACACGACCTTGGCACATACGGACAACACTCTCACCAGCTGAGCTCCCCGGCCAGGGCCAGAACTGCTCACCACTTTACACTCGGAAATGGGGTAACACACAGCTACATGCTCAGGTAACAGCACGAATGGGGGGTCAGATTTTGCTTTAAACTTGACAGAGGCAATCTAAGTGCTGATGGAGTAGAATCCCCACCTTGTCCTTTTCTTCCTGGAGTCCCAGGCAGGCAAGTCCCCAGGAGGCCCAGAGACCCTCCCACAGGGAGTCCCTTTCTCATCTCCCCCCCTCTTTCTTTAATTCCAACCTCCAAAAGGCAGATTCATCTCAGCTTAGAAGAGAGTTTGGTAGGAAATGTCTGTAAACCCCAGAATACTGAGACATGGTTCAGATGAAGTTGATTAGGTGCTTTGGGAAGGAAAAGTAACCCCTCCCTCCCTCCCTCCCTCCCTCCCTCCCTTCCTTCCTTCCTTGCTTCCCTTCCTTCCGAAAAGGAAAAGTAATTCTTTCCTTTTCCTTCCTTCCTCCCTTCTCTCCATCTTCTTTTCCTCTATAAAGTTACTTTTCTTGGAGCTCTTTTCCAGTCCTTTTGTTACAAAGGAGAGGGATTAAGGAAATCATCCTCAACGCTCCTGCAACAGAAAGTGGGGCAGCGACTTGGAGACTTGAAACAAAGAAACAAAAGCCCCATTTTCCCGGAGATGCAGGTTTCGGTTCTGCCCTAATCCCCGGGGTCAAGCCCAGGTGATGTCTGCGTGCACAGGCCTTTGTGGGTGGTGGCGGTGGCCGTTCCCTCCCCTCCGCTCCCTTCCTAGGAACTGTTAGTGCTCCTGCGGCCCCGCCCAGATAAACCCAAGACGGGCCAGGGAGAGGCAGGGGAGCCTGAAAGGAGAGTGACTGGGTCAGAGGGACCACAGAGTGGCAGGGGAGACAGTCCAGCTGGGAAGGACGTGCCTGGCTCCAGGGGAGACCGCAGCCCAGGGAGACCCACCACCGCTGGCAGGCTCAGGCTCTCACGTCTTAGCATTTCCTCCATCATGGGCTCCAGGGCACCCGCCCCCCTGCCACTCCTCGTGCGGCGGCGGCTGCTGCTGCTGCTGCTGCTGCTGCTGCTGCCACAGGTGAGTGGGGCTGGGACCCATGACGCACTCCAGCGACCTCTGTGGGGACAGGGGACAGGACCGAGTGTGACCTGGCCTGGGCAGGCCGGAGCAGGGCTGCAGAGCTCTAGCACGTTGTGGGCGGTGGGGCACCCAGGTCTACGGAGGGGCTCGGGGCACAGTCCCTTGGGGGAGAGGTGGGCCAGGCTAAGGGGACTCCCTTCAGAGCTGTGCACACCACGGTTTTATCTAGACTTGTATCCACGTGCAAGTGTGCCGGGGATGATTCTCCTGTTCACACCTGGCACAAGGTCGAGGGAACCTCGACTATGTCGATGGTCCAGGAAGAAAATGCAAATGGGCACAGTTTAAAGACCTTCCTGGTCTATCGAGTGATTCGTGAACCGGGCAGCATCCCATCCGGCCGGTGGGGCTCTGTGTGACAGCAGAGGGGGCCGGATGGGGACGTCGCGCTGCCAAAGCTGACTGTGGCCAGGGCACGGCTGGGGGCTGCCAAGCAGCCGACCTCACCAGTGCTGCCCGGGGAGCGGTTCCCGGTTGACTGGGTTAAGAGCCCACCCCTGGGACAGGCCAAGACTGCCAGAAGTGGAGTATTAAGTCTCAGTCTGGTGACCTGGGGCTCAGCACAGGTGCCTCCGCTGGGCCCACCGTTTCTGAACAGTTCCCCGCTTTCGCTCATCAGACTCTCAGCGTGTCAGGCGTGGTCACACTGTAGGCCATTAGGTCCCTCCCACTGCCACTCTGCAGTCCCCCAGTTTCTGCCAGTTCTCTGTGCGGGGGCTCTCAGGTGGGAGGTCTCCCCGGCCCCGCCCAGGCTCCGCCACTTCTGGCTGACCAGAAGTTAATTAGTTGACCCTGGTCCTCACCTTGGTTTAGGCGGAACTCTTCTAGGCAGCTGTAACCAACCCCCCACGAGCCGCCTGCTGGGCTCCACACTGAGCTGATGCTGGGGCGTGGCCCGGGCGCGGGGTTTGCACTGAACCTTGTTTACCCTCCTCTTCTTCACCTGAAAAGGGAGCTGCCCGCCCCTACCCACCCCGAGCTGGCAAGAGTAAACAAGCAAGGGCTTGGCCCCTGATGGCCCAGCGCCCGGGTGTTTCTTCTTTTCTGTTTGGCTGGTCACAGCGGGAGGACTGGCTACGTTTACTCAGTCCCCGCTCTGTGACAGCATAGGGCATGCTGGCTCTGGGCCAGGTGCTGTCATAAGGGCTGGGGGTGTCACAGTCAACAAAATGGGGGAGAAGCCCCGTCTGCGGCACTCACCCTCCAGCGGGTCTCTACTTCCGAAGGCGATGGCTGTCTGGCACCAGTTGCCTGGCGTTGGGAGAACTGTCTCTCCCACACTCTGCCGTAAGGGTGCGAGTGTTTCTGCTGACTGAGCTCTAGGTCTCTGTCACCTTCCCCTTCCTGCTCCTCTGACCTCCAGTCTGACACCCGGCCCCGCTCTGCAGGGAGCTGTCCAGCTGCCTCAGTTTTCCTCCGAAATCCCCACACCCTTGGTGTCACTCTGACGCGGAGCAAATGACGAAGCTGTGACTCTTCCTCGTGTTTGCGTCACGCGCGTGACCATCGCCTCAACCCCAGAGAGCGTTGGCTTCCGTGGGCTGACACTGGAGCCTGGGGGAAACATGTTTCTCGGTTCATGGAAGACAACAGCGATAAACCACGTGTCAATAGAAATAACAGATTCCAGGAAGAATAACTGCATTTTAACAGCAGGAATGGCACTGCTGTGTTTTTGCAAATCTCTTGAACATCTGGCTTCTCTTTCACATTGATGTTTCTCTCCCACTGTTCCTTCCTCCCTCCCCCCTCTAAAAATAAATAAATGAGAAACAAACAAAACAAAGAAACAAACAAAACCGCAAAAAAACTAGTGGCCTATTCAGCTCACCGTCCTGCGCCAGGTCCTACCTTCTCACGCATACTCCCCCATGTGACCCTCAGAGCACTGACAATTTGTCCTCTCCAGGGGAGTGGAATCACAACCTTTCACTGCTCCATCGTTTCTCTGGTGATTTCAACAGTTAAGGGGCTTCACCAATGGCCTCGTTCTTTATTAATTACGTTGTTACAGTTGCCCTCATTTTTCTCCCTTTGCCCCCCTCCACCCAGCACCCCTCTCTCCATGCAGCAAACCACCCCCCCTTCACGTCCATGGATTGTGCATGTAAGTTCTTTGGCAACTCTATTTTCTATACTAGCTTTTAACATCCCCATATATTATCTATTCTGTGCCTGCCAATTTGCCCTTTTTAATCCTGGCACCTTTTCCCTGATTCCCCCAGGCCCTCTGACCCCACTGGCCACCATCATAATATTCTCCATGTCTGTGATTCTGTGTCTGTTCTGCTCGTTCAATTAGTTTGTTTTTTAGATTCGATTGTTGATAATTATGCATTTATTGCCATTTTAATGTTCATAGTTTTGATCTTCTTTTTCTTAAATAGCTCCCTTTAACATTTCATGCAATAATGGCTTGGTGATGATGAACTCCTTTAGTCTGTCTAAAGTGCTTCAGGGAAGCACTTTAAATGCCCTTCGATTCTCAATGATGGCGTTGCTGGGTAGAGTGATCTTGGCTGTAGGTCCCTGCTTTTCTTGACTTTGAATACTTCTTGCCAATCCCTTCTAGCCTGCAAAGTTTCTTTTGAGAAATCATTTGACAGTCTTATGAGAACTCCTTTGTAGGTAATTATCTGCTTTTCTCTTGGTGCCTTTAAGAGTCTCTCTTTATCTTTAACCTTTGGCATTTTAATTATGATTGTGTCTTGGTGTGGTCCTCTTTATGTCCATCTTGTTTGGGACTCTGTGCTTCCTGGACTTGTATGTCTGTTTCCTTCACCAAATGAGGGAAGTTTTCTTTCATTATTTCTTCAAATAGGTTTCCAATTTCTTGCTCTTTCTCTTCTCCTTCTGGCTCCTTTATGAAACAAACTGCCACATCCTCTTCCAGCCACGCCGTCTGACAAGGTCCGGGCATGGAGGATTTAAGTTCAAGGAATTTATCTCCCCGGAGGAGAACGTGGCATCCAAAATGGGTTAACAACGGGCTATTTTATTTTAATTATTTTACTCTTGCTACTGAATATAAACATTGTACCGTACTTACTCATTCCTGTGAAAATCACCAAAGAGGAGGGCACAGTTCAGGGGAAAACATTAATATTCCCCACGGAACTGCCTGAAAGGATGGAAAAATCCCCACAGATTCCAACTCTCCCTTGTACAGGGGAGTACGACAGCCAGGGTGATATAATTGTTAACTGTAAGGGAAAACATGTCAAGTTGTACAAATTACCCTGGTCTGAGCAACTTAAAGCGATCAGGACCGCCATAGTGTACCAGAAATAAGAAAAACAAGTTACATATTTGTTTTGGTGATCAAAAGGTGGTGGGATTGTTAGACACTTATATTTCAGGTTCATTGATTCGTATAATTCCAACGAAGTTGTACAAAATAAATTCTTAGCTAGAGAACAAAATCCCCTCTAATGAAATAGCTCCTGTATGTCTAAAAGTTGTTGGAATAACAGCCCCTCCTTTACCTTGAGGAGGAATATATATCAATTAGACAGGCAAAGAAATAACAAAAGCTGGCTAGTTATTACAAACTAAACATGTAAAAACAGTTACTAAAGAGTCAGAGTTTATAGTACACAGAGAAACATTTTGGACAGAAAAGGATAGATAGCTAAGTTAGACATCACAAGGGACTTATAATAAATCTCCTATTACCTCTACTCAATCTAGCGTATCCTTTTGCCCCATGATAAATTCTGAGAACTTTAATATACAATTAAGACATTCAAACTCTGTACATAGATCTATTTCAAACTGTCTGATTTATGGCTCTCCTGGTCAAAATAATCTTTGTTTATTATAACTGAATCTATGGGAACTTTCATACTTTTCCTGGTTACCTTTGTATTAATTTTTTCTGCTTAACTGATCATACTATACTGCAAATGTTAATCACTACCTAAAATGAAAATAGAAAAACCTGCTTGTACTTGCAATAAACGGAACAGAGCTTCACTGTCCTTTGAGGCAGTGATGTCGTCTGTTACCCATCGCCGACACCTTACCCACCATTGGGACCCCCGGACCCTGCTGAGGCTGGACCCTGGCAACCAACGTTGGACCTCTTGAACTTGTCCCAGAGGTTCCTTACATTTCCATTGATTGTTCAGATTCTTTCTTCTTCTTGTTGTTCTGATTGGTTGTTTTTTGCTTCCTTATGTTTCAGATCATTGATTTGACTGTCAGCTTCTTCCACTCTGCTGTTGATTCCCTGTAGATTGTTCTTTATTTCAATTAGTGAATCCTTCCTTTCCGATTGGATCTTTTTTATGCCGTTGAAGTACCCACTGAGTTCCTGAGTATCCTGATCACCAGTGTTTTCAACTCTGCATCTGATAGATTGCTTATCTCCATTTTTTTTTAGTTCTTTTTCTGGAGTTGATCTGTTCTTTCATTTGGGCCACGTCTCTTTGTTTCCTCATTTTAGCAGCCTCCCTGTGTTTGTTTCTGTGTATTAGGTAGAGCTGCTTTGGCTCCGTGACTTGGTTGTGTGGGCTAATGTAGTAGGTGTCCTCTAAGGTCCAGTGGCACAGCCTCCCCTGTCACCCAAGTTGGGTACTCCAGGGTGCCCTCCATGTGGGCCGAGTACTTCCTCCTCATGCAGTTCAGTCTTGATGGCTGTCAGTAGGTCAATGACAGGGCTTTACCCAGGCCAGACTGCTGGCTGGACCGGCTGTGACCTCTGGCCAGCAACCACCTCCCTCTGTGGCTCGTGGAGGTGGTTGGGTGGTGCTCTAATGTGGTCCGTGACTGTCTGCTGGGGGCAGAGGCGCTGGGCTTTCCTGGGTGGTGCAGGCCAAGGTCAGCCCCCACCTGTGTTCTGTCCGGTGCCCTTTGCCATAAGACGTAAAGCAATCTGCAGATGGTTGCTGTTGGTGCCGGGCCTGGGGCCCCTCAGCGAGAGGTTTGCAGCTGGGCTCAGCTGGTGCTTGTTGGAGCAGATTTAGGAAGGTCTGAAGCCTGTGCCTAGCCCGGCCCCTCACACGGAAAAGCCACTGTGACCAGCCTGGGTGGGCCGGTGAGTTGGATGGGGTGGATCCTTAGGCAATCGCCAGCGGGGGGCGGGGGCCTTACTGTGTGAACCAGGTTGATGGAGATTCAGATCTGGCGCCCGTGGCTCTCTTGGGGGGGCACTCAGGAAAGGCATGGTGGCCACTGTCTGCAGTTCTGTCTGGGAGAAAGCTGTCCCCAGCTCTCGCCCTGATGCCTCACAGTTCAGTTCCTTCCCGTAGGTCACAGGTGCCATTCCAGGTGCTGCCCTGGTGCTGGAGCCCAGAGGGAGCGAGGCCGAGTGAGTCTGTGTGTGGTGTGAGGCCCTCCAAGAGGAGACACCTGAGAACCCCGCCGTTTCTTCTGCCAACCCAACCTGCCCCTGGTTTTTACAGCCAGGAGTTGTGGGGACTTAGCTTCCTGGCACTGAAACCCTGGGCTGGGCGGGCCAGGTGGGCCTGGGATCCCTCGCTCCCGAGATGTCCCTCCATTTTGTATCCACCACATGCGTCTCCACCCCTCCTACCCATCTGGACGAAGGTGGTGTCTTTAATTCTTAGTTGTCAGACTTCCACATGGCTTGATTTTCTGACGGCTCGGAGCGATACTCGTTCTGTAGGTTAGCTGTGGTTTTGCTGCGGTCGTGCGAGGAGGCCAGCCATGTTTACCGACGTCTCCAACTCGACCGGATGTCCCAGCGCCTTTATTCTTAAATGGCACTGGAACTTGGCTCTGTCTTTCTGCCTCGTTCCTGCCCATGCCCGGGAGTGAGGGGTACGTGGCAGCGGGGGGCCACAGGGGTCTTTGCCTTCTCAGGGCCGAGCCCCCCGCAGTCCCACACTGCCGTGCCGCACCACCTGTGCAAACACCCCAGTGGTGCGTGAGCAGGAGTGGCCTCGTGGACTCTCGGATAAGGTCAGGGAGCCAGCGAATGACACTTTGGAAACCGCTGCTCCAGAGATAGTTCCTGTCACAGTATTTTTTTTTGGTAATAAGTAACAACTGGAAATGACCTAAGCGTCCACCATCAGGAGAATGGATACAGAAATTATCCTCTACCCACACAGAGAAATGCTGCACAGCAGTTAAAATGAATGACCTAGAACTCTAGGTGTAACACACTCACACCCACCCACAGGCATAGCACGTCCACATGTGTGCACACACGTGTTTGGTGTTGGTTTTGACAGACATGGTGGAGCCGTCCCTTTCATTTTGAACAGCTTTCCTATACACGTGTGGTTTTCTGTGGGGGGTGGAGGTTGCTGAGACAGAAACAATAAACAATCCTCCGTGTAAGTCGCCATGTGAATGTGAGGTGCGTTCTGTACGATTCTCTCCCAGCACCCACCGGGCCGACCCTGCTTAGCTGCCGAGACCAGGTGAGACCAGGCGCCCTCAGCGCAGTTTGGCTGTAGACCGACTGCTGTTACTTCACTGAGTAGTGTCAGATAAAGTCTAAAAGTAAGGGAAAAAGAAAAGAATAACAGAAGAAAAAGCCCACTTGAATCCCACCACCCATCAAGATTTGGTGCCATTTCTGACATGTGCACAGAAGTGCTTTTGTGGACGTGTCCTCGGCAGACAGGGCGACCTCCCACGGTGTCATCGTGTGGCTTTCAGCGGCCCCACCACTGGTCACACTAGATCAGAAGTCTCGGGTCAGTGCTCCTGTGTTTACACGCAGAAGCGGTAATTAAGAATCGAGATGTCAAGAACAAGAAATGGTATTCATGAAACAACGCAGAAGTATTTCCCCTCCCCCAATTCTGCGCGATTTGTGTTTCTCTCTGATTTTGATGTTTATTCCCCACTAATTAATGCCATTTCAATTTTTAAGGTCAACCTCATCAACAGCTCCCAACAAGAAAATGATCGTCGGGAGGAGCAAACGGAGGTGAGGTTCAGATGTCGGTTTCTCTAGAGACCAAGCCCGTGAGGCCCCCCTGGCACAGAGGTGGGTCTGTGGTGCTGCGTCTGGAGGGCCCGGGCGGTGCCTGGCCAGTGGACACAGACCAGTCACCAGCTGTGGGGTTCAGGGCCCGAGGGCTGTCAGAGCGCTGCAGACTGCACCGCGCACGGGGCTCCGGTGTCTTACTGCAGCCCAAGCACGCTGCGGCCATCAGGGGCCAGCCAGAGGTGCGTCCGGGCCTTTGCTGCTTTGTGACAGTAAACACTGAGAGGGAGGAGAATTCCTGGCGGGAGCGTGTGTCCTCAGAGCTACAGTAGAGTGCCCACCCCGCACTCAGGCCACCCCGGGACCATTTCCTTCCTCTTGCTCTTGTGATCTACTCTGTAGTTCAGTCTTTTTTTTTTTTTTTTTAAGTACATTTTTCTGGATACAGATGAATGTAGCAGTAAGCCAGGCTCACATCATAAACAGACAGTAACAATAAACTATCTATGTAATACAGACAAAGCCACGTTGTTGAATTATCTGTACTCCCTGACAAATCTCTGACCCCAATGCCTGAGTCTGCATCTCTCTCTGTCTCTTCCCTGTCACGGGGAGATGGGCAGACAGAGAGGCGCTAGGGACCTGTCCGCACCGAGGGGGGACTTCCTCCTCAGGGGCTCCAGAAAGCGAGGGGTGCCTTTCTCATTCACCCAGCAGCTCCCTGCCTGTGCACAGAGAGACAAGCGTGAGCGCAGTGTAGGCAGCGACCTCTGGTGCCACGTCCCCAGAGCACCTGCAGTGGTCTCGTGAATCACGCTGAACTTTGGGGGGGCACGTGCCTTGCTGTTTAGAGAGGGCTCCACGGTGGGTTAGGAGCGGGCACGACGCAGTTCCAAGCATGGGTAGCAGCTGTGGGGATGCCAGAAAGGATGCAGGTCCCAGGCCAGCCCAGCACCGGCTGGCCTCACCACCCTCCTCAGAACCAGTGTCACGGTCACTTCCAGGGAGACGGCCACCGGCCTCTACGGCGATTCAAGAGAAGATGGGTTGTCACCACCTTGGAACTGGAGGAGGAAGACTCGGGACCCTTTCCCAAGCTTGTTGGGGAGGTAAGGCCACGAACACTGTGCTCTCATTAAACGCAGCCCCTTCTGGGGGGAAGGCGGGGCCACGAAAGGCTGTGAGTGGGGCAAGTGCCGGCTGGCCTGCTGGGGAGGGGGGACTTGGACGGAGCTTGTCCCAAGGGCAAGACTCCTCCTGGAGAGTGCCTCAAAAAAAAGAGGGTCCGTTCATTCCAGCCTCAGGCCTGATTTATTTGTCCTACACAGAGTCTTTAAAAATCATTATTTAAAAATAAGGAGAGTGTGGTTATCGGAAGCTGGGTGTGGGGGCAAAAGGAGATTACAGTAAAACTGTGGGTGCCAGGGGCTGGCAGGGAGGGTGTCACAGGCGGAAGGTTTAGTGTTTAATGGGGACAGTCTCACTTTTGCAAGATGACAGGCCTGGAGATGACGGTGGCCAATGCTGCAGAGCAACCTGCGTGGACTTGCTACCCCGGAGCGGTGCACTTAACATTGCTTAAGATGGGACATTTCATGTGACGTTATTTTAGCACCATTAAAAAAAAATGGGGAGATTGTATTACAAGTCCTGCCTTTCAGAGGCTTTTTGGGAATTGGGAGGTCTGACCACCTGGAGCCCGTTCTTACATGGCAGCGATGAGGTGGGCCTGAGGTCCCCGGAATGCCACAGTCCCCACCATGCCCAACTGCCTCCCTCACTCTGTGGTACAGGACCAGCCCAGGTGCTGAAGGGGACATGGGTAACGGTGGGGCTGCCGGAGACCGTCCACTCGGCCCAGGCGGTTCTCCCACTGCCTTCCCGACCTCGCAGGGCCTCTGAGTGACATACTGAGGGAGTGTATCCCCGATGGCTCTGACGTTCTGTGACCCCCAGGAAAAAATTAAGAGTAGCTCCTATGTTCGCAGTGTGTATAAAAATAGTATATATGCCTGCTTTAAAAAAAAACACCACCTCCAGGAAGCTTTCAAGCTCAGTGATTAAAAGCGTGAACCCCCAAGAGCTGGGGAGATCGGCTCATTGTCTTTTTTCTGCTCACTTTGTCTCCTTCCAGCTGTTCAACAACGTGTCCGACGACAGGTCTCTGGTGTATTTGATTAGTGGCCCCGGGGTGGACGAGTATCCGGAGGTTGGCTTGTTTTCTATAGAAGACCACGAGAACGGAAGGATATACGTCCACCGCCCTGTTGACCGGGAGAGGACACCAGCCTTTATGGTACCTAAGTTCGCTACTGTGAAGCTCTTTTTTTAAAAATATATTTATTGATTCTGCCATTACAGTTGTTCTATTTTCCCCTTCATTCCCCTCCACCCTGCACACCCCCTCCCCACCATTCCCCCGCTTTAGTTCATGACCACGTGTTTCAAGTTCTTTAGATTCTATATCTCCCCTACTATTCTTGCCCTCCCCCCGATCTGTTTTCTACCTACCATCTATGCTACTTATTCTCTGTACCTTCTCCCCCCTTCTCCTCCTCCCACTCCCCTGTTGCTAACCCTCCATGTGATCTTTATTTCTATGGTTCTGCTCCTGATCTAGCTGTCCTCTTAGTTTGCTTTTGTTTTAGGTGTGGTTGTTGATAACTGTGAGTTTGCTGTCCTTTCACTGTTCATCTTTTTTATCTTCTTTTTCTTAGGTAAGTCCCTTTAACATTTCATATAATAAGGGCTTGGTGATGATGAACTCCTTGAATTTGATCTTATCTGAGAAGCACTTTATCTGCCCTTCTATTCTAAATGAAAACTTTGCTGGATAGAGCAATCTTGGTTGTAGGTCTTTGGATTTCATGACTTGGAATACTTCTTTCCAGCTCCTTCTTGCCTGTAAGGTCTCTTTTGAGAAATCCACTGACAGTCTGATGGGAACTCCTTTGTAGGTGACTGTCCCCTTAGCTCTTGCTGCTTCTAGGATTCTCTCCTTCATTTGAATCTTGGCTAATATAATGATGATGTGCCTTGGTGTGTTCCTTTTTGGGTCCACCTTCTCTGGGACTCTCTGAGATTCCTGGATTTCCTGGAAATCTATTTCCTTTGCCAGAATGGGGAAGTTCTCTTTTTATTATTTGTTCAAATAAGATTTCCACTCGTGACTGTTCCTCTTCCCCTTCTGGTACCCCTATAATTCGGATGTTGGGGCATTTAAAGATGTCCTGAAGGTTCCTGAGCCTCTCCTCATTTTTTCGAATTGTTGTTTCTTCATCCTTTTCTGTTTGGTCATTTTTTTCCTCTTTCTGGTCCACTCCATTGATTTGAGTCCCAGTTTCCTCTTCATCACTATTGGTTTCCTGTGCATTTCCATTCATTTCAATTAGTTTAGCCTTCATATGTTCCTCTAATTTGTGACTAAAATCAACCAGTTCTGTGAGCATCCTGATGACCAGTGTTTTGAACTGTGCATCTGAAAATTTGGCTATTTCTTCATCGCTTAGATTTATCGGCTCTGGGGCTCTAAGTTCTTCTTGAGCCATGTTTTGATCTGTTTGTGCCTGTTACGGATGAGGAGCGGAGCCTTAGTTGTTCAGTAGGGCGGGGCCACCCAGGTCGCTGGTTTGCGACACTGTATGTGGGGGTGGGTCAGAGAGAGGCCACCCAGGTTGTTGGTTTGTGACACTGTAGGTGGGGGCAGGGTCAGAGGGAGACAATGGCGGTCCCCTCTGCCACTTCCTGCCACTGGGGCCTGCACAGTCTGTCTCACTGCTCCATCCTTCACCAGTTTATCTGCGTGCAAATGTGTGACCGTGGTCAACCTTTAATGAGTCCACCCGCTTCTCCACACCTGGGATCCACCTACGGCTGCCAGTGTGCCTGGGTTGCTCGCACGGGTCGGTCTGGTGGATCTTTCCTGCCCGACCCCGCTCTGCTGCTGGCTCTGCCCCTCTTACCGGTTTGGCTGAAGGTTTCGTTGTTGTCAGACTTCCGGGAAATTCAATTTTCTGTGGTTTTGGCTGTGTTTTTGTTGCTAAAACTTTGTCGTTTTTAAACTTGGTTGTGGGAGGAGGTACAGTGCTTCCACCTAAGCCTCCATTGTGGCGGAAGTCCTCTACCATGAAGCTCTTAAAGGGAGTCAGGTTCTCGGTGGACAGGATTTGAGCAGTCACCAGGTTTCTGGAGGCTGGCGTGCGGTGTACCACGCCGCGGCAAGCTTAGAGGTGTTCACGGGACCAGGTTCACTTTGTAATCTTCCTTATGGGGCTCTTGCCACCATCTGCGTGAACTGCTACACCCCTGCCTTCTGTGGGCCAGCACCCCCACACATCAGGGTCTCTGGCGGCTGTGGCGACGGAGCTACAGAGTGTTTATAAAGTGGGCGAGTTGTCCTTTGATGAGTGACACTTGAAACCGGTGGAGAGAGGTGCAGACAGACCTGCTGGGTTGCCCAACACCTGATGAGTGAGGAACTGCAGGGCAGGCCTGTGCCAGGGGGAGCAAACCGTCAGCCCCCCGAGGACGAGATGAGCCCCAAGAAACCGGCAGTCCCCCCCACAGAGGGTCGCCTACCTAAGAGCCCGGCCGTGCGACCTTCCCCCTGCCCTCCCTCTTCCTGTAACGCGGGCCCTCTGCCTGGCTGCTCGCTCTCCCCCGCAGCCATTCAAAAGCCTGTGGCAGAGAAATTCCCACTTGTCCTGGGCCCTGAGACTCAGCAGCAAGCCAGATCAGATTTACTTTAAAAAATCTGTATGGTTGCTCACGTTTTTATTTTACAAGTAGGGGCTTTAAAAAAAAAATTCTTAGCGCCATTTTGGGTTTACAGGAAAACAGAGCGGAACGCAGGGATTCCTGCTGCCACCGTGGCCACTCACCGTCCCCCGGCACCGTGCACCGCAGCGGCGCATTGGTCAGTCCACGAGCCAGCACCACACCGGGGTGCTAACTGGCACCCACGGCTCATGTTAGGGCTCCCACGTGGTGGTGCACGTCCTGTGGGTTTGCGCAGAGCACAGGGACGTGGACACACCCTCACAGTCTCGGCAGCGCCGTCCTGGCCCCGTGCGCCAGCCCCCACCTCCCGTCCAGAGCCCCTGGCAACTGCCAACCCCGCCGTCTCCACGCTTTTCCCTTTTCCCAAATGTTACGTAGTAGGAGTCCTGCAGTTCGTAGCCGGTCCTGCTCAGCTTCTTTCATTAGTCACATGCACTCCATTTCCACCACGTCTTTTTGTCACTGATCGCTGCCCCGCCGGGGAATATGGTGGGCGTGCGTGGTTTGTTTGTCAGTCACTGACTGGGGGACGTCTCAGTTGCTTCCAACGGTGGTTACAGACGAAGCTAAACAGCAGTGTGCAGGTTTGGGCGTGGACGCACGTTTAGAATCCCCCCAGGGAAACCCCACGGAGCGCGGCTGGCGGGTTGAACGGTGAGAGTGACGTGGCCGCGGCACTTGCCTCCCCACCAACGAAAAGCCGGAGTTGCCACTGCTTCCCTTACTTCCCTTACTTCTCAGGTGCAAAAGGGACCAAGGGTCTTACAAAGCTGTAACCCACACAGAGGTCCCTGGGAAGCCATTCAAGGTCTGGGCCTCACCTCCGCCTTTCCTCTCAGGTCTGACGTGATGGGGGCAGCCCCCACACGAGTGCTCCCAGCAGGTGTAATATGCATGTCCATGGGCTCAATATCTGTTACAGTTTTATGGCAAAAAGGCCCCGATCAAAACAGTCCGACCTTGTGGCGGAGCAAGAACGTCTGCACAGACAGCCTCCCAGCTGCCCCGCCGACGAGACCCGTGTCTGCAGCACGACAGATGCCGCTCCCCGAGGAGCAGGGCGTTTTGGGCGGCTCCAATGTGGTCCCTGAGTCCCTCAGCTGTTTCTTTCCCTGGAAAGGCAACAACTCAGACAAGGGCACCTCCCCTGGCCGCCACCAACGTGCTGGCCTCCCAGGGCCAGTCGCCGGTGCTGCGTCCTTGCGGAAACTTCCCCATAGACGGAAACCAAGTGGGCCGTGAGCAGATGCTCTGAATGGTGTTGGAGCTGGACTTAGGACGGTTGCCTTCGCTTATCTATTTTGGGGCCTGCTAATTCTGTGTGCCTCTCCAGCGACACGTGACGGTTTGCAGAAAACAGGCCCTCACAGCAGCAATGTGGCGCTGGCTGAATGGCGGCGGGCTCCCCGGGGGCACCTCCACGTTTTTTGACTGCACCCGTGCACTGCGCTCAGCGTGCCTTCCAGCAGGGGTCCCGTGACCCATGGTCGCTCTCTCAGGATGCTCAGTTTGGTGACACCCTCGGCAGTTCCAGAGGAGAAGGGACTGTCCCTCCTCTCTTGGCAGGCAGTCGGCCATCTCAGTGTGATTGGCAGAAAATGCAGTCGGGGGCTTTTGTGTGATTCTGGCCGCCTTTCTCTTTGCTTGTTTTCTCATGGAGTAGCTCTTGCGTGCGTGTGTGTGTGTGTGTGTTCATGCATTTCCTGCATCTCTCAGAGCCCCATTTGGGCTGAAGGACAATGGTGAAAGTGGCCCACTTTCCTTCATCCCTGTGGCTTCCTGACCTCCCAGCTGAGGGACACGATCCCTCAATCACCAGAGCCGTCCCCGCACTCACGCCTCTCCCTTTGTCAACACTAATGGCACTTCTTTGCTGCTCCTTTCTTCCTTGGCGACTGCTCAGTCACCCTCACTATGGGGTGGGTTTCGGAGACTCCGACGTCTCCCAGCGACCAGGCAGAGCAGACACTATCACAGTGCCACACGGGCGGACACGGAGAGGCTCCTGCTTGTGTCCTCGGGCCCAAGCCCCTGGTGCAGAAAATAAAGGGTCACACACGTGTCTGTGCCCCTAAGCATTCTGCACACGTGGAGCAGGACTCACTAACAGCTATTTCACACAGCAGACAGGACACGGGGACGGGGGCTCCCGAGCCGCTTGCCCACCTTTGCTCCGAGAAACTGAGACTCGAACCTCATACTCGCTGGTGATGTCTTTTCTCATGCCAGTGCCTTGATTTGCTCCGCCAGCGTGTGCCGAGCACCGGGCAGGCCAGCTCTGTGTCCAGTCCTCGGTCACCTGCTGAACTGGCCATCAGTGTCTGCCCCCAGGAGCCTGCAGTCTTGTGGTGGGGGCAGAAGCAGCCCACAGCTGCGTAGGTGGCTGCTGCTTGGCGCCCCCATGTCTGGGGCCCGAGAGGCTAACGGAGCTCTCTGCCCCGCAGATTCACTTTGATGTCGCCGACCGCTCGACAGGGAAGATCATGGACAGCTCCTTGATCTTCAATGTCAGGATCCGTGATGTGAACGATCACGCCCCCCGCTTCCCCGCCGAGGAGTTTAACGTCAGCGTGAGGGAGGACCATGCAGCAGGTGGGTGTGGCGGGCCGCAGGCGCCCGTCGTCCTCTCTGTTGCCTAGAGGTGCTCCGGCCCCGGCCATGGGGGGCACCTGGTCTCAGCTGGCCTCAGGGGGATGGGGACTGTTTGCACCCTGAAGGTCCCAAGCCCTGGGTTCGAGCAAAATGCTCGAGGTCTCCTTCTGAGTTGGCGATACAATGGTGTGGAGCTCAGTCCACAGGAAGGGCTGATGGGTAGACACCAGGCTGAACCAGCGCACTTGGTGCAGTGAGGAGACAGGGCCGGGCTGGGTGTGAACTTCCCACCTGGAGGACGTGACAAGGTGAAGCCTAGCTTTTGACCTACGGATTCTGTGAGTCTTTAAAGCCAAACCACTCTTCCTAGAATGTGCTTCTATTTTAACACAAAAGCCATCATTTAGTTTGCAAAATGGTCTTTGGAAAACTTGGAAAATTCCAAGCAATAAAGACTGAACTAGAAAGCATCTTTAACCCCACCAATTAGCGATAAGTACCATTGCTGTTATAGTTCCTATTCTATCAATGTTTTTCTTTGTGTTTTATGAGTGTGTGTACACACTGTATATTTGTATGTGTATAGTCACAGGTTTCTATATAATTTCAGGTGAATATTTGTGTACATAATTTTTAAAAATCATCATAGCATAAATATTTACAAATATATGGGCATGCTTTTTGATATATGTATATCCATGAATTTGAAAAGTTTTCTGTTTGCAAACTAACAATATTCTACAGCATCGGAGAGTGAAATATGTCATTTGGTGGGTGCGCTTCAAGGTGTTTGACCCCCTAACTGCTGAACATCAGTGTTTTGTTGTCCCTTTTTAACTTTTGTGAAATACACTTCGGGGAGCGCATTTGGATGAACGCTGCACCCCTTTCCGGCACGAGTGAGTTAGGGGAGGCTCAGAGCCGCCGGCTGCCATTCACACTGCACCCACGGGCTAAGTGTCCCGTGGCCTCGCTTACATGCAGTCCTGGGCGGGTCACCTGGGATGGCCGTGCCTGACCGTCTGCACAGGTTCCTGGCCACCTCGAGGTTTTTTTGCTGTCACTTGTTCCTCCCTTTCCATTCGTGTGCTTGTCATTTTCCTTCTTGACTTTAGCCTCCTCACTCCATGTAATCTCCTCTTTTTTTGATTCGTTCTATATGAAGAATGTGCAAGTCCACTATTTATATTTCAAATATGTTCTGCTGGTTTAGCTTTCCCATTTAAGTTCTGTCTCCAGTTGTAATTTGGTGATTTTTTTTTTGCTACGCGTTTGAAAATCTGTCTCTCAGCTCTCACCTTTAAGTCTTCTGCATTCACAGTCTCGGCCTCCTGACTTGCTTGGGGTGCCATTCTGAGTTTGCAGGACGAACTGTGGAGTGTGGAGGGAGTGCTCCGTAACTGCTCCCCTCTGTGCCGTCCGCCCTGTCTAGTTCGATCTTACGTTTACATGTGTGAGCCGCCCTGGCGTGTGCCCCGCCTCCGGTCAGCAAAGCAGCGCTAGCCTGCTGGCTTGACAGCCCGCCTTTGGTCAGCAGTAACAACCAAAACTTTCTTTCCAGGTCAACCTGTTTCCCAGTTGTCAGCAGTTGATTTGGACCAAGAAAACACTCCAAATTCTCAAGTCCTTTACTTCCTCGTTTCTCAAACACCGGTCCCTAAAGAAAGTGGCTTCAAGATCGACCGGAACAGCGGAGAAATACGACTCTTGGGATGCTTAGATTATGAGGTTATGGGGATTGTGTTATTTCTAAACAATGAAATGTGTTCTCCACCTCTGGGCCTGGACACAGGACTTAGATTTGTGGTGGGAAACCCTCTGTGGTCAGACTTGCTTTTGTTGAAACGGACTCTTTCTCTGCGGTTCCCTCTCCGGCACGTGGAGGGCCTGACTTACTTTTCCCTCCCTGTACAGACCACGCCTCGGTTTACACTGCTCGTCAGAGCGAGGGACTGCGGGGACCCACCCCTGTCGTCCACGGCTACGGTTCACATCAGCGTTCAGGATGGCAACAACCACAGGCCCACGTTCACCCAGGAGGATGTAAGGCACCTACTGGGGGATCCCCCATACCGCCCATGTCCTTCTAACTCTCCAAAATAACACAGACGAGAATCAGAACGTGGCCATAGGGCTACAGAATCATCGGATAACAACCAAATAATGAGCTTGCACCTTTTTTCTGCTTCGTGCCAGGCACTGAGCTCAGAACTCGCATGCGCAGAATCTCATCCCTAATTATTGGAACGGCCCGTGACCCCCCTTCCCCGAGCACAGACACGGGGGCCTGAGGGGAGGTCATAGGTGCCACGCTCACCAGGGTTCCTCAACTTCTGCACCCCCGACATTTGGGGACGGGGAAGTTTTGCTGGTGGGGCGGAGGCTGCCCAGGGTATTGTAGGATGTTTAGCAGCGACCCTGACTGCTACCCCCTAAATGCCAGCAGTACCCCTGCCCCAGCCGTGACGACCCAGAGTGTCTATAGATATTGTCATGTGCCCCTCGGGGGACAGAACTGCCCCAGGCGAGAAGTCAGGGCTCTAGAACAGGGAAGACGAGTGGGTGGGGTCTGGCCAGTCACCTGGTTTATTATCGGTGTCCCACATACGATGTCATAGGCTACAAGACACCCGGGCAGGAGGAGGGGGCACACAGAGGCCCAGACCAGCGTGGAGGGACTGCACTGCCGGGGATCGGCGAGGCAGCCGGGGGGGGGCACCAAACCCACTCGGGGTCTGTTTCCCTTTTTCTCCTCATTTTTCACTCTTCCCTATAATTTTTTAAAGGGAAATATCCATTATATTTCTACTTTCTTCTGGCCTCTTCCCCCACCCCCACCCACATCACGCACAGCACACACACGCAATCATCCACTTCCGGGGGCGTGGGTTTTTATCTCGTTCGTTGCACCTAAAATAAAACCTGGCACATCAATAAACACGACGAATCATTACTCTAGAAAAATGCCATTTAAAAAATTTTGCCAGCTCTATGAACTAAACGCTGAAGTGTTTCCAGTGAAAGCCCCTCACCAGACCGCACAGAGTAACTGAAAGCAACAGTGACCATGGGGGAGCCTCCTTGCCACACTCCTCTCCCGCTTGGTGAGAGGCGGCGCGCTCCGCAGTGGGGCTGGAGAACGGAAAGCCCGGCACATGGGTGTGTTCCTCTAGGGAAATTATCTCGTCCCCACCGACGTGGAGCAGCAATCTGCTGGCGAGATCTGCCTGTTGGGAGACGGATCCAAGTGACCACAGGAGTTCTATTTCAGGAGGGAGCTAGCGTTTTCAGGCAGCACAGACCGGGGTGTGTGATTGGTTTTAAAATTCTTAGAAAACGGGGGCATGGTGCTGGATGGAAGAGCACCTTTTAAGTCGCTCCTGCAGGCGCCAAGTCACAGGGAGGAGGAGCGAGGTGTTGGCCGCTGGTGCCTGTTCTGCTGTGTCAGGCAGTTTCAAGTCCCTCGGGGTCAAGTTCAACAGCACAAGAAACATCCAGGCCACAGAGCACGAGCTGACTTTTCCTCCCCTGCTTTCTTTTTCATTTGCGTTTCTTTGTCTCCACCACCTGGAAATGATGACCGCCTCCCGCAGTACGAGATTCAGGTCCCTGAAGGCCAAGTCAGCCGGGATGTGTTACGTCTCCGGGTGCAAGACGGTGACTCGCCATTCACGTCGGCCTGGAGAGCGGAATTCAACATATCCAGTGGCAATGAAGAGGGGCACTTTGACATTGTGACTGACCCTGAAACCAACGAAGGGGTCCTAAATGTGATCAAGGTAAAGCCCTACGGGATGCACACCAGCTGGGAGGCAGAGGACCAACCGAGGCAGGAGCTGACCCCATGACCAGTGGTGCCCAGAGAGGGTGGGGCCGGGCCACGCCCTCTGCAGCGTCCAGTGGCCTTTTCACCTTCCTGGCTCCTCCTACCAAATTAATATTGATATTAAAAATTTTTTATTAGGCTTTAAGTATTTTGACATTTAATATTTTTAGACAAAATTTCATAGATTTGCACAGGCCCTGAAATGTTTATTTTTTTTCTGATGTGATAAAAATTATGTACAACATTTTCTCCAACCCTGATAGTTCCTTGGTTCCCTTCTGAGTCTCACAAAAATGAGACCATCTGTGCAAGCGCCTGAGAGTGTCGTGGGTCCCGGGCACTCGACCTGCTGTGCCCAATGGGCAGCTGGCCCTGCCGTGAATGAAGTGTCATTATCACTACTGACTGGGATGCCAGCGCCCAGAGAGGCTGGGGCGTTTTCCTGAAGCCACACAGCCAGAGCAGGGTCCAGACGGGCGGGCTGCCTCCAGCGCCTTCAGTCACCTTGCTCTCAGCCAGAGCGCGCGGCCGGGGCAGGGCAGGCAAAGCTGCCCGGGATCAGGTTCAAAGGCAGGCCTGAGCGAACAGGTCTGGGGCGGGCCCGAGTGTTTGCCGTCGGAGTAACACGTCCCGTGAGACCCTGCAGTTCAGCCCCGCGTGCCCAGGGCTGAACTGCCCGAACATCTCCCGGCTTTCAGGCCTTTTAAGTCGCTGACCTCCTTGCGCCCCAGAGAGCTGACAGCATTAATGTGTCACCTCCTCCGGGTCCCCAGACTTGTGTGACAGCAGGGCCGTCACATGAATGTTGCATCAGGTCGGGTCCCTGCTGCATTTTTCATCACCCTCTGACGGGTGGTGGCTCTCCCCCTCCAGGATGGGGGGGTGGTGAGGGGACTGCAGGAAGAGCTTGACAACTGTCCCTTGATCATTATCAAAGACGAGGTAAATAGTAAGTGAAGTGCAAAGCCACGGGCGCAGCCTTGGTGCTCTGGCCGAGAAGCAGCGGGTGCTAACAAACTCCTCTCTGCTGGGCCTCGCAGGCTCTGGATTACGAAGCCCACCCCTCCCGGAGCCTCCTCGTCCTGGTGGAGAACAAGGAGCCGCTCTTCTCCTGCGAGGGCCGTGAGCCTTGGAGGCTGGGGCCGGTGGCAGCGAGCGCCACAGTGAGCGTGCAGGTGCTGGACACCAACGACCCACCAGCCTTCCACCCTGGGAGCGTCGTGGTCAGCGAGGTTGAGGGCGCCAAGCCAGGAACCCAGCTGGGGAGTTTTAAGGCTACGGACCCAGACAGCAGCGGGGTCAGGTGAGGCAGGGCGGAGAGGAGAGAGGTGGCTGTGGACGCGAAGGTGTCCTGTTAAGGACCAGGCTTCACTGGCATTGCTGCCTGCGCTCCACCTCCTGCCCTCCCACCCTACCCCCATCTGTGGGAAAATCGTCCTCCATGAAACCGATCTCTGGTGCCGAAAAGGTTGGGGACCACGGCTCAGCTCACACTTTGGGAAAGATCGGATTTTGTTTCTTTTAATCTCCAATTCGCTGTGGATGATGGTTTTCCCAAATGTTTTAGAAAGTGAATTACTAGACGATCGTGTGCCGGGCATGGCATCACCATCATGCCCGTGACTGTGGAAATTCCGCACCACGTGCTCTCCAAGGTGTGCACGGCGGGCCTCGCGCCCCGCCCAGCACAGGCCCACGCAGCTGCGCACCGAGAAAGGGACCCGGCAGCAGGGTCGCTCACGCTGTGGCGTGAGGGGCAGATCTGCATTTCAAACAAGCCCCCATGACAGTGATGCTGCTGGTCTGGGCGCCTCGCTGTGGGAACACCAAGCAGAGTCCCTGCCTTCGTCACTGCCACAGCCCTGTCCCCCGAGCACGCTGGCTCCTAAGTGGGTCTCAGTGAATGTCTGCATCGTGCCGGAGTCAAAAACCAAATAGCCTGCGTGTGTCTCCTTCGGTCAGGTACCACCTGGCTCACGATCCTGCCGGCTGGGTGGCCGTGGATGAGCACTCGGGAGCGGTGGTCACCAGGGGGCAGATTGACCGAGAGTCCCCCTATGTGAATGACAGCCTCTACACCGTCATGGTGCATGCCATTGATGACGGTGAGTGTCCGCCCGAGACGCAGGGGAAGGGTTTTCTAGCTCCCCAGAGAACCGACAGAGCACAGATGGCAGACACACAAGCCTGCCGTCACTGTGCACGCACACGGCGGTGCTTGACGGTGACTTTCGAATTGGCGAATCCGGGGCCGAGAGGCCAAGTAAAACACACAGAAACCTTCAAGTAACTTCACTAGTTCTATTTAAGGCAATCTGCGCATTCAAACCTGGGGCTTACGGATGCGGAGCTGATTGTGGTAACTAATCAGCAGAGGGTCGGTTAGGAAGATAGCGAACCTGTGTTTCTCATCAGTCCAGGTGAGAAGGGGGGAAGAGGCTCTGTCTCCCAGGGACTTAAGGAAATAACACAATAGGACCCTGAGTCCCCACTGCCAGCGTCCGCAATGGTAACACCTTGCAAACCCACACCACACGTCACAACCGGGTCACCGAGGTGGACACCGCCAGGAGACAGGCATTTCCATCCACACACCACACACCTCACCCACTTTCCTCCCCTCCCGCCCCCTGCTTAACACCCGGCCCCGTCAACACTTCCACGCACCTGTCGGGTCTGCCTCCTACCTGGCTCTGCAGACGATCTGAAGGGGTGTTCTGTTAACGTAGGCTGAGGAGACCCCCGGAGTTGGGAAGGGCAGGCGAGCAGCCCGGGCACCCATAGGAAAGCCTTTGAAAGGGCAGTGGTCCCCGTGGCTCCGTGGGTGGTCCTCCTGCTCCGGGGCTCGGAGCTCCTCTTCCAGGGGCCGGTGCGCACGGAGTAGGCCCTTCGGTCAGTAAACAGTTCTTCCCGGAAACCCCCAAGGCCGCCCGCCGCAGACAGGCACGGGGACCCTGCTGCTCTTCCTGTCCGACATCAACGACAACGCCCCGACCCTCCGCCCGAGCTCTCAGTACCTGGAGGTCTGCACGTCCTCCCGGACCGCGCCCCTCCTCATCGAGGCGGAGGATGGGGACCTGGAGCCCTACGCGGACCCCTTCACGTTTGAGCTGGACGCGACCTCGGGAAATGCGGGAGGCGCGTGGAAACTGGGGGAAAGCCAGGGTGAGTATCTCTACTGGCTGGGGCTAAAGGGCAGAAACAACCGGACACTGACCCCGACACAGGCAAAAGGAGTTTGGCAGCTTATGGAGCTGGGACAGAGCCGGGCCAGCCTGTGTTCCAGCAGAGCCGGGTCAACTCCAAGGGCGCCCCAGGACACTGCCAGTCCCACCTCAGTTTGGCCTTGCTCGGGGCTCCTTCACTGTCAGGCACGCTCACCCCTGGGGGCTTGAAGGGTGCCTCCCAGGAGTTTGAGGGTCATCTAGCACTCGGCAGGAATCCCCAAATCACTGCCCGGCTTGGCTCACCTGCCCTGCCGGTCGCTGTGGGCGGGGGTGGGGAGGAGATCCGCTTACTGCGGGGCCGTGAGCCCACACCTGCGCCCGGCTGGGGTCTGGGCATGGCCTCTCCTGACTCTGTGGGCTGAGGGTTCAGGAATGTGGGCGTCTCGAAGGAGACTGTGCCGCTGTTCCCAGCAGGAGCCACGGGCATCTGCCGGCCGCCTTCGCCTCTGTGCTCTTACTCAGGGCTCTGTGGGATGCAGCTTGTTTTTGTGGCTGGGTTCACGGGCACAGTTCCCAGACCCTGGGTGCGTGGCGAGGCACTGAACCTCACCCCAAAAGAGGTCTGGCCTTGGCCTTGGCTTTTGGCAGCAGATCACCAAGCTCTTGGAATGTCCGAGAAAAGTGTGTGTGGAGGCATGTCTTGTGCCAATCAACAGGATCGGTGGGTTCAGGCCGGGCTGTGGGCCCTGTGGGTGGGCAGCCAGGCTTCTGAGACCGAGTCGCCGTGAAGACTGGGGGCCAGGCTCCGGTGGGCTTGCGTGGTCAGCAGCGCCCCTGTGTACCCCACCTCATCGATGGCGGGAGGCGGTGCTGTCCCGGCTCCATGGGGGACGAGGGACCAGAAGCTCTGTGGTTGGTCATCTCTGGACTCTGCCCCACGGACTCTTCCATTGGCCGGCTGGCCTGGGAGCCCCTGAACTCGCAGCTGTTGTCAGAAGCGAAGGTACTCTTGGCAACGGTCCCTCTCACTCTGCAGTTGGCTGACTGTCGGACCGAGCCTCGGCAGGTGGATGGCACTGGTACCTGTCCTCTGAGCAGCCGAACCGAGAGCGCCGGTGCATTCGAGACCCCTGTCTCTCTGCAGGTCGGTCGGCTGAACTCTTGATGCTGGAAAGCCTCCCCCCTGGGGACTACTTAGTGCCGCTTTTCATCGGAGACCGGCAGGGACTGTCCCAGAAGCAGACCGTCCACGTGCGGGTCTGTCCCTGCCCTGGCGGGTCCACGTGTGTGGCGGAGGCATCGCACGCAGGGCCGGGGCTCCTCCTGGGTGTCCTGACCCCTCTCTGTGTGGTGTTGCTGGCTCTGGCAGGTCAGCGGGCTGCAGGGGGGCCCCGGCTGTGAGCTGGGGGAATGGAGCCCTGGGGGTGGGGGGCATGGTGGCAGAGAGCAGCGGGGCGCCCAGAGAAGGAAGGACCTGGAGACTCATGGAGTTCCAGACCTGGTCACACACACTGTCCGTGTGGCAGAAGAAGCTTCCGTTCAATAAGCACCAATCTACCGCCACGGAAGCCACCACCGCAGGCTCTGCCAGGGGGCGACCCTGAGGCCTGTAACAATGTCGGGGTGGGGGGGGCATACGCAGATGCCCATCTGGCCTCCTGGGCTTGGGGAGGGCGAATAAAGAGACCCAACAGTGCCAGTCATCCTGACATCAAGTCAACACACCGTGACCCAGCCCCTGCACCAAGGGCTTCGCTAAGCCCTGTAGCTGCAAAGATGCTTAGGGCCCAAGCTGGCCCTGCCGCTCACAGCTGAGTTACAAGGTCACAGACACGACCCTGCTAAAGCCCCTGATGCAGAGGAGCGTGCAACTCACTCCCTGCTCCGGTCTCATCACAGTTGCTCTGTTTTTCTTGCTGCGGCGTGGTTTTGGGGCTGGAGCCAAGAGGCACGGATACTCGGTCCCTTATGGGGAAGGCCAGCAGACCCTGATCAGGTACAATGAGGAGAGCAGAGCCCTGGCAGCCCCGGCTGCGGGGCACAGTGCACCGCCGTCGACAGTGACACAGGTAGGTGGGTACACGCTTCCCTGCTCCCTGCCCGCCTCTCACACCCCCTTGCCCACTCCCACTGGGGCGGCAGGAAAGGGGCAGAGTTGTCCCAGGAGTTCTCCCCCGGGGCCGATGGTGCTTGCAGGGCATGTGTGCCGATGTTGGCAGGTGATTTTGATAGTCGCAACCTGGCCGGAGTGAGGGGGGGGGGAGGCTTTGAGTACCTAGTGGGCGGGGCCCAGGGATGCTGTGGAAGTCATCTTGTGCTGGGGACCCCTCACAGCAGAGAGTGGCCCCAGGGTCAGCAGTGCCGAGGGCGAGAAAACTTGTTTAGGGGAGACTGGGTTTTAGCGGGCCCAGCTTCTATAAGCAGACCCTGTGCTGAGCTCACTAATTAACGAGTTCGCACCGGCTTCTCGGCCCCGCCTGGGGCAGAATAAGACAGAGCTGCTACCCCATCCTCATCAGGGGAGGCTGAGCCAAACTCACTGGCCTGGAAGGGACACAACCTCGGCTTTGCATCTCATCATCTTTGTCATATTGAGCATGTCATGTGGCCCTACATTCTCTGCTGTGAATCGGGGATAGTAAAATTGGCTTCACGGATGGGCTGGGAGGTGAGGCCCACGAAAGCACCCCCCAGGCCCCGACACAAGGTGACCAGCCAGTTCCTGCGGGCTTTGCAAACCTGCCACATCTCTGACACTGGCTCCACCCTGCACAGAAGGCGCAGGGCCTCTGCTCTCTGTGTGTCCCAGGAAGTGAGGGTGGCCGGGCTAACCAGTGAGAGCCATGGAGAGGTCAGAAGGCAACACGTTTTGTTCACAGAGGATTCAGGTTTCTACCTCCCATTGTCTTAGACTTTGTCACACCACGTGAGGGGCCTCTGGGGAAAGATCCTCCCATGGACGTTGGCTTTGTGCAACGAGCGAGGTTCTCTGCGAACTCACTGGTGCTTGGAGGAGCTGGCGGTCTGCCGAGGCGCCTTGGATCCCGCCCCGCTCTCTCCTCCCTGCCGGTCGCAGCACTGGGGGGTGGGGGTGGGGTGGGGAGTGACAGCCAGGGGCCGTGCTGCCGGAGCACAGCCCACGTGTCCAGGCCGGCCTGCTCTGGGCCTTCCTGGGGCGCGGCCGAGAAGGCAGGAGGCCTGGGCCGAGCTGGCCCACTAGCTGGGCCCCGCCCCTGGCCCTTCACTGGTTTGTTCCTGTCATTTGAAGAGGGACACTATGGTGACAACCAGCTGGCCAACAGGCTGGTCGAGGACCAGCTATCAGAGGGACGAGAGCCCCCGCAGGACAAGGGGTCTCTGTCCTCATCTGGTCCCGAGGTGTCCTTTCCCTTTGTCCCTCACTCATAGCTCTGGAGACACCCCCATTACTGCTGAGGCATCTTTTCCTTGAATCCTCACCCAAGGACATGTCTATTGATTCTAGAGGGAGGGAGGGAGAGAAACATCGATCGGTTGCCCCCACGGGCGTCCTGATGTGGGATCAAACCCACAAATTTCGGTGTGTGGGACAAGGCTCCAACCAGTCGAGCCCTCGGCCAGCGCTGCCAAAGCATCTGTCGGGCTCAGGGGACCCCCGAACCCTGGAATTTATTTATAAGAAGTTGAGTATTTGTTCTTACGTGTTTAAACTTCAGTCACCTTCCAAGTCCTCTCCGTGTGATGTGACATTGGGACAATGGAGCCCACGCTCCCATTTCGCACTGGGCCTGCAAAGCACACAGCCGGTCTTGGGTCCGGTGGTGGCTGTGCCTCATGCACAAACGTTGAGCCCAGGCCTGTGAGCGGGGCTTGGAAAGCTCGTTCCCATGCTCCAGCCTCACAGAGTGACCAGCACGCTTGCCCACGGGCCTGCACTGGTGTCAGTACAGTCGAGAGAAAGAGCTGCGAGTGCAAGAGTTTCTGGTTCTGCGTTTGCAGTCTCCTCCTCCCTCTCACCACGAACAGGGGACGCAGGACCCAACTGTCCTTCATCTGACTCTCCCTCAGGGAGCGCTCTGACCACCCTCCACCTGGAAGGTGGCCCCCCAAGTTCCAGCCGAAAGAGGCCATGGATGGGAGAGCTTCAAGGGGGCGCTTGCCCCTTTGCTTTGCAGGTTTCCGCAGCCCCCGCGGTGCCCATGCAGCCCCTGCAGAGGCGGACGGGAGGGATGGCAGAGACGCTGCATCGGGTAGGAAGGTCTCCCCACTGCTGAGGCCGCCCCTGTCAGCGGGGGCTAAAGGGACAGCAGACCACAGGCAGGAGGCTTACTCGCCCAGCAGGCTCACTCCTCACAGCTCTGGAGCTGGAGGCCTGAGACCGGGGTGCCTGGTGGGCAGGTGAGGGTGCCCATGTCCACCTGTGGGCACCACACCAGTAAACATGGGGCTGGGGCGTGGTGTCCCAGTTAAACAGAGAGCCGAGGGGTGCGGCTCCTATAGGCCAGAGGAAGCTGGGGACAGCTGACTGCCAGAACGGCAGGGAGGCACAGCCGCCCACACCCTCCTGCCTCCTCCCACTCGGAGAGATTGGATCCTGACCCGCTTCCTGACCTGGGTGGGCTCACCGCTCAGAGACCACCGTGAGCTCCAGACAGGCTAGGCGATCCTGCTAAACCCACTCCCACCAAGGCAGGGAAAACTGGCTCCCTCTCAGAGATGTCTGGAGGTAAAGAGGCGAACGCCCTTTAACCTCGTCCACCTGTCCATCTGTTTGTCCGTCTGTCCACCCATCCATGCAATAAACATGTATTCGGTCACTCAGACCAGAAAGAAAACAGAAAAGTTTTTTGCAGAGGGATGCCTCTTGCCCTGAAGTCCGAGCTGGCGTTGGCGCTGTGCAGGTTGGCAGGCGGGGACGGTCACTCAGGAAGGGGACAGCCGGTGTCAGGGCACAGATGGTGGGGGACTCACCCCCACAATAGATCAGTAGGGGGTGGGACACTACCCAGGGCCTGTGCCACCTGCATCAAGGCAGAGACCACCACCTTGACCGTACATCCCTCCCAGAAGTCTGCTGGAGAGTGTGGAGGTGCAGTCCGTCCCCTCATCTGGCTGCCTTTTCTGGGTCTGCAGAACCTTCTGTGACAGCCGGGCACAGAGGGACGGCCCGTCGTCCTGCTGCACCGGAGTGTCCCTCAACGGCACATGCAGAAAACGCCCCACAAGTGGCAAAACCTGGCCCTCACCTCCTCTTTCCCTGGCTTCCCCGCAGCGGCTCCTGGGCCTGGGCGTGCTGGCGGAAGGATCCGGGTCCGTGCCCCACATCTACGCGGAGGAGGGGGAGTGCGAGCGGGCAGAGACCCTGAGCTCCCTCGCCGTCTCGGAGCAGACTCTGCCCCCGGGGCCGCTGGACTGGCTCATCTCTGAGGCCTGAAGAGGTGGGCTGCGTCCGACAGCGTATTTCTTCCTGAGTGGTGCCTGTTACAGTGGGTGGGGACCAGTCCCCTCCCCTCCCCTCCCCCTCCCTCCTGCTCCTCCCAGTCCTAGGAGCAGCATAAGCTATGAGTGTAGATTCCATGTTTTGATATTCTTCCACCAGACTTCTTGAACCAAAACAAAACAGCAGATTATGTTGTTGTTGTTGTTTTAATTAGATTGGTCAGACAGGTTTTCCAGAGAAACTTGAATTCTCTAATTCCTCGCTCCCACAAGCAGTCCAGCTCAGAGGGTGAATGAAATGTAACCCATAGATTAATCCGCAATTCCGCAATGACAGGAAATTTGGGTGGGGGGTCGGGGGTGAAAGTAGGTGTTTTAGTGGTTATTTATGTTTCTGTAATTATGATTCTGTTTCAGTTTTTAAAAAGAGGTAAATTGGAAAATGTTTTCTAGGTTTGTGATCTATGTTTTTAGTGATTGAAAAGAATAGTGAGCCCTGGCTGGTGTGGCCAGGTGGTCGGAGCAACACCCGGTAACTGAAGCGTTGTGGGTTCAATTCCCAGTGAGGGCGTGTATCCAGGCTGTGGGTTCAATTCCCAGGTACATATGGGAGGCAAACAATCGATGTTTCTCTCTCTCTCTCTCCATCTCTGTCTCTCTCTCCCTTCCTCTCTCTCTAAAAGCCACGAGAAAAAAAAATCCTTGGGAGAGGATAAAGAAAAAAAAGAAAAGAAAAAATAGTGATCCTTTCTACTTTTTGGAGACATAAATATGCTATGAGAAAAATGATTTTGCTGAAAATTTATAAGGAACACATACTTTAAAAATGAACAGACATAATTTATCTTGTGTGGTATTATGAAAGTAAAAGAATTTAGTAGCCTTTTATGTATAAATTCCAATCAGATCGTATCTTTAAACAAAAGCACAAGCTGTAATGGGCTTTTTCACTTGTGCACTTACTGCTAGTGGAAGTGTGGGGAAAGGAATGGTTTCTTTAAAAAATATTAACCATTTTAATTTGGAGGCCTGCGCCCTGTACACGGTCAGTTTTCCAGTCTGAGCAGCAGAGAGCAGGCGCTCAGCACAATGGGACGATGCTATTGGGGCCTTTCGTTCCTCTGTGGCAGCTCTCAGAGGCGAAGCTGAATCTAAATCCTTTGCATGATTCACGAGCCTAATATTTAGTGAGGACCCTCAGGCACCCCGGGCTAATCATCAGTGAAGTGTCACGTTAAACGGGGCTCTGGCTGACGTGGGGCTGAGGGCCCCCCTTTTCTTGACAGGGAAGCAGCAAAAACCCTCACAGCCCTGGAGGGTGTGCGTGCGGCTCCGTCACCCATTGCCCAGGGCTCCGGGCCCCGAGAGAGAAGAACCGGCTCCAGAGGTGACCCGCCAACGGCCGAGCAGCTGTGCCTGCCACGTGGAATGATCCCGAGCAGAGTCTAGGACATTTTCTGGGTGATTCACGAAAACAGTAATGTTTTCAGAGGTGTGGGTTTTGAGTCTGCTGTGACGGCAGGGACCCAATAGGTGGCCTTTACACCTTCCTGGATCTGGGGCAGGACAAAAAAAACTATGCGTGGGGCAGATCTGTACCCCCTCCCCCACCCCCTGCCTGTTTTGTGAATAAAGTTTTATCGGCACCCGGCCTTGTTCACGTGGTGTTTATGCTTCATCTGGGGCGGCTATGTGCTGTCACCGCAGAGACCCTCTGTCCCCAAAAGCCAATGCATTTACTTCCTAGCTCTTTGTGGGGAAAATGGGCACCACCCCTCGTTTCGAGAGTTCTTTCTGGAAACTTCACACTGTACGCCACCGGGGATGCTGGGCCCACAGCCCTGCGTTCTGCATGGGCCTCCGCCGCACAGCCCTGGGAGGGTTCCAGGTAAACGTGCGGTGGCGTGGGCTGCTCTCACCCTTCACCGCTGGCTGTAAACCTGGCCGTGGTGCGCATTTGTGAATTCCTGCAATGATGAGACTCTGCAACTACCCGCTTCCCAAAGCAACCAAATGCTCCTGAAAGGCCGCGAATGCCCGATGTGATGATTAACAGGGAGGCCGAAAGGCGGCATTTTGTAGACACCGAATCGGACATTCGTTCATGTGGATTTTGTCGTGGCCTTTGTGGATTTTGCAGCCGATATGTGTCTGGATGTCACCTGTCTCGGGGACAGTGGTGTCAGGGGTAGGGGTGAGATGGCCCTGTCGGCAGGAGTCGGAAGCTCACCTGGCCTAGGAGATGTCAGCCTCGCCTTCCGACACCAGTCGGCACTATGCCCCTCTCAACTGATAATGGCCCTGAATGGCACGGATGTGGCTGGTCCCCACCCGGGGCCACTCCCAAGCCCACCTGCCTGCTTCACAGGCTTCCGTCGGACACGGGCCGGCAGGAGGGTCTGGTGGAAGGGTCAGCCTCCAGGGCCGTTCCTCGTGGGCTGAACCCCTGAGACGGGCAGTGCAGCCGAAATAGTCTTTTGGAAGCCTCTGAAATGCGCATGTCAAAGGCTGAATTCTGGGGCTGTGACCACAGGAAGGACACAGTCCTTTAACTTCTCCAGCACGAGGACTCTGGCGCTGCCATCTGGCACCAATAGACTGTGAATTGTCTCAACATCTGTTACCTCTCCTTCCTCGATAGTAGAATCCTGAGTTGCCAGCCATCCAGCGTGTGAGTGATATTTCCCATCCTCCCTTGCAGCCAGGTAGGGCCATGTGATGAAGTTCTCACCGATGGAAGGCAACTTCCAGAAAATGCTCATGGAAGGTGGAGACTCGTCAGTCTGTCCCACCTCTTCCAGATCTGCTGGCTGGGATGAGGACGCCAGGGCAGGTGCTGCTGCAGCCATTCTGGACACTGGTGTGTGAACAGGACAGAAAGGGTACAGGACTCCGACCCCAGGGGTGCCCACTGAACCGTCTCTGCACCACCTTCCTCTAGTCTCCAAATGGAGAGAATTACTGTATTTCGCTCTGTTTAATGCACATGTTTTTGCCCGAATTTTTGAGGGAAAAGTAAAGATGCCCATTATACATGGGTATAATGAGTTCACACCGCGGGCATGATAATCCCGTGTATAATACACACAGAAACATGGGTGTGTATTACACTTGGCACAATACGGTAACTATGTCTCATTAAAGACTGCTAGTTTGGATTTTCTGTCACTGTGGCCAAATCGAATCTTCGCTGATATAAAATATGGGACCAAGAGAAACAAGCTTCAAGTAGTAGAACTTGAAACACGGCAGGGCCTTAGTGGGTGTGGTCAAATACTGTGGGTCAGAGGTCCAGTGACCCCTTTCACGCAGAAACAAGGCCTTGGATGACAAGGTTCCCCTGGTTGTTTTTGTTGAAAAGCAGCTCGTGTTCTGAATGGGGTTGAGGTAGAAGAAGTTTATAACATAGACAGGCATTACTGCTTCTCACTGCGTTTAGCAAAGCCCTGGGAGAGAGACAAGGACTCGGGCCACCACAGGCCAGCACAGGTGCCGAGTGAAGGTGGGGCAGCTGTGCTAATGGACGCCCTCTGCCTGTGGCCAGCAGTCCAGGTGGCTGAGAGCTCAGTAATTAGGAGCCTTGTGGGGTCAAGAAAAGCAGCTATGGTGTCTCTCTACTGTCAGTCCTTGAGATGGTTTTGTGCAAAGCAGAACATAAGGCAGAAAATAAAACCAGTGGCCTGGCTAGTGATGCGCGGGCCTTGTGGCCAAAGCTGCGGTAAGGTGCCTCCTTTCTGCCCAAGCCCGTTGCTCAGATGCTCAGCCGAGCCTGGAGGCCACCCGGGCAAGGCCAGGCTCCTCAGGGTTCAGACAGAATGACTGAACACAACCAGATCAGAAGTCTTTACGTTTTGGAGAAAACTGTCCTGCCAAAGACACCACCGTCTACTCAGAGAAAGCCTGGGGTTGTCCAACACCAAAGCCGTCCCTGGAAACCCCAGCTGGGAAAAGGAGCAGCGTGAAACTGCACGACCCACGTCTGTCCGGTGTGGCGAAGAGATGACGAAGGACGGCCACAGTGCCAATGGTGTCTTCACGGGTCCCGTCGGCTTGCTCTGGACCCCAGAGGATGTGTCTATGTGAGTGGAGTTTTTATAGCAGGTGGGCTGTTCTCACTCTGCTCCCCTCGCATGAGGGGTGTACTGAGACGGGGAACTCCTATTTAGTGTGAGGTGGTCCAACCCTGCGGCAGAGCCGGGCTAGAGTGTTTCTGAGTGAACAGGAGCCCCAGGAGCATGTCGAGAACTCTGCCACCCGTGGGGAGACAAGTAACAAACCCCAGGATGGGTGGGATGGGATGGGGGTTACCCTGTGGGACTTTTGAGAAGGTTCTTTCTCAGGTTCCCTCCCTCGGGCCCCGTGTCCCCTCGAGGTCCTGTGCCCGGTTGCGGGCTCTGCTCCCATGAGGTCCCTAGGAGACTTCCCGCTGCCTGTCTCGGTGAGCACTGGGGGCTCATTTTGCTGGGTTCCCCCGCTCCAGCTGCACTTGGGCCAAGGGCAAGCACCGGTTTATCTCTGTTCTATTCTCAGGCCTCACGAGCAGTGGCTTCAGAGTGTGAATAGAGGCAGAGTGACAGCCCAGAGCCAGCAGTTGGCAGGACATGCGCTCGGGAGAGGCGGGCCTGGGTTGTAGCTGGCGTTTCAGGAAGAGGCGTCACCCCGCACACCTTCCACCTCGCCCTCCGGCCGCCTGAGAGCACCGGGTTCTAAAATGCAGGCTGCAAGCTCCTTGGCGTGGTATTGCAGATCGGGTCCCCCTGGGCTCCCTGCCCCTTGGCACCACACCCTCCTGGGCGACTCCTTCTCCACTGTGGGGTCCCTTCTGTGTCCTGTGGGATGGCCTGCAGCATCCCTGGCCTCCACCCGCTTTGGCCGGGAGCACCCTGCTCCTTGTTGCAACGACCCACATGGCTCAGAGGCCCTGGGGGCAGTCGCCCTGGCTGAAACCACTGGTGTACAGAATAAGCCTTAAAAATACAGCTTCCTGGAGCCTCCATGGATGCTGACGTCAGTTCGGGAAGCTGGACTGGGCAGGAAGGAGATTTGTGCTCTGGAGGAACGGTCATGAGGGAATCCACGCAGATTCTCAATCGGCTGTGGGCCGCCCCTGTGAGGTCCTTGCTCGGAGCCTCAAAGCCATGGTCACCTCGGAGCTGTGGCTGCCTCAGAGAGCAGCTAAAAATACCTTGATTGTGGGCCGGAGGCTACCATGTGGGAAACTGGCTTCCAGAGGCAGCCTGGGGCCTGTTGGTGGGAATGTGGGCACCAGGCCGGCTGCCCAGCTGCAAAGGTCAGCTGGCCCGGACACGGGGAGATCTGTGCTTTGGCTGGGACATGGGCGCGCAGGCGCCAATGAAGTGCCACTTTCGGCCTCTTTGCCTGAGACGTCTTCTCTGTCTCTGCCCTGACCGCAGGCCTGCCCTGGGCTGGGGAGCATCTGCACACCACGGGTGGGAGGGCCGGGCTCGGACCCCAGGAGTGTCCGACACGCCCCCCCGGCTGTAGCCCTGTCCTCACTCAGTAGAACTCACACGCTTCCTGTCCCTGCTCCTGCGGAGGGACAGGTGTGAGCAGATGACAAATCACTTCCCTTGGGGCAGGGACCGGGGCTGACATTTTACCCAACCCTTTCTTCTGTCCAGCCTGGCTGTGGGGGGCCGATTAATGTCAAAGAGACAATGAGGAGGGCCCTGAGCCCCAAGAAATCACGCAGACAGGCAGGCCTGCGTGTAACTGGTTTCCCTGCCTAAGTCCTGCCTCTGCCTGGGTCCAGCAGCCCTGTCCTATTGTTATTGGTGGCAGCTCTGGCATTCTCTTCCTGAGCACGCAGAGTGCCCGGCACCATGGTATTTCATCTGCCCAGCGGGAGCACCGAACAGGACCATGGTCACCCCGTCTCGCTCACAGGAGCTGGAAGCTCCGGGGCAGAGCAGGCTGCTGGTGCTCACGGGGCTGGTCGGGGGAGTGACGCCCCTGTGGACCTGCCTGGGCCAGGGCTCCTGTGGACTGAGCGATCCGCAGCACCCACTCTCTGGGCCGTGGTTCAAAGGCCAGGTCACGGCCCTGGGACCAGTTATTTTCAGGGTAGGGTTTGGCCGGGATCCTGTGGCTGAAATAGAAGCTGCACCTGTGTTCCCTGTGGGGTGTCGTCCAGGGCTCCCGGTGCCCTTCGTCCCAGATCATGGGCTTCTGACTCATCAACTCCGGCAGTGGTTCTCAAAGTGGGGTGCCCTGGTCAGCAGCAGCAGCAGCTGCCCTACCGGGATCTGGCTAAGGTGCGCATTCTCGGGCCCCGCTGCAGGTCTGCAGAACCAGGAACTGTGCGATGCTGTCCCCGCAAGCCCTCCTGGGGGTTCTGATGCTCAGCACGGCCGAGAACCACAGCCTGGAGTGGAGACAGGTCCCCTCACTTTCTCTGCCAAGGACCAGGAGAACGCTCCCAGTGAGCGATGCCAGAGGTGATCGTGAGGATGACCAGTGACTGGCAGGGAGGCAGCACCCAGGGGAGGGGGACACCCAGCAGGGCAGGAGGGAGCGTGGGGCCTCCCATGGGCCCGGGTGGCCAGGAA